ATTTTTGACTGCAAAAGTGCGTGATTTGGGCTCAACTCACACCACGCGACCCCGCTTAGCGCCAAGTGTCGATTTGACGCGCAGCAAGGGATTGCACAGTCCCCCATAACACCCGCTTGAGCGCGTTCTTCGCCACCGCGTGTCAGTCCAAGAAATATTGCGCAGAGACTAGATCGGTTCTTTTATTCGATCAAGCAAACTGTGGGCTAGACAGTGACGCTGTTGTGCCGTCTTCTTGTGTATTACATTAGCGCCTTGAGCCCGTAGAGACTTTTGTCACCCTGGGGTAACACCCGAATTTCGAGCAAGTCAAGAGATCTATTATCCTGCCACGCGCTGTAGTACGCGCCAAATCACTATTATCATGGCCGGTAAGCTTTCGTACCGCACACATTGTCATCCGATCACTTGAGAGTGGCAGGGCAACCCCGGGTCTGGGTTGCCGACCTAGACCTGGGGTTGCTGACTATTTACCAGAAGACAAACTAACAGCAAGACTAGACGAACCCCGACGCTCCGGCCGAGCCACCAAAGGCCAGCACAAGAACCTCGAACTTCCAGATGATCCCGCGAAAAAAGGCAAAAGCAAAAGCCCGAAAAAAAAGAGCGCGAAGCTATCCGCCGAACCTACACCCGGTCCTAGTGAAGCCGAGGGAGATGAAGAAGAGATCATCCGATGTATTTGCGGTGAATATGAAGAGGAAGAGGATGTGGAGCGCGATATGATCTGCTGTGATCAATGTTCAGCATGGCAACACAACGACTGTATGGGCCTCACATTCGCGAAAGGTCAAGAGCCAGATCAATACTATTGCGAGCAATGCCGACCAGAGAATCACACAACCCTCCTGGCAAAGATCAACGCGGGCGAGAAACCCTGGGAAGAGCTTGCTGAGAAACGTCGCCAAGAGGCCGAAGAAAAGAAGTCAAAGCGGAAGAAGGGCAAGAAGGGAGGCCGCAAAGGAAGACCCAGTGAGAGTCGGACAGATGCTAGCACACCAGCTCGCACTGCGCCATCAACCACACCAGGTCCTCGCGGCTCTCCTGCACCGGCTGTGTCCGCCTCAGCTGAACCAGAGAAAAATGGCCACGCTGTTGATTCTCGACGATCCAGCACTAACAAGCGCAAACTTGAAGAAACAGTGGAGGCAGACAATGTAAATACTTCCATTTCACTCCCTCATCACATTCAAAATGCTAACATGTTTATCTATCAGGGACCACAGGTCAAACAACAACGGGTAACCCCACAGTCTACCCCGGCAGCTGTCCCAGAGGCGACCGCACCCCAAATCAAGACAGACCCTATCCCCGAGGCACCTGCTATTGCCGCCCTGGAGGAGCTGATGCCTGCTCGCAAGAGTGTTGCCACACACCTCATCAAGTTGTTCGTAGACCAGATTACTGCAGCCCTGAAAGCAGGGTCGTTTACCTTGCCTGCGAACCAGTCGATGGAGGACATGGCACAGCAACTGGCTCTATCCATTGAGGATGCCATGTATGAGAGTATCTGTGGACGGACAGGGGAGCCTAATGAAGCATATAAGGCCCAATTACGGTCGATCATGTTCAATGTAAAGAAGAATGCTTCTCTGCGAGATCGTCTGCTTATAGGTAGTCTCTCCCCTAAGTTACTGTCTCAGATGACAACGGCGGAGATGGCCAGCGAAGAACTACAGCAGAAAGACGCAGAAATTAAACGAGAAGCCGACAGACACCATACCATTGTCCAGGAACAGGGCCCTCGGATTCGACGCACCCATAAAGGAGAAGAGTTGATCGAGGATGAACACCATGGTGCGAACGAGTCTGTTTTCTCCCGTGGTCCCCGTCGCGTTGTGGCCGATGGCGGCAGTCCAGCCCATAAAACTCCCACCAGCCCCAAGGGACCGCAGCAACCAAAGACAGAATCAGATGGATATGTTCGGGGTCTATCACCTGAGGGTGCTCACCATGACCATGTCTTCCCCGAAGTGGCTCCCGCCATCCACGAGCCACTGCCTACTGGCGGGGTCCAAGCGGATGCTGAGATCGATCAGCTCTTGCGCGACGATGAGCCTTATTCACCTCCTTATTCACCAAAAGACTTCGATGATGACGGCACCATCTGGCGCGGCAAGGTAACGATGCCTCCAATTGGAGAGTTCTCCTCGTCCGCGAAGCATGTGGGAGGCGCAGACTTGAGTGGCCGAATCCCATGGAGCCAACTGGCGCCTTCTACGTTGGTTGTTGATGGCCGTATCGATATTAGACGGGCAACTGATTATCTATGCGGTCTTCAGTTCAGCAAGTCTACCGATGTGTCTGTGATAGCAATCAGCAGTCCTGATCAGCCTGTGGATCGAGCAGGCTTCGATAAACTGTTTGACTACTTCCATACTCGTGGACGTTATGGCGTCATTGGAAAGCACCCGCTACCTGCCGTCAAAGACACCTACATTGTCCCCATGGAGGTGGGCACCACGACGATGCCCGAGTTCATTGAGCTGCTGGAAAACATCTCACTGGAGGGACCTATTACTCAACGCATGCTCCTTACCATTTTCGTCGTCAAGACTGGCGAGTCCAACCCTTCATCTGTCCAGCCGCCATCCCACCAGGCTAGCCAGGAGCCCCCTGTCTCTGCGAGCCCCGCCGTCGCAGCGACACCTCAGCAGCCTCAGTTCAGCGCTGGAATCGCGCCAACGCCCCCCTCCCACTTCGGCGGGTTCAACCCGAATCCCGCAGCATACGGCCAACAGGCCCCTATACAGCAAGGCCAGGAAGGCCAGGCTACCCCTCAACACCAGCCTGCTCTGACCGGCCTCCCTGCCGCAGTGCAAGTGCTCGGTCCACAAGTCGATGCCCCCGCCATTCAGCAGCTTCTGAAGACTGCACCCAACGTGGACATGGCGCAGCTGAGTGTCGTTCGCGACATTCTAGCCCGCCAACCTGCTGCTGCTGCTAATTACGACACTTTGATGCAGGCTCTATTTGAGACCCAAGCGAACGGCCACGTGCCCCAGCAGGGTGTGTAATAGGATCATGCCCATGATACCATATTTTCCCTTTTAATTGTACAGTTTATCACATTTTGTATTTCGTTTTTACAAGGCTGCGCAATGCTAGTCTGGTGTTTGGGGCCCAAGTCTCTAGGGCTGGGAAAAGGGTTTGTTTTAGGAAAGTGGAATGAATACCCACCACCAAATGTTTTCAAAATTTATGCCTCGTTCTCTACTCGCAAAAATGAAACCGTTTCTACTAGTTTAGTATCTCATGGGGCTTGTTTAGCCCTGGACTTGGATGCGTAGGGTTTGTTGTAGCCGATGCTGAAGTCTTGCATTTGTAGTCGAGGTCCATTTGAGCGCTAGTTGTACGCATATCTATTACGGTAGCAGTAGAAAATGGATTAGATATTCCGTCATATCATATGGAAAGATGATGTATACTATACTATACACAATTCTCGTACATATTATCAAGGCTGTGAGATATCAACAAGGACAATAATGAAAAATGAAATGGATATTGAGCACTTATCCTATGACCTCCCTAACCGTCGTCTGAGCATCATACACGAGATAATAAATAAAAACGCCTGCGCTATGCAACGGGCCCAGAGCCCAAGTCTTCAAGAACGAAGAGAAGTCATCGAAAATCACCACCTTCCACCTCCACGGCGCCGATATCCACCGCCGCCACCGCCACCACCGCCATACCGAGGACCACGACCAGCACCGGAGCGACCACCAGAGGTGTAAGGGTTATCATCTTCTTCGTGGTGACGAACTGGCGGAGCCCGGCCCTTCAGCTCGATGCTCAGCTTCTTGCAGTTCTTGCGCATGTCTGAGTACCCCATGTGCATCTTTCCAAAGAAGTGATCCGCCAACCGGCGGTCATTGTCAAGACGAGACAAGTAGGCACCGCAAACGTCACAGACTTGCAGCTTCTGGTGGCCGGATGGACCAGAGGTATCTTGAAGGTTCTTGAGATCGCGCTCCAGACTTTCCTTCTGGTGCTTGGAGGTGCGGACTTTGTGCATTTCACTGAGTGCTAGCGCGACAGAACCTGTTTCGCCGAGAATCGAGACTTCTTGGAGACCGGAGTTGATTGTGTTGGATAGATCGGCAATTTGTTTGAGCTACATCAGAAGTTAGTTGAAATCCTTGGGTCCCTCTCATTGGGGTTTGAAGATAGAAGCAAAGCTAGACATACCAGGTCATTTGTCTGCCGAATCTCATCCGGCGTCTTTTCCAGTCGGCGCTGCGCTGTATCGATTCGGCGGTCACAGTCGTCAATGTACTTCTGCATGTCGCGCAAGTAATCGAATTCGAACCCCCATTTTGCCTTCTCTGAGGAAGATGCCATGTCATATTCTGCCTTCAAGCCTTCGCTATGGACCTTGGGGCAAGGTCCGAGATCTTGCTTGGTGTTGGTGAACAGGTCGTGCGGGCAAGTGCCAGCTATGTAGGAACGGCAAACTTTGTTGTCTGTGATTGAGAGCTGGGAATTGCGACCCTGTGCGCTAGTTCCAATGAGCTGATCAGCTATAGACAGATGCAATGTTAGCTCAATTTGGAGACTTGTCGGGGTAGGCTAGAGCTTGGAGATTTTGAGAGTCACAAAAAGGACAACATACCTCCCATAAGCTGCTCAAGCAGCTTTCTCTGTTCTGCTGCCATGCTGATGGTGTATCCAATAAGCTGGAAAGAAAAGGAAAGACGAAATTGTGTCAACGAGCTGGTTGGCGGCAAACGACGAAGTCTTTCGTTTTTGATGCTTTTGGTGCCAAGAAGGCGGTGAAGCTCCGCAGTCAACAGACCAGATGGACATCTCGGGGCTTTGGAGTTTGGCTTTGATCTTTCTCTCAAATGCGGAGCTTTTATATTGACTCGGTGATTGCTTAGGTCTGATTTTCTGGGTGCACAGCCAATATAGGCCCATCGCTTCGCCGACACCCCCTGCCAATTGACCTGTGACAACCGCATGGACGAAGACCGAGCTCCGGCAAGCATGAAGTCATGACGGTCCTTTCACTATTCTCACTTCCTTTCGTCGCACTTATTCTCTCATTATGGAGTTCCTCTGCCTTCGCGTCATCCGACTATCACGAGCACCTGCTCCTACACCCTCTACCGCAGTCCTCTTTACTAGCTTCTTTTAACTTCCGAAGCAATACATCCCAACAATCATTTGACCAACAGCATTTCAGATATTTGCCACGCGCTCTTGGTCAGATCCTCCAACACGCTCATACAAAAGAATTACACCTCCGCTTCACCACTGGAAGATGGGACGCTGAAAGCTGGGGCCCACGGCCATGGAACGGCAGTAAAGAAGGAGGCACTGGCGTCGAGCTTTGGGCGTGGATCGATGCGCCGGGTGACGAAGCGTATGCTCCATACTCGAATATGGCATGAGAGGCACACAATGCTGACTTACTTAGGGCTTTTGCCAAATGGATCACCCTGACGCAGTCCCTCTCTGGTTTGTTCTGCGCCTCGCTGAACTTCGTGGACTCGACCCGGACCACTCGACCTGTGGTTTCTTTTGAACCAGCTGGGGATCACTCGGCTGCTGATCAACTGCACCTTCTGCATGGAACTCTCCCGGAGAGGTAGTATGCACAGAGAATTTGACCCCTTTCTTGAAGCTGCTTCCGTGCAAAGGAAAGGCTGGAATCTCCTCACTATTTGACGGGCACAAATTGTTCGATGCCGCATGGCAGAGTATGTCAGTGGATATCCAGCCGGTCTGCTCTGCAGACGGAGAATGTGTGGTTCAGATCGAGCAAACCGTGGACATGGTCTTGGATATTGACCGGTCCAAGCGATCTCGTTGTGCGTATTTTCACCCGCATAATTCAGCTCAAGATTTCTAATATAGATCCAGCGAACCCAATCCCTCGGCCTGTGCCTAATGAGCGGCTGGTTTGTGACACTTCCAAGCCTTATAATTCAGACGACACCTGCTACCCGCTCGAGAAGACAAATGACAAGGCGTGGAGTCTTACAGAAATTTTTGGGCGGAGCCTAAATGGTGTTTGTCCTCTTACAGATTTCGATGGCTCTAGTGACCAAAGCGTTTGCCTTCGGGTGCCTCACGAAAGGGGTGTCTTCATATCCGAGGAGGCTGAAGAAATCAAGAAAGATGATGGCTTTACGCGCTGTTTCAAATTGGCACCATCGGTTCCCTTTGATCTTTCGATTCCTCAGCAGCCTGTGAACACTGAAGTTCCGTTGGACGAGCCCGTTTTGCACGCAGAACGAACTATCGTCGGCCACGGCCAGGAGCGTGGTGGAATGCGCATTATCTTTGGCAATCCATCCAACACCAGCGCGGTTGATTTCATCTACTTCGAGTCTCTTCCATGGTTCTTGCGACCATATATACATACTCTGCACGCAACAATCACAGGGCACGACGGAGTCCTGCGGGAGGTGCCAGCATCTGAAATCGTCAAAGAGACGTACTACCGGCCCGCCATTGATCGCGAGCGTGGAACACAGTTAGAACTGGCGCTGTCTGTCCCCGCCGCATCAACCGTCACGTTGACTTACGATTTCGAGAAAGCCATTCTTCGGTACACCGAGTACCCGCCAGATGCTAATCGAGGGTTCAACGTTGCACCTGCAGTAATTCGGATCTTGGATACAGCCCACGACGCGCCGATCTACATCCGGTCTACGAGTCTGCTGCTTCAACTTCCGACTCCAGATTTCAGCATGCCCTACAATGTGATCATTCTCACTAGTACTGTGATTGCACTTGCGTTCGGAACTATTTTCAACATTCTGGTCCGCCGAATTGTCACCCTAGATGAGGCTGCTGCCCTTGGAGCTCAGACTTTGAAAGGCCGCATACTGGGGAGATTTGTGGCTATTCGTGATCGCCTCCGTGGCAAGGATACCAAAGTGGAGTAGTTCATATCTGAATATAATAATTGTATCTCGAATATAAGGGCGTATGAAAATGCTTCTGGCGCCAGAAACGGCCGCCATTCTACCGTAGCTTCCAGCGGCAAGCCGCTCGACCACCTAACCACTCTACACCTGGGCACCACTATTGTACCCGCCAAGCGCCCTTAGTTATCCTCCTAAGCCGATATCCAAGCCGATATTAGCGCTAGGCCTTATGCCTTATTCTCCTCACCTAGGTACTTTAACATCTTTGTGATTATGTCTCACCCTTGAAGACGTTCTTCATCTCAAACTTCTGGGAATGCCACCAAGACGGAATAATCGTCCGGGATACCACTACCCAGGTTCTAGTCACTATTCAGCTTAACCTTGTTGCAGGGACACTTCCTCCCTTTGTGCTCAAGAGGCCGGGTCTAGAGCCCCTTATAAAGGAGATTTTGAACTTTGATATTAGGTATGATATTTCTCTGCTCCATATGCATCCGACGAGAGATACCTAGGTAATAACAGATCATCGAAACAGAACCCACTTTAAGCTAAATGCGGTTGGAAACGGATGGGATACGTTGCGCGTAATATAGAAACTACGGCAACTTGGCAAACTGACGGGGGTTCATAATGAACACTCCAAACACGGCCGCACTGAAGTATACATGATTGTGAATTCTGAATCTCGGCGTACTGACACCATGCTAGGTTCATGCCGCCGTCCATGCTTATTGCAGGTACACGCCGTATGTAGATGACACGGGCGAAATCGGCGAGCCACATGTGCCACGTATGTGTGAATTTTATGTCAAGGCGCACATCCTGGGACTCGAGGAAATGTTAACGAGTCAAATGTATGCCACAGTTTAATTCGACCAAGCTCTTCGTATCGTCTGTCGACACTCGATCAGCGCACTGAATCTGCGAGGGAGTGAAGAAGATCGTCGCCATCTGGCCCGTATCATGGCTCGAGAAATTCGTCGATTGTTAAGACATGGTGTGGTTGTGTTAGCGAAAAGTGGCTGAAATATGTGTCGGTAGAATGTGTTGGATGTCTCATCTGCCAAAAGCATCAGATGGGACAGAACCTGATTTAGCTTTCGCTTCCCTCTCTCCTCTCTCCTTTCTTCCTTCCCCGTCCCTTTCGTTAGGAATCTGATACACTGAGAATTACTTGCAGACAAAGATCGCCCAGCTTTGAACTATGCTAAAGGTATTTTGAGAGACTTCAGTAATCAGAATGTATAACCAACCTAGGTAAGTTTGAAACTTCCTTATAACCTTGGAACGGTGGGAATTTACAATTTAGGCCTGGTGAGCTCAAATGTCAATATATTTTTGATGTCACCACCTCCACACCACACAGCCTCACTTTTCTCATACTATTACTTCCACTCGTGAAGATGGGATCCTCCCGGAAGTATAGGACCGTTTTTCATTATAGTCGGTACTCCGACTATTTAAAAAATGATTTTGGCTCCCTCGACCGGTCTATTATCACCGATATAATTATGGCTGAGCACGCTCTACGTGAACAAACGCAGCGCGAGGAGACGCTAAAGTATAAGGCCACAGCTATCGATTCCGACGCCTATAAGACCGAACTTGAAGAAGCAAAAACACAGCTCGAAAAGGCGAGAAGACAATATCCAAGAAAGGAGCAAGCTCTTTACCGAGCGGAGTCTATGCTTCCACTAAGTTTCAGATGCTATTATGATGAAATAAGACATGATGCTGCCTGGTTTATGTGCGAAGGAATGATTCGGGATTGCTCAGATCGAGGCGGATGTTGCAGCCGGGGATGTGGATGCTGTGCACGGAGGCATCTTTCCAATTCCGAAAGGGAAAAAGGCAGAGGCCATTGCACTTCGGAGTGCTGATGCTGTATCAGCTTTCGGGGCTTCGAGCTCCCTGAGGACGAAAAGAAGGAGATTACGGACGACATAGAAAGCAGGCTTAAGAAGGTCCACTCGCCCTATCTTCTTAATATGGCAAATTGCTTTTTTTGCCCATTAAAGCCTGAGGTACTTCCAAAATCAACCTTCACATTGCGGAGACTTTGGAAGGGGTGAAATTGACGAATAAGTCTTATGGAAACGTGCTTTGCTTGGACGAAATTTGCTTGCCATGGCCCCCTTTAGCTATATAATTTATCTTTTATTCAGAGACTATGGGTCAGCTCTTCTTGAACTGGCAGCAAGAGCCAGAAGGAGAGAGAAAGAAGTGTTGATGGAAGGAGGAGGAGCGGTGGTGCGCCATTTTGACCGTGTGGCATGCTGTTGGATTCCCCTAACAATTCCCCGTCAACAAGCGTACTAAAGAAAGATTAGGCCACGATGCCGGCTTAGAAGTATATCAGGTTTGTTTTATACAGAGTAACGATGCGGAATATACTACGATTTGCTATGGCCCTCCCTATTAGAGACTGTTGTAGTTTCGAGATATGAATTGCGTATTATTCTAGGTTGAAAGACGAGGCTATATATACAACACGGAGCCAAGTGGATTGGAAATCAATTTGGTTGTCTGTATAGACACCTCGGAGCTAATTCCGATAGTGCGGCTTGGTTCCTGACCTGCACCAGCCTCATATCGTGAGGTTGGTAAATGAATCAGCTCGGCTAGTGGAAAGATCAAGCATGTTTAGTTCATGAGCTAGAATCAGCCGTCGCGTTCTTAAACTTCCTTGTGGACGTCATTTGAGAAAAGATGTCGTCTAGTTCGGCAAACGTACGACCCTTGAGCTCGGGAACTTCAAACCAGGCCCAGACCAAACTCACAACACAGAGCGCTACCCAAACAAATGCAGCCTTGCCTCCCAGGTTGGCTAGAAGTAGATCCCATCAGCATGCAAAATATATAGAAAGGTTTGTATGAAACCCTCACCCTCATCATTGTTAATCAGGTAAGGGGCAATGAAATTCATCGCCCAGCTAACCAACGCATTGGTAAAGATTGCCAAACTTTGTGTTTTGGCTCGGAGCTTGCTTGAACTGACTTCTGCGCTGATGGTCCAGGTAACAGCTCCAACGGTCGGAGCATAGAAGATTTGGGCGAAATTCATCACATATCCAATGTAATATAAAGCAGCCATGGTCGTGAAGCATCCGGCAACACCAACAGACATTAGACAGAGACCATTAATGGCAATACCAGTCAAAAGTAGCGGTCGACGTCCTGTAGGAAGCATTTGAGATTCGGAAGCCGGTAGCTATCGAGTGACGTGGACTTACCAATATAATTCATGATGAACCATGAGATGATGTTTCCCAGCATTGCTACACCAAACCCTCCTAGCGCGAGCTGAAAGTTCAGAGACGTAGGTAGACCAGAGATACCTAGGAAGTATAAGGCCTGTGCGTAGAATGCGATACCAGTGAACTGCTGCACCGCAAACATTCCACACGAAATGCGAGTCCTGCGCCAATTAGTACCCCGCAAGCAGTCCCAGTACGACGCGTCCTTTTGAATATCCAGAATCGCATTCTCAGCAGCAATAGAGGATTGAATTTCGCCCAGAATTACGGTCACGTCAGTCGCTTTCAGGTGGAGTCTCCGCAGACTAGCTTGTGCTTGCTCAATTTTCCCCTTTCGGAGGAGATACCAGGGACTTTCGGGCATGAATATGGCCCACAGGGCGATGAAGCAAGGGAACGCCCATTGTGCCGCAAATATTACCTTATATGAATCGGGCGTCATGATAGTGAAGCGGGTGTTACCGATGCCAATGGCCATTAGCTGGCCAGCATTGATAAAGAGGTTGACAGCAGCGGTTAAAGAAGGACGCAAGGCAGTAGGTGCGATCTCTGAGGCATATGTAGAGCCTAGGGTCAGGAAGAAACCCAGAGCCACGCCATTGATCTAGACACAAGGTATCAGTTTTCAAATCTTCAGAAGGTTTGATAAGAAAAACGGAGGCAATGGGAGCGCTTACAATCTTGCCAGCAAGAAGCATACCAGGTTCGCTGGCAGCATATTCGAGGCCGACACCAAGCAAAGAAATAGCCGAACCAATTGTGAGTCCAAGTCTGCGACCACCGCGATCCGAGGCCCAACCACATATGATACTTCCTAAAATGACAGTCGGTTAGAGCTATTAAGCATTATCCGGGATTGTGGCGGTAACCCACCAACCAACATTCCAAGCGATGTCATTGCCGTCCATAGGGCATTCCAGGTGGCGGAGATTAGGAGCTCGCCCTCATATTCATATCCGAAGACCATTTTAAACGACGGCAATGCCGTACTGATGGAATTCACTCCTATAGATCACGAAGGAAGATTCAACATTCCACTCGTTGGTTCAGTAGAGTATTGAATTCTCACCAATGTCAAATCCCCAGAGCATCGAGCTCACGCAAGCAGCCACACTGTAGAGAATTACCTTGGGGTTCTTCTTCGCTGATGCCCAAGCGCCTTCCTCGGCACATTGTTGGGTCTGGGAGACCGTCTCAACCATCTCTACGTCGGTCTTCTCTGTCTCCTCATACTCGAGGGACTTTGAACAGATGGACGGACTGCGATCCATAGAAGCCATCGTAGGACGGCAACAGTACGATTGATAGCAGGATAAAGCGAAAGACTTGACAGGAAATCCAAGATAGAGCCAATGAAGATAATGATGAGGCTCGAACGACGAATAATGGCGGCTCGAAGCTCACATATATGTGAAAAATCCGGCTCCCACCATTTGCTAATGCAATAATCGTGGAGAAACTGGGGAAATCGGAGAAGCCGAAGTATGGGGTTTCTAGAGTGAGAGAGTTCGAGCAAAACCCAAAGTGGAGTGGGGAGTGGAGGGTGGAGCATCAAGGGGTGGAGGTGGAGGGTGGAGGCAGAGAGAACGGAATCTGCCTGGACGACAGCTTTGTCTACGTCTTGCGAAATCATAACGTCCAATCTGTCAATTCCACTTCCTTTTGGAGATTGCACCACTACGTATTTATGCGATTGATGCTTGGGTTTGGTCGTCGTGGGACCTGCAAAACGACCCCAAGCGGAATTTTGAAAACACAATGAATTCACCAAAGAAGCTACATATGTATTTCTATGTAAACTGTACCTTGAAAAGTAACCGACTTAAACATTTCGCTGTATTTATACATTGATGTCAAAGGCCATTCCAAGTTTCAATATCCTCTATCTGCAGAGAAGCTGCACAGCCCCCTGTAGTAATTTTGTAATGGCCATTGAGAGACCGCCAGCATTTCGCCACACTATCCCAATAGCCGCTGATGTCTCGCTGGGAGACTGAAAGTTCAATCCGCTTAGTCTCATTCGGCTCAAGCCATGCTTTGGTGAACGCGACCAGCTCCGACCGCGGTCTCCAGATCATCGCATGGAGAGGAGGGTGACTGTAAGCCTGGACAACCTCGTAGCCGCCCCTTGCGCTTGTGTTTTGAACGTCCACGGCGATAATGACCATCCCTTTTGAGCTTTGGGGGGCGAGTCCTCCGCCGATTGAATGGTGAGGAATGACGTCCAAATTATTATACTCAAAAGTGGAGTAAGATAAGCCATATCCGAAGGGCCAGCGGATGGCAGATGCGCTAGTGGGTGATCTGTAGCCCATTTGTAGACCTTCGCGGTATCGAATAACGGGTCCGTTACCAACATCCCTCGCTGGGAAGCTTCCGAACGACGGAACCGAGCTCTCATCCAGCCGCATAGGCCACGTGGTGGGCAGTTTTCCACTAGGGTTTGTCTTCCCAGTGATGATGTCGACGATAGCTTGAGCGCCTTCTTGTCCTGGGAAATGAGCTACTATAATTCCGTCGAGCTCATCAACAAATCCAGAGACATCAATAGGGTTCCCGCAATGCATGACAAGGATAGTTTTCTTGGATACACTAGCGACTGCTTTGATCATGCGGACTTGACTCTCGGGCAGTTCCAGGGTCTGAAGGTCAAACCCTTCAGACTCATGCTCGTGTGTGCGCCCACCGAAGATCACGCTGACATCGGAACGAGCGGCAACACTCACTGCCTCGGCGATGGCTACGCGATCGTTGTGCTCCTCCATGAAGCACATTTTCGCCGAATGAGGCGAGATCTCCCCGTCGGGTGACGCAATATCGCGAGAATGGGTTCGCAAAGCAATTCTGTAAGGCTTATGGCCCTCCATCTGGAACTGAATCTTGTTTTCCAATTTTTTAGGCTCAAATAAGAAATCTTCCACTGTCATAACTGGAGCAGGGCTTGAAAGCACCTAGTCATGAAAGATGTGAGTGATCAACTACATAATGAAGAAGAGCAGTGGGTTATCGGAAAGCATACCTGAATTCCATCCACAGATAATGTGAATTCGCCCGTAGCTTGCACAGCCAACGTGTGATTCCCACTGTTGTTTGGAGTAAAAGTGGTTTCCATGACGAAATGGAATCCACTTTGGCTCAAACCTGGCTTCAACTTCCCAAGCATTACCACAACAGGCTGCTCGGAATTCTCGGAATAAACAGGCACGGCAGAGCCATCCAAGAAATAGTCCACACTAATACCAGGAAGGCCATCACGAGTTTGCATCATGCTGACGGGCATTAGAGGTATAACACGATGAGCGTTGACACCAGGAGCAAAGGAGATCTGGTTACAATCCTGACTCGCATCTTGGAAGCATTTCAAGGGTGTGCGGATATATTGAGGTTTGGCGCACGCGCTACCTCCACCGGTGACAGATGGGTTGACAGCCGCAGCACCAATTAGAGCCACCTTCATATCACCACTCATGTCAAGTGGAAGAATGCTGTTATCGTTTTTGAGGAGTACCATTCCCTCTGCTGCAGCTCTTAATGCCATCTCGCTGGTCTGATCGCAAATCAAGGATTCTTCCTCCTTATCACTGTGACTGGAGGCGGTGCGATCGATCATTGTCAAAACATTCATCACGGCGGCATTGAGTGTTTCCTCGGAAACTTCTTTGCATTTAACCGCCTCGACTAGTCTTGAGCCACGGTACACAGATGGTCCGGGCATCTCCAGGTCAAGCCCCCTCTCCATAGCCAGGTTTGTACTTTTAGTCCCATACCAGTCAGACATAATACAGCCATCGTACTTCCAATCGTCGCGAAGCAATGACTTAAGCAGGGGTGTCTCGCTGCAGAAATGGCCGTCAAGCGCGTTGTAGCTGGTGAAAGGGGCGTCAGATCCTTCGCATCTCGATTTTAAAAGGTAAATAACACTCACGCTGTCATGATTGAGACCGGATTGGCTCGGCGCAACAAGTGCTGAAATGCGCGCAAGTAAATTTCCCGCATAGTCCTACTGTCACCCGACTCATCGACATTGTAGCGTCTGCGGACTGTCTCGCTTTCGTTGGCGACGAAGTGTTTGATACAGGCACCCACGCCCTCTGACTGGATTCCATTGACAATAGCAGCGGCCAGTTCGCCAGTGACAAGAGGATCTTCACTAAATGCTTCGAAATTGCGGCCAGCTCGTGGGTCACGATGAAGATTGATGTTGGGGCCCAGCACAACTTGGACTGATTTCGATTTGGCTTGTATGGCAACTTCACGACCAAATTCTCTCATCAGACTGGTGTTCCATGTTGATGCAAGACAGGTCGAGTTTGGGAAGCAAGCAGTTCCAGTGTCTTCAAGGTGTGATTGGGAACCACGAACGCCGTTGATCGAATCACTGACCTGGTCACGCTACTTAGCAATGTTGCGTTCTTAGGTGTCGGGATCGGATGCTGACTTTTAAAGAAGGAATACCAAGTCTGTCTATACTAGCTGTACTTGTGAAGCTGACACCAGAAAGCAGAGAAGCCTTTTCTTCTAGAGACAGAGATGGCAACTGATCTCTGTACAGAGACCTCAAATCTGAGTCGTTGGTCGACCCCGACACGAAAGCGTGAATATCTGGCATATTTTGGAAGATTTGTGAAAAGTGCCAACAGATGGATAGTGAAGGGAAACCGTTAACTTGAATAATTATGTCTAATATTGGTATCTAGCACGTGAAGGGCGTCTGGAGTTGAACAATTATTTTTCTTGTCCACGGTATTGTACTGAGTGGAGGGCGAAGTGGAGTAATCTGATGCCGGAACCCCGACTCCTGTTAACCCCGACACGTGCCGTCCACCTCACGCAACGTCCACTATTCCCTCACTAATCCTTTGTTAGAACCATTTCATACTCCACCTGAGGTTGTTGCTTACTTCAATCTAATGGAGGGGCGTTCGGTGCCAACAGCACACAGATGCACACAATGCCCAAAGTCCTATTCCCGTTCGCGAGAACCTTGTCAGACATCAGCGATCAGCACGTAAGGATCCACTTTCGGCCACTCAATATATCCCGGTCCTGTTTAGGAGCAGACATGTTTACTTATGTGATACGAAAGACAATAGGAATAGCAGACCATATGCCTGTTTGCAGTGTCCCAGTCGATTCACAAGAAGGTGAGACTTACTCTAAACTCTTTCTGGTCGAGGTCTCACACCGTCGACGCATCAGTGATCTTTTATCCAGACATAGAAAGCTTCACGGAAATATTGTGTCTTTGCCAGGAAATTATCCAGAAGGGATTTGCTCTGACTCGAATGAAACCGAAAATGTTCCAGGCGCCTATTCTGGTCGAGAATTTCCAAATAATGGAATCACCGGACAAACAGACCGACGAACAGAGACATCCACCGTGACGACTTCGCCGTCAAATCTGCAAAGTTCTTATCATCCCACTCCCAAGCCCGTTAGTGTCTTAGAAAATGTGCTCGGTCTTCCGCTTGCCACCTCCGGCCAGACCGAGTTAATCGACTGGGACTTGCAGTGGCCATTCTACGGTGAAGGTGTGCCGGATGCCAATCTTGGGTGGACTTTGGACTTCTTATCAAACGACGCATCTACACATAGCCCTTTGGATTTTAACAATGGCCACGAGGATATGAGCGCGCCAATACAATTGGGTAGCTCAGCCCTCAACCACGGTGAAAATGACGATCAATGTACCGCTAGCCCATATTATACACAAGGTGATGAGCCTAGAGCATGGCAGCCCCAAGCTCAGCCCTGTGACAATTCAGCGTACGCTGATGATGACGGGGCCAACAACGCGTGCATCACAAACCAGGGACGACTAAAAACAAATGTTCCACTCTCAAGAGAGAGCCATATGGCGATGGTGGATACTGTTACCGCCCCTTTTCTCGAGGGGTTTTGCAGTGAAAACGGGAAGTCCGCGCATTTATTCCCCCCATTGTCCACAATTGCCTACTTCCTAGAGCTCTATTTTGTGCACGTCCACCCTCGATTCCCGGTACTGCACGTCCCTACATTCAACCCCAATAGTTCTTCACCAAACCTCTTGCTGGCCATGGCAATTATGGGATCCAGCTACTCAAAATCAAACTCGTTCAAATTTACCCTAACTTATCTGGAAAGAACCAGAATGTCAATAAGGCTAATGCAGGAAAAGGATCAGAGTTATGTGCGATAAGAATCCCTCCATTATGCGATTGAAGCTGACAAGTCCCCACCCACAGTTGTGCTCACCCGAGAACCTCCTGGCTCTATTGTTGGTTTCATTTTCGGCAATATGGATTGGTCAAAAGGCGGCGTATGAACGTGCCGAGTGTGACCGTAGCGATTTAGTTGTCTACGGTCGACGGTTGCAGCTATTGGATTGCCGAATGAAACGCAACATCTCTCCTCCGCTTCTACCACGGCAAAATCGGACCCAGTTCGAAGATGCATGGACGACATGGATCCTTGCCGAACAAAAGAAACGTCTTGGGCTGTGCATATACGTAAGTCTTATTACTAGGTAGGTACATCAACATAGCAAGTCTGATGGGATGTTTCTCTAGCTTCTGGATTGTCAAATTGCAGCCGTCTTTCAACGTCAGCCATACATTAGCAAGGCCGAGACTGTCAATGCTGCATTACCCTGTTCGGAAGTCTTCTGGAACGCACCAACGGCCTGGGCCTGGAAGGCTCTACTTGGACCAGCCGAGATCCCCCCCGAGCACGTATTTTCTCACAACGTTGACGACGATTCTCTTACACCATGAGGTCGAGGAGGTGTTACCATTCCCAACATTAGACGATTTTTGCAAGACTCTCTATGCCTATGTCCTGCATACGCATGTCCTCGAGTGGCGGCAGACCATCTGCATGCTTAATCCAACTGGACTAATTTCGTCCCCCATTTCATTGGCACCGGAGAATATTGGAGCTTCACTACACGAGCGTCGGAACTGGCTGGAGTGCTGTCTGAGAAATTGGGCTGATTTCTATGGAGATGGTAACCAAGCCAGTGCTACCGAACGGAGCTCAAAGAACTCATCTGGGATCCTCCTCAATCATCTGGCAAATTTGGCACTTCATCTTAATTTTTCAGACCTCCACATCGTTGCTGGCAGATCTGGCTCAGATGCTGATATTGGACTGGCTATGCAGTCATTGCGTAATTGGCTTCGAGAAGAGAGAGTCCGAAGGATATTCGCCTGCAATAGTCAAATGCTGAACGCAGCGTACGAGGCAATTTCTGCTGGCCACATGCAGCGGAGTGGGTTTGAATTAGCGATCTCTTTGTTTATGGGTGGTCTGACCAGCTGGGCCATATCTCGGTTCGGGAGTCATAATTTGACAACCGTCCATCAAAGCGCTTCAGAGACTTCACACCTCCCTGAAGGAGAGCTTGGCAATGATGACAGCCGCGATCAGTTGAGTGCTACAGAGTCGCCGCAAGCGCCAGACTTGCTTTCCACTCAAGTTTCACGTGCACGGGATGGTTTACGTGCCGTTGGATGTGTCCGACTAGCAGTTACTTTCGGGGAGATTCTCGATCGGCTTCTTACTGAGTCGATTGACTAATGGGCATATGATGCCCAGGTGTAGACTTGATTCGGCAAATCGGTCTCTACCAAGCCGAGCCCTCCACCTCCACCTCCACATGAAAGCCCCACAAATCGACCGTTGCTTCAAATGGGTCACAACTGGATAGAATCTCAGAAAGTTCTTTCAACAAGTCATGCGCTCTGTTAATAAAGGTCCAGTTTACCACACAAGCCCCCAAAGAAAAAGATTACGCAGACAGACTTTACGACATTAACAATTTGCGGCCTCGTCATGTCTTCCAGCGGGGCCTTCAACAACCCCATCATTCCCGGCTTCAACCCTGATCCTTCAATCTGCCGGGTAAACGATGATTATTTCTTGGTGACTTCAACGTTTGAGTACTATCCTGGTATTCCAGTTTATCACAGTAAAGATCTCGTACAATGGGTGCACATTGGCCATGTCATTACGAGACATTCGCAGGTCCATATGCGAACAACTGAGCCCTCTGGGGGGCTTTGGGCGCCTACGATTCGTCACCATGAAGGGCGCTTTTATGTCTCCGTAGGATGCACCCATAGGTTCCGTCCGAAGGAATGGGTTAGTTACCCTCGGGTTTCCCTCTGAAGCTGCTACAGATGAAGACTAACCTTTGTAGGATATCGTTATCCCTTGTGGATTCTACTTATCCACTACAGATATCTGGGACTCGACCTCCTGGTCCGATCCAACTTATTTCGACATTCCAGGAATTGACCAAGATGTGAGTAGTAAGCCCTTATGACACAAAGCGGTTCTAATCCGTTGCAAAGCTTTTCTTCGATGACGATGGCAAGGTGTACTTTTCCGCCGTCAATATGATCACAGACCCGAAAGTTAAAAAGCATGGCCTTGGGTTGGCAACGTTCACGGCGGAAATAGACCTTGCCACTGGTCGGTGCCTGGGACCCGCCAAATGGAATCGGTTGTCAAATTTCGGCCTTGGAATCGCTGAGGGGCCTCACATCTTCAAGAAGGACGGCTACTACTATCTCAGTACAGCTGAGGGTGGCACTGATGAAGGTCACCAGCAGTGGATCTTCCGCAGTACCACTGGACCGTTTGGGCCGTGGGAGGAAGGCCCACAGGGGACAGTTAACCCAGTAATCTTCAATGGCGATGATCCTTCCGTCCGAAACACCGGACATCTAGACTTCATCGAAACTCCAAGCGGGAATTGGTTCGCTGTGTTTCTGGGAGTCCGGCCTCAAGGCGAAAAATCCGAACTGCGCTCACAACTTGGTCGCGAAACGTTCATGAGCCGGGTTGAATGGATTGATGGCTGGCCAATTGTCAATGGCCGCCGGCCCATCAGCCTCCAGATGCAGGCAGAGGGCGTGCAGCTGATCGCTCAGCCGCAGGTATGGAGGGATGATTTCCAGAGTCCAACACTCCAGCTGGGTTGGTATCATCTGAGAACGCCCTTGAAGATGAATTACTCTTTATTCGAGCGGCCAGGATCATTGACTCTGTATGGAAACGCATATCGTATTGACGATTCCGAATGTCCGGCTATGCTGCTACAGAAGCAGACTGGGTTTTCCGGTGACTGGAGAGTGAAATTGGATTTCGCACCTACCGAGGCCGGGCACGAAGCGGGAACAGCTATTTGGTGGTCGCAATTTGCATATGCTTCAATCGGACTCCGAAAGCCATTCGATGAGGGCAGGTCAGGGCTAGAGATAGTATCGCGTTGCTACGATGAGATGGAAAATGGGTTCAAGGTATTAACCTTTTTTCATGGTACTTATATGACAGTTTTCTAACGACTTCAGGAATCTACGCATCAATTGCCTCTGAAGCGTGGCAATATTGAACTTCTCATCCGCGCCCACCCTACAAAATACGAGCTCTTCTTCTCGCTAGAAAATGAGAATCAGCCTTCCAATATCATCAAATTGGGACAGATCTCCAGCAAGGCATTGACGCACCGCCGATCCGGAACAGAATCACCAAATACCGGGGCTCATTTCGCAATTTATGCACAGGGCGCCTACAGCAAACCATGCTTTGATCTTGCGCACTTTGAGTTTGCAGAATGGAGAGTCATCTCTGAAACCAATTAATAACTATATATGTGTCTGTTGGGTGTTGATACTTGCTCTCGCCCGTCACAGAATTGAATTGAATTCAGATCCTCCAGCCTTATCGTGGTTCTCTTGCTCCCGGAAACTTTAGCGCGGTTTCTGGGGGCATCCAAGCAGCTTCTAGGAGCCGCGTAGCCCCTAGGAAGCCCAGCATAGCTTCTGGAGTCTTGTACATCCACTCGAGGAACCAAAGTCATGCTCGCGTTGGCAGCTTTAGTAACTCCTACAATCATAAGTGCGGTTCCTGGGGCTATGGCTAAGCCTTCTAGAGTGATTGAATGACGTAGATTCGTGCGCAGATCTGGTGAAGGTGCCTTGTGAGAGGAAATACGTATGATTCAAAATATATTAAAACAAAATACGTCGAACATTAGAATACTATTATTATACGTCCTAATTCGTATAATACTAGACGAAAGGTATCTATACTATAGTATATATAATACTATAGCCACTAATACACTGTAGTAAGTAAAATGTTTTTTTGAATACCGTATTCTTAATAATATTTAGTACTACTGTAGAATAATGATATTTCACCACCTAGGAACCCCTGGATCCATGGATCCTATTAATCTTTCGCGAAAGGAGGAAACTCACATGCCGAAAAAGCTCTTGAATGCACCCCATCCAGGATAAGTATCCGGGTCACCGGCCTTACGACGCATAAAAGAATGATCTTCGGTGGCACAAGTCGGCTCGCCTTGGGCATTCATCGGCGCAACATTGTTATCAACCAAGTTCTGACGTTGAACGAATTTACTTTGCCCACGTGTCTTCTGATCATTTAAAGCGAGGAAGTCGCCCATTGTTGATCTGGGATTGGTAGCCTTCGATACCACAATTAGGACCAGTTAACATATGCTATAAAGCTGTCTGGCAACGCCAAATCACCTACCTTTGCGTGACCTGGTCCCCCGTGTTTGCCACCTAACCAGAGCCTGTCGCCCCATCCCTCTCCACCACCGACATTGTTGGCGGGAGTAGGTTGGGCACTGACACCTCCTTCGGGCACTGCAGTTGTTTGACGATTGACGGTACTATCGGCCCCCATTGTCATATGGGGTTAATTCGACCTAAATATTAGATTATTAACAAACTAATTGACATAGGGAGGGAGAGAATGCCGCGGTAAATTAATAAGGGAAGTGGATGGTAGAAATTGGATCAAACAATGTGTATACTCACTATATAACTATATGTTGATGAATTTCCGTGTGGGGGTAGATGGTAGCAATTCTTGTAATGGAATTTGTACAGAGTGCGTATTTAAGATCAGTTGAATTCATTTAATAATTTTATATATATTCCTTGCCCTTAAAATAATCCTTGCCACCACGACCCTGGGTGAAGTCATGATGAGTATACATCGCTCTTTGCCATTGGTTCAGCATCGGTAGTATCCCGATGATCGATGAAACGATTCCCCAAGCATTAGTTATTTCCCTTGCTGGAAGTAGTGTTATCGAAGCGACCGATTTTACTAGTCCACGTTTTAGAACACCGATTCATTGTTAAGCTATATCTCCAATCAGGTAGTGGAGCGCGTTGTTCCAAGCCCAGGTGTGATCTCAAGGATCGCGAACAAGCTCGCCAGTTTGTCTGTGATTGGACCACTCCGTTCAATCAAATCCTTGGCACTACAATGCTGTCAATGCAATCGCGGAGAAAAACCCGGACGTCAGAAAGAAGACTGTCACAATTCCCGCCCGTTCTCTCAATCAACTGGGCTTGTGGTTTAGTGGTATAATACTCCCTTAGCATGGGAGTGGTCCGGGGTTCGATTCCCCGCGAGTCCAGATCTTTTTTACATGATGTATATAATTCCTGAAGCAGGTGGTGAGTTTTTCTTTTTTTAGTATTCATATATACCACATGCATGACAATCCTATTTACAGCAGGTCATGTAGTGCTTCTTTTCGACCAATGAAGTGAATTTATCTTCCTAAGCCCGATATTCCATCAATAGCAGATAGGAATGGTGACTATCCTCCAGATCTACTGGAAGAAATCACGGGAACGAGTGATTTCTAGACCCGAGCCTTCAACAAATGCCAAAGCACTTGGTTTCTGTACTAGTACAGTGACTTTCTCGTGCTCAAACTCAACAACCACAATCCGAGCAATGAGCGACGCAAGAGATTCCACGCTACCGAAAGATGAAGATTCCACACGCTATTATAATGCGAGGTGTTAACAGGATCTACTAATAGAAAACGAAAAGAAAGGGCAGGTTTGTAGCTTACCTCTGCTACCTCCAATGTTAATTGCTGATAGGTATCAACAAACTTTGAGCCCCATTGTTGTAGTGCAGGGCCGTTGAATGTCAGAGAGATATGGACGGCTTGCTTCTCAAGTCGTTCCCACGGGTTAATTCCCAAAATACAATAGCATCGAATATTTTCTATCTTGAATTCCTCCTCGAGGATGGCGAGCCTTTTCTCGGCGGACGGAGACGTTTCCCCCTTGACCACAGCCAATGCAGACTTACCGCGATAATAGAGACCTCCATCCGCACGCAGGACGGCCTTGGGAAGGCGAAGCTCTACTTCAAATTCACCAAAGTCTCCCCGAACTGCGGAGGATGGATCGCTCGAAGTGTTTGACTAATATATATTTAGAACACGTTCCTCAAATCTGATCAAACCCTGTTGGTGCAACCAGGGCGGAGGAAGCAGAAGGGTAGAAAACGAACCGCGGTTTCTTCCAATTGCTTCATGCCACATTTAGCTATCAGCGCTGCGGCCAACCTAACGTCTTGGCCAACTTCTCCGCGCAGGTGTTCATGCAAGTCCTCTCCATCTGCCCGCAGAACACCGCATCCACGAGCTACCTCTGAGCTGTTGTCTGAGACCAGACCGTCAAGCTCTGCATCCAATCGCTTGAATAGCTTGCCATAGTCAATTGTCTTTTTGACGTCATCACTCTCAGCAGCAGCCGCTGATGATGCGTAGGTGAGTCGGAAAGATACATTGCATGGCTGCTTCTTTCCCCGCGATGCCATGCCTCGGGAGCGACAGGCAGTGGAAGTTGGATATTCCGAAGTTGAATGGTGTCTGCAATGGCAGGCCGAGGCTCTATTGAGAGAGATTTTCTGAGATTGGCCATGGCTTTTTCTTTTTCACCGAACGTTTAGGTGCTACAAGGAATTGATAGTAACGGGAAACGAGTCATAAGGGTTGACAATTTTTGGTGGCACCTGTGGTCACGTGGTGACGACGAGGTATTGTTTATGCCTGGTAGATCAGGCCACTAATTTGTTTGCTCCTTTTCTCTCTCCCTCCTTTCTCCCTCTCTCTTTTCGTATCGCTCTGAGAGTATCAATCCTTTCTTGTGCTTCCCTTCCTGCGGAGAAAATTGGTCGCATACATATCATGATATCAGGTATGCATTTTATCAAGGCTGCAAGTTACCACTGAGCTAGGACCCTCTACTGCGAGCCTATGCTATCCACTATAGTTTTTGAAGATATAAGATATGTATGCATATAAAGCCGAGGATAAGCTGCGCGGTATCGGAGAGAACAGTACGGAGTAGTTCACGGAAAAGTGTGTAACGTAATTCTTGTAAGAAACATACGTTTGCAGAATGAGTCTTACAGACTACGATTTGCTCATTTCAGCGTGTGGGGTTTGATTCAACTATGTGAGAGATAATCACAGACTTCACAACTGTCCTCTTCCCCATTGGGTGGTGAACACACGCATTATGGATATTTAAGCAGTACTTATGCTTGATGATATTGCTAAAACTCATAAGGCAACATTTGGACATGATCCCAGCCTCGACCGAGTCATCAGTAAAGCCCTAAAGCGCATTGAGCCAGATTCTCGTATCTTAGATGTTGGGTGTAGTATAGGGAGACTGGTAGCGTTCTATAGTAGTAGAGTCGTACAGTGTACCTTACTATGTGTGGTACAGGTACGTGACTAGCGAATCTATTACTTTTGGACTGGAAGAATATTCCTTTGACTTGTCTTGATTCAGAGCGCCAATATCGCCCCGCAGTTTCCACTGCATTACTTATTTCTTGCGAGGATTCTTTAGATCATACCGAACCACCCTGAAAGTTGGCCAAACCTGTAACAAGACAGCGCCAACCATCATACAACCCGCAAATACCTGAGCACGCAAAAACTCCGCGGTATCAAGGTTTACCAAAGCACCTGCAATTGGAGTTCCAGCAAGCGCTCCGAAGGACGATATCCCCCACATCATGCCCAAACGAGTCCCTAAAAAGCTTGAATCCGGACAGAAAACCGGATGTGCCACAATAGAAGTCGGTGCCGTAACCAAAACACCACTGAGAGCTCCCCAGTAGCATGCCCAGACAATGAACCCAGCCATATCGGTAGCCGCAATCCAAGTGAACATGGCAATCGCCGACGCCGTCACAGCAAATATCAAGATCCCGATAGGCTTGATATATGCAACAAGCAGATATGGAACGACACGACCAACCACCGACGTACCGTTGACAATAGCAACCATATAAAAGCTAAAATCGGTCGTGGTATGCACCACCGTGCGGGCATAGGAGGCGACATAGAAAATCGGCACGTAGTATGCGAGCATGACACACGTGAGCGAGAGCGAGAACATCATAAACGAGGGCTCCCGGAAGGCTTTCCAATCAATAAGACTTCTCGCACGGGCCTTTTGGCCTGGTTGCCGACACAAGATTAGGCATGATACAATAGCGAGAAATAGGCTGATGAAGCCGATGCTGCGAACTGCCCATGGAAATCCGACTTTGGGCTGCAGTTGGCGGAACATGACTGGGAAAATGACGGCCCCCACGCTAGACCCGATGGACGCGCAGCCAATGGCGATTGGGCGTTTTGTGGTGAAACTCGTGGAGATTACGACGAGAGCTGGGATGTAGGAAATGCCGCCTCCCATTCCGACGCAAAAGCCTTGAGCGAGCAATACCTGTTCTTGTCAGAAAACGGTTATCTGATGTTAGATTTCTGTTTTACCTGATAGTATGAAGTGGCGAGACTCGTCATCATCATTCCGAATACAGTTAGGAAACTTCCGGATATAATTAAAGGACGCAAGTATCCGACATCAACTAATGGCCCTGTAGCAAGTCCAACCATTGGGATTAGAGTGGCCTGGATACTGCCCACCCATGAGATTGTGGATGGGCTCTCATATGGTAGAAGTTCTGTTTGGTAATACTCTTGGAAAGCGCCATATGTCGTCAGCAGGCCCCTAGGACAAATATTAGTTTGATATAAGAATAGTATGACAAGAGTATAAACCTACCATGAGTTCACAAAGACACAAAAGCCCGCAAGAACATTTAACCATGCATTTAAGCCCCCATTCACTTTTTTCTGGGGTTCGTTTTCATGTTCATTGTCGGGCGTTAAGTTACCCGGCCCGGGTGGTAAATGTGGTTGGGCACCATGTGTCTTCTCTGAACTCATTTCGATATATGATAGCCATTATGTATGGAAGAAGAACAGTTATAAGAAAGAGAACCCTTTTCCCAACACTCCACTGTGGGGAAAACTGGGGTTGCTATTAGTCACGAGCTTCCCCGGTTCGGCATTGGGTAGCCGAGCTCTACCGATTTGGTTGGCTGCTGGTTATAGGATGATCTCAGGCTATATACGGAGTACGGAGTAGTTATGCAGCTGTTCCAAATTGGTCGGGCATCTCCGAATTTCCGAATTCCGATGTTCGAGCTTCAAGGGTCTTACGTCTAGTACCTAAGATCGTTGAATATCACTTCCGCTTCCGGAATATATATACCCTTTGTAGGGCTCCTTTTGGGTTCTAACCTTGTTCATTTACTTTATTGTGGGGTGTTTGTTTCTTCATTTCTTTTTCTCTTTGTCTACATAAAGCTATATTGACAGACTCCATGGTAGGTAGTAAGTGCTATTAGTTTAGTAGCTTATTGCTTCCCCCGGGGCCTCTACCTAGCCCGGTTCTACGTAATTCCTATTTTGATCATAATGCAAATATTTATCCGAAATGACCATCTTGTTCTCGGGGAATTTCTTACCTGCATAACTCCTATTTAGTGCCATTTGACGCGAGAGTGGACCAATCACATCCACTTTGGAGAAAAACCTCCCACCTATTCGCAATCTTGTTCTATATGAGCAATCAAAATCAGACATGGTTCAATCGAACCATTTCTATCGTCTTCGACCTTATGAACTTCATCACTGATTTCACGTGGCACTTACCGAATGTTTCTATCCAACAAGGCTGTCGCTCCGTACATTATGTGACTATGAGCTGAACCCCCAGGGATTCCCATTGATAACGGCCTACATACCTATTATGTACTCTGTGACCGTCATTACCGCCTTGATACGGAGAGATATTTATACATATTTTTCCAAGATGCGATCCCCTAATAAATCATCTCAGCGCATGTCGCTTCATCTGCTACCCCAAAAAAAAAGAGTCACCTCTTGACGCGGTCTTCCGGTCCCTACCTTGTGCACTGCTCGCCATCTTTACATGTTCAGATACTTCTCATGCTCCTGGATCTTGGCTCTTCCACACTGCAGACCTGATGGAATCCTAGTTGATAAAGTCGTGTTCGCAGATCCGAAGCTCGACCCTTTGGAAGGCTCCATGTTTGCCATCTGACCTCACATTCGTGGACTATTGCATCTCGCCTGACATACCAGGCCAATACTCTGGCGGTCAATGACTAGGTGCGTACAAATGAAAAAGGTCCCGGATTTACCTAAGTGCTTATACATCTAGAGGCACAACCTTAAGGTTCTTCACATGGCCACTTCTATTCCTACCTCTGTAAGTAACTCTACCACTACCAATAGTGATGGAAATGAGGAGGAAGAGTAAGCATAAGGGTATGTAGAACATAAGCATACACAAGCTACTGATGAAATGAAACCATATGATGGATCATAAAATCTAGCAATATCTTTCCTTTAATTTAGTGTTTCAGTTTTATACAAAGCGCCTTTTAGTATAACCATAGCTAACGCCACTTTATAACAAGACATCTGACTACGTCTCGCTACAATCCACGAATGAAGTAGGGTAGTGTTTCCAATCGGACCGCTTGAAGAGACATCCACAAATGAAGAATTCCGAGAGCCATACGAACTACTCCGGCCGGTCCTGAGGGGAAGCGTACCTCCCTATTATTCGTGCAGATCTGGATTTTGTGAGGGGTGGATTGCAACGAGACGGACAGTAGCTGCAAGCTTAAGGGTCCACAAAAGACACAGGAAAAAGATATGAGACGACATCGAACGAGATGTCCAAAAAGACATAAAGAATCTTGAATATACCGTCCCTTATATAATTTGGAGCTAAATGGATCAGATTTTTGAGGTATGTCAAGAACAGAGGCTGCACAAGCGGCCGACTATGCTTGTTTCAACATCAATAAGCCGAAAATATAGCAAATGTCACAAATTCCAGAAAGCAGCCGTGGAGTATTCGGTATGAGCAAAATATACGTATATGTAATGCTGGCGGACTTTTGCACCTGACCCATCTGAGCCACCAATCAATGCTTCAGGACAGTGGGATATCAAATTGCAAGTGAGGGAAAGTATTTTCATGTCGTAAATGCAGAAAGAAAATCGTAAAAACCAATGAGAACCAAAGCCAAAATAAACCCATTTCCAATGAGACAGTTCGTCACTCATCCTCAAACTGGTCTGCCCAAGTTCCAGTAATGGGTGAAAACGTATCGTCCAATTTATCCATTGCCGTTTGTGACTTGGATGGTGCAGTTTCAGTTTCAGTTTTGGGCTCAGCTTTAGTCTCAGCCTTGACCTTAGTCTCCGGCGCGGAGACAGGCTTAGCCTCTGTCTTCTTGGGTCTCTCAGGCAGAGCCGGGAATGCGCTCTTATCATCCAACCCCGGCGCAGCAGGGCTCTCTGTTGCAAATATACTGTCAGCCAAGCCCTTGCGTGGCCGGTCTCCCTGTGGGGCCCGTGGAGATCCACGGTCACGGCCACCTCGACCGCGTCCACGACCCCGGTTACCACCAGAGTGATCTGCGGCATCTTCTGAACGGCCATCTTCAAAGTCCCGTCGCACGGCGCCAGACACGCCACCATGCATACCGCGTCGGAACTGGCTGCCTCCACCGCGGGGGTCATAGTCTTCCTCGCGTTTCTGCGAGTCCCACTCACGTCCCGTCTGGGCCTTGAGTTTCCGCTGTCTGTTTTTCTCGCGTTCACTATCCATCACGCGGCGATGCGCGAGTTCCTCGCGACGTTTCTTCGCCGCCTCCTGCTCGCGCTCCATGAACGATGCCTGATCAGCTTCGGCGCGGGCATGGGCCGCAGCCTTCTTTACGGCGTTTTCCTTGGCTGCTGCAATGCGTTTGGATAGTTCTTCTTCCGTGAGTTTAGGCTGAAAGGAAATAGTCAGCTTGGGGCTCCCGCTATCTTGGTAAGAGATGGAGTACACACCTTCCTCAGTCCACCTGTGGCACTCCGATCGCCACGAACAGCAGGGACTCGCTGGGCATCGGTACCATTCGCAGCCGAATCCTCACCATTACCCTCTTCGACCGGAGTGGTCTGCTCTTTAGACTCAACGGGCTTCTCGGGCTTCGGAGCAGCCGTCTCGCGCGCTTCGGTAGCAGGCGCATTGACAGGAGTCTTTTTGCGCGGAGAGCTTTCTGACCGTTTCTGCTCGGACTCCCGTCCACCACGTCCTCCTTTGCCCCGGCCCCGTCGTCCCCGGCCTCGTTCTCCACGGCCCCGCTGCGGAGTCTCCCCACGTGGAATTGGCTGCTCGGGAGCTGGCTTCTCGGGTACTTGTACTTCCTCTGGCTCTGGCTGTGGTTCTGGCTCGGGGGTAATGATCTCTGTCTGCGCCTGCTGTTCTTCCGTGGAGATCGGGATAATCTCATCGTCGAATAGGTCGTCGGCGCCGCGGGTCTGTGCGAATCCGTCCATCGCTGGGTCTGCCATTGCGATTGGGTCTGGAAGGGGGCTGGTAGGTCGGACGGGTCACGGGTAGGCTGTGAACTCGAAACTCGAGGGTGCGCGGGATTGTCGCCGCTATATACGCGATCCGAGGGGTAGCTTCGATGGGGCTTTAAATGGTGATCCGTGCGCAGACTAGTGGAGGGTGCAATATATTGTTATCTTTCAAAATTTGCAAAGATTCACACAAACGACATATATAAAGGAGGAATGACTAGCGGGTATTATAGTTGTCACACAGCTCAACTGATCTGCAATCCAGCTGGGGCAGTCTGCTAGGCGGTCTGATCTTGCGCATTGTTTTGCCGATGAATTCCGTCTGCTTTCTGCCCATATGACGTCCAAGGTTGTTTACATCCTCTTTATACGTGAGCTGGATTGAATAGGTCAATTCTGACGGTTGTTTAATCATATTTCTACGTAGTTTGGAAGAATCCTATACACAATAAGGGGCAAGCAAGCCTAAACACACTGCCAAGCATTCTCATCAGTGTAGTTACCAGGACCCTTGAACACGTTGCGTCGAGGCCAGCGGCAGTGCCTGCGCTTGTACTCGATCTCAGAGCCAGGGCCATCAGAGAACTTGGCACCACGAACAGTCTCCGGTGCCTTGCCCTCCTCGACCCACCGAACCATTGCCATAAGAACATTGTCCTCGGGGTCGGTACCAGCATAGGTACTGGCGCCCTGGCCAATACCATAGGCACCATCTCCATCGCCGCAATGGGCCATACCGCTGATCGGGAAGAAGCGGTAGAACTCATCCAACTTATTGGGAGGTAGTTTCATGGTCTTTGACACGTGGGAATAGTACAGCTTGGAGTTGTCGGAGCTGATCAGCTGGTCTTGAAGGCCGTGGTAGTGCAGGATTTTGCCTCCGCCATTTTTGAATGAAGATATATCGCCGTCCCACGTTTGTATGTTGTACGGGTTCTGGCGGAGAGCCACCGCAGCATCTTTCACTGTGAAGTTGGCCCCGCTCCAGGCCGGGTTGTTGTAGACGACGTATCGATACCAGTCTTGGCTGTATTGGAATGGTGTGCCACTGTACATCATTGGTGCAGCGAGGATTTCGGATCCAGGCTGCATGCGGGGGTATAACAGGGTGCCATTAATTCCGTAAAATGGCGATAGCACTTGCTGGGCGGTGTTGACTTGGGCGCTTGTGAGACAGCTTGTTTTGTTTGAGGCACTGGGGTCACAGGTCAACGTTTCCAAGACAGGGTGGCAGAGATCGGTATCTTCGATAATCCCATCTTCAGCGCCATCAATAGCATCACATTGGCGGATGATCTCTTCGTGGACGATCTTCCATTCATCTGGGGACAAAAATGTGTCGGAAGTCGGGGAGCCAGTGATCGGGTAGAAATGTGCGCTCCACGAGAACAGATTGACTAAGCCGATAGCAGGGGCACCAGCCACCACCCCGTCAAAGTCGTTGGGGTATTTCTGGACAGATTTCCAACCTTGGCGGCCGCCAGTGGAGCATCCGAGGTAGTAGCTCTTGTCGAAACCCTCCTCATAGAATTGCTTGGTGAGTTCTTTGCCTATGACAACTCCAGTGTGAACAGAACGGTATGCATAATCTTCGATCACCTCAGGTTGACGGTAGAAAGGCTTTCCTGAGGTACCATTGTGTCCGTTGTTGGCTCCGACAGTTGCAAACCCTAGTTGCGCGGTGTATGCGAGGTCATAGTATTGAATACCTGCGTTGAGATTAGATGAGCCGAGGTGTTGGTTTATGTTGGTTTTGGAAACATTACTTACACCCAGAGATACCACCATTTCCGGTGCTTAAGAAACGGCCCTTATATTCACGCGGCAACCAAGCCTCTAGTGTGATCTCGCTGCTATTCGAGGTCGACACGGCCATGGCGACCCTGCACAAGTCTACGGAGACGGCCTGATTCGACCTACCGCAGCTAGGCGGATTATCTGCCAAGGATAAGTTGGTACCTCCCTGCACAAACTCGGCAAAGTTGACTTTGACATTGGGAATGTCGATTTGAGCACCAAAGTCGACACATTTTGATTGAAAGGCGTCTTGGCTGGCCAGGGCAAGGGAGCCCATGGCTGCCAACAAGGGCAACGCATGAAGACGAGTCATATTAGGGAGAGACCGTGGAAAACACTAATGATGCGACACCTGCAGACCAGCGGCCTTTAATATCCGGTTATTTTCTCCGAGGTATGTTTCCTCCTCCCATGGCAGCGGTATTATTGCGTATTAATATGAACGTTGAGACGGCAAATGTTGGACCAGGAGTTCCCGAAGACCGAATTCTGCAGATCCATAACGAAAAGGCTAAAGCACCCGAAGTTTGGCCGACTAGCATGTGGGGATTGGCAGCGAATGAGCAACCCCAGGCTGCGGAGAGGACAAAGGACGCGACGACATCGGCAGCATTGCAAAGCTTAGACCAAATAGCGGGTTTCGGAGGTGATCCGGAAAAGCCGAAAATGACGGGATATTTCTATTTCCTCGACTCAGAGGGAGAAATCCGGGGATCTCCACAAAATGCGGAGAATGCATACATACCCCTCTGTTTCACTTTAAGGCTGTTGGAATCGGCACTTCTTATTTACCTGTAATTCAACACCTGTCAGTTCAAGGCAATAGAATGGAGACTAACCTCGGTGGTGTTCGCATGCTTTTGTGATTTATATAGTAAATGCATAACCCCAACTCTTGCTCCTTTACACCTCCGTATAGACACTGCTACACCTGATCTACGCTCCATCGTACTTTTCAGATAACCTCTATCGAAGGTTGGTCTGGTCCATCAAGCTCTAGGTGCATCACTACCTCTTTGGTGAAACTACACAACCCAGGCCAAATTTTCAGCCAAGTTCTACATTGTTGCCAGACACGTGTACAGTAGTGGGAAAATCTTGTCGGTTAACTGAGATGTTATTTTTCCTTCCGGAGGACGCATCATTGTGATTGGCTGTATGCCAGACGGATTCGAGTGTTGTAGAAGTACCTGGGTACACGTGTGTTGGAGCGAGATGGCCGTCGAATCCAGTTACAGACTTGATTGCACAGGTGAAGCGCAAGTTTTCATTCCTTCAAGGATGAAGGAAGCGAGCATATTGGCAATTTTTTGCGATCCCTCATGTTGCACTTGTAGAAAAGCAAGCTTAAACTGACTCTTCATATCCAAGTGGTAGAACGTGAAGATCTCCTCGTCGCTGAGCACCCTATAAACAGTCTCACCTCTCCTATAATAGTAGCGACCTCCTTAGCCACTAAGAGCGCCTCCTTCACTTCCTTAAGGAGGTTCTTCGCGGCTATAACAATCTCTAGTATATCTAGTAGGTCCGACTGGATTGAGATGGATGGAGGGGAAGAATATAGATGAAAAGATGATGAAGGCACAGTTGAAATTAGATGAAAAGGGTTTCTTCCGATTGGCCTATACCATGGCCATATATGCCACAAGTTGGTCATGGCCATCTCCGCCGACTTGTTTGGCTTCAATCATCACGACATGACAAGCCAGGTCGTCTCTTTTTCCCAAGAAAAGGCTGTAATCCGCCCTTCTAACACAAATATGTGGCTCTTCTTTGTATGTAATCGGGCCCCAACTCACGGTTGCTTCATGGGCTAGTGTTATTGGGGGGTCCATTTACTAGCAAATTTTGCGTGGAGAGCGCTTGGTAAACAACGTTTATCAAGATATCGAGTTTATAGCGCACCCGGGTTTCAGTGGGCTTCGCACGTTTAGTGAGGGCTTCAGAAGCCTCGAGGCCAACTAACTGTCTGACAGAATGGCCAATATCTAAGCACTATGTATGGTGGTCAGCAATAAGCAAGACACCTGCCCAGGTGGCCCAGGCGGGTAAATAGTGGTGTCTACTAACCGATATTGGTTAACCTTTTGGTCAAGGGCTTCCAGCTCCTCAGCTTGCTTCATGAGCAGTCCTCCAATAGGATAATAAACCTCTGTAGGAACTCGTCTTTACCACATTTCCTCCTCTCTCTCTCATCATGGAGAACTTGGGCTTGCTCCGGGGCTGGCATGCTTTGTATAATCGCGTGTAGCTGCTTTTCCTAGCCTGGGCCATCTCCCATGTTACAATCAATAACGGTCTGGAACGATTTGGAGGCATGTTATTCTTACCTTTTGGGCACTGGCCTTGAAGTTTGACTATCGATGTAGAGGGCCAATGTATGTGATATTGTGCATGGCGGACGCTTCGGTCGTATTAGGGGCCACAAGAAGGCCACGAAGAGGAGTTTCCAGCGTCTTCTGCCACCACCCATCTGCTTACCCTTCCATCGCGCCACCACGACTCATCGCCCGGACCTTTTCAACGAAGGGCACGCTCATACCCAGAACTTCCTTCGGAAATCCCGAGTTGCTGCATGAGAAGGGCTGAACTACCCTTCACGCGACATAAAGTAGAAGTCTGCTCGTGTTGCTTGATAAGGCGCTCCCAGACCTGGAATTCCTAACCTGAGCCAACTTGCGTGGCTATTCCCATCTTCTCAAATCCGGCGACAATGAGACAGCTTTGAGCACGACTTAATACGACACAGCTTCTCTTCCTATCTGTGATGAACCCCAGACTTTATTGCCTACCTGGCCCGAATAGTTGAAAGTACCACTACCAGGCTTTCGGAGCCCTGTGGGGAGTCGACACTTTTATTGAGTGGCCGAGCTTTCGAAGTAGCTCAGATAGGACCCGGCGCTCCTCGTTGTAATACGAGGGTACCAGAATGTCCTCCTGCGTGCCCTGCGTTAAGCTCAATCAGGTATTTCTCCCAGGTAGACATTTTGTCCCTGTAGCATTCCATATCCTTTCTGACGGCATCGATTGATCGGTGGAGCATCCATACGTGGAACTTAGCAGCAAAGCTGTATCCACGCTGCTGTCAACGCGATAAGTAGAATGCCGATTATCGGGAGACGAACAAGGCAAATAAACTCATTTATAATGGACAGTCTGGAGAAGTGGAGATGAGAGAGGTGAGACAAAGTAAGAAATTGAGAAAGTGAGATAGTGAGATGAAGAGAGCGAGAGATTGAAAAGCTGGAAAGTGGAAAAAGCTGACAAGCAGCTCTGGGACCGGGGTATAATTGGTATTTGCTCTTACATCACTTTGTATGTGTGCTGTGTATCTCAATGCTGACTTGGTATAGGATCGCTTTCACTGAAAAGAGATAATGCAGGTAGTCACCAGAGACTAGGGGGCCTCGTTCCTTTCCAACGAAATGAGATTTGACAAAGATTTATCATATCACTTGTTTAATATAAGCTAAGTTGTTTATATAGAACGGGCAGAGAGGTGGAATAGTCAGTTCCTATATACTGAGTGGATCGTGAAAGAGGTGGGTCCTTAAGGCCAAAATCTGGCAGGAGTTAAAAAAATCTTGGAACGTAACTATAGTATAGAAGGTATAGCCATGCAAAAGTAGAATGCAAATATAAGCCAAGTTCTCAATTAGCTATGGAAAACGTTCTGTACGGAGTATGCAACCAATAAGACACCCGCTATATTAAACCCCACGTCTCTCCACTCCATTTGGAGATTCCGCCGGAGTCCCCGATCACATCATTGGCAATCTCCCTACTGACAGAACTTCCATTCACCTTTGGACACCACATCATGTCTGTAGGTGACACGGCGAGAGAGCCTGCGTCTGAGCAAACGCCCCCTCCTTCGGGATTCACCTGATGGGGATGCCAATGAAGATACCCCACTACCCCAGGAACCCAGTACCAAGGAGTTGATCTGGATCCTCGGAAGCATCTGGCTCGGTGTCTTCCTAGCTGCTCTCGGTACGTATTCCAACTCTTCCAGGGGAAACAAAATTACTAACTTTAGCTTTAATTACAGATACAACGATCGTCGCCACGCTCTCCGCCCCCATCTCTTCGTCCTTCAACTCATTCTCGCTCCTTTCGTGGCTAGCCACTTCGTATCTGATCTCCAATGCTGCCTGCCAGCCTCTCAGTGGCCGATTGACTGATATTTACTCTCGTCGTTGGGGGCTTGTGTTCTCCAACATTTTCTTCGCCCTTGGCAACTTGATCTGTGGCCTGGCAAGAGCGCAATGGGTTATCATCCTTGGTCGCGTCGTGGCAGGTGTCGGAGGAGGCGGTCTTACTGCGATCTCGACCTTCGTCACTTCTGACCTGGTCCCTCTCCGCAAACGAGGTATCTGGCAGGGCATTGGAAACATCTGCTACGGTGCTGGTATGGGGCTTGGAGGTGTGTTTGGCGGGTGGATCAACGACACTCTGGGATGGCGATGGGCGTTCTTACTCCAGGTCCCCTTCCTGGTGATCTCGTGCGTTCTAGTCGCAATTACGGTCAACATTCCTGTCAAAGAGTCGGATACCGCCCGCATCAAACGCGTTGACTTCCTCGGCGCTATCACTCTGGTTCTGACACTGGTCACATTACTGCTTGGCCTCAACACCGGCGGAAACCAGGTGCCCTGGACCCACCCGCTGGTGCTGACGTCGCTGGTCGCATCTGCTATCTTCCTGGGTCTGTTCATCTACGTGGAAGCTGAGGTTGCTTCTGAGCCTGTCATTCCCGTGCGCCTTCTGCTGTACCGCACCGTGGCAGCTGCCTGTCTGACCAATTGGTTCAGTACCATGGCTGTCTTCGGTCTACTCTTTTACCTACCGGTGTACTTCCAGGTGCAGGGGCTTTCTGCGACCGCCGCGGGTGCGCGAATAATCCCGCAGGCGATCGGCACCTCGATCGGCTCTTTGGGATCGGGTCTCATCATGCGTGCCAGTGGTCGGTATGCATTTCTCAATTATGTTGCCATGGCTGTCCAAGTTCTCTCCGCTGGTCTCATCTGCACGTTGAATCTCAACACGCCCGTTGAACTGCCGTTCCTCTATTTCTTCCTGGGCGGTGCATCCTACGGTAGCATGCTTACCATCACCCTGGTTGCGCTCATCTCTTCCGTAGATCACCACCATCATGCTGTTGTGACATCTGCTTCGTATGCCTTCCGCAGCACTGGAAGTACAATTGGCATCACGGTCGCTTCGGCTGTCTTCCAGAACACCCTGAAGCTTGGACTTTGGTCTCGATTCGGTGAGCGCGAGGATGCCAAGGAGCTAATTGGACGGCTCCGGGATAGCTTAGATGAGATTTGGAAGATGCCCACAGCCTTAACACCTGGAGTGCTTGACGCATATATGGACTCCTTGCGGGCGGTATTCGTGACATTGTTGGGCCTGGCTGTCCTAGGAGCATTGACGAGTCTCGCCATGAAAGAGCATAAGCTGCACAACAATCTGGCCCGACGATAGAGTGAACGTTGGGCATTGATAGAAAAAGGTTGGGTCATATAGATCAGCATATATACAACGCACCTAGACAGCGATTGACCTAGTTCAACTCCTTTTTCATGTCTGAACTGACATGAACTAAAAAACCCAGCAGCAGTTAGGAACAGATCAATAGATTTGTCGACGTTGTACTGACGTACTCCATACAAAGAGCACATGTTGGATGATATTCGACCTAAATGGCGTCTCCTATCACCACTTCATTTGTATTGCGTCAATAATAAAGAAATTTCGCTGGTTTCCCATGGGACGTTCTGTCCATTTGTAGGGCATGCCGCTAAGCCAAGTTTTTGACACATGTATATCAATGATTTCGCTTATCTTTGTTCAGTTTTGAGACCACCGGGGCCTCAGACATAGCGAACTGGTGTCGGTGGAAGAATCCAAAAGAATCAAAATCCACCCTCACCGTGTTATTTTATACCTCTCTTTTTCGATATCCCGTAGTAAAATTGCGTGGAGTTAATTATAGGAAAAAGAAATAACAATATAGTAAAAAACCAAAACATGAAAAAAGAAAAGGTCCTGCCCGGGTTCGAACCGGGGTTTCTGGTACTTCAATCATTTCAAAAACCAGAGTGATGACCACTACACTACAGAACCAGTGCATATCGGATCACAAGGAAATGAGACACATATCCTAGAAAAGACAAGACTACTTTAGGTTTATCATAAATTGTATAAAAACGAAGAATATCCGGGCATGAAAAGTCATGACCACTAGACCATAAGACGAATAGACTGTCAGGTGACAACGGAAAAAGCTGTTCGGGTCTCCCGGTCGGATATTAGAAAGCTTAACAAAAACAGATTCAAACCCCATCTATCTTCTCAAGCTCCGCCCATGTTTCGTAATGCAGTGAGGGATGTTTATTTGGATCCGTTCACGAAATATGAGAGGCAACGTAAATGTAGGGAAGCGTATCGGTCTGATGATATGGACATAAACCCCAGCACCTTCATCTCTCTCAGGGTTGCCTCCAATATCAATCAAGCTAGGCCAAGTTAGTATATGTATTTATCAGACCCAGTAGTTTTATAGTACATACTCAGATAGTCCAATTGAGGCTTTCTCAGAACCTTCCTTCGTGGCAGGGGTCAAAACATCATAGAGACTATCCTCGATATCTTGAGTGTCTGTGTTCTCGAAAAACTCTCCATCGCGTTTGCTTTGGCTGTTGCTGCGCTCTGTCTCCGTAAGAAGATGTATAGCAACATGGTGTAGGGGCGGCTTGTTTAGATTTTGGGATTGGGGCTTGAGAGGGAAACTGGACGGCCTGAATGGGGAAGAGCTGCTCGGCTAAACGATAGCTGGTCACCTTGATCTTGACCCTGGCACTGGTGGACTTCTTCCATAGCGGCTTGGGTGTATCTTTCAAGCTCACTTTGTGGATAAGTTTAGCTAGAGACATTGGTATCATCGACCTTGTTGCCGTCGACCTTGTTGCCATCGACCTTGTTGCCATTGTCCTTATTGCCGTTGTCCTTGTTGCCGTCGACCTTGTTGCCGTCGACCTTGTTGCCGTCGACCTTGTTGCCGTCGACCTTGTTGCCGTCGACCTTGTTGCCGTCGACCTTGTTGCCGTCGACCTTGTTGCCGTCGACCTTGTTGCCGTCGACCTTGTTGCCGTCGACCTTGTTGCCGTCGACCTTGTTGCCGTCGACCTTGTTGCCGTCGACCTTGTTGCCGTCGACCTTGTTGCCGTCGACCTTGTTGCCGTCGACCTTGTTGCCGTCGACCTTGTTGCCATTGTCCTTATTGCCGTTGTCCTTATTGCCGTTGTCCTTGTTGCCATCGACCTCATTGTTGTCGTCATCTGAGTCGGGCACTGGAAGTGCAATGTCCCCAATGCTGCATGTGTAGGGGCATGTACGGCAAATGAACTTTATCTCAGTGTCGATTTTAGCGATGGCTAGGATATTGGCGCAGTAAGGGCAGACTGGGAAAGTCAGTATGTCTTCAAACCAGGTAGTGTTGGGCACGGACAAGACAGTTCCCGAGGGAGCTCGTAGCGTGGGGTCATTGTGAAATCTGTGGAATCCTGACGAAGTCGATAGTGTTAGTAGAGAAGATCTCGTATACACCTGCATTTAGCGGGGATGATCGGTTACATACTCGATGGAGAAGCAAGCTGCAAATCCGGTATCGGTGATGATTATCTGCTCATGGGGAAAAGAAAGGTGAAAGAGAGTGAAAGAAAGAAAGAACAAGTTTAAAGAAGTTTTACACCACAAACAAGCATCTTCGGGTTTGCAAGGCACGCCTACATTTCCTACTCCTCTTTTCAGTACTAATGAGCCTTCGATCATGTACCAGACAATGTTTTATTCGTGGTACCATCCTATTGCTCTGGTCACTCTATATCAAATCAAATCCAAATTAGTCTGTTCCTATTAGGTGGTGCTTTCAATCTATCCTTTAGATGATCTTCTTATACCAAGGTAAACATATGTAATCACCTAATATGTATGCTGTAGCTCACAGCCCAAGTCCTCTACGATGCAGATATTTCTCCATTGCTCATCATTTCTGAGAGACAGAGAAGCTAGAGATCTACTATGAGGTAATGGAGATCTCTTGCGTCTGGGATATCTGTAGATGTATGGAAAGGAAGAAACTATCTGTCGTGCTAAGTATTATATGGCCTTCTAAATAATTTTATAGAAAAGCTGGTTCTGTACCTAGGTAAATGATTTATTAGGCCACAATCATTGTCGATTCACGGCATCAAACCAGGGATATATAAACGGTATTTTGATTCTAATAGGTGGTGTCCGTACCCCCCCCTTTTGTAGAATATATATGTCAACCAGCGTCAATAATAAAAGTCTATAAAATCAGTGTCGAAAGGAGGCATTGCATTGACCCTACATATATATCGTATCGATTAGACTTTTAGCCATTTTTATCGACGAGGTTGCCCAAGTCATCAACCTACAAGAGGAGCCGTACATACTCAGGGGTGTATAGACGTAAGGCCCGGTCTAGTTCCACGTTGTCTAGTTAGAAGCAAGCACAAAGGCTAAGAAGTTAAAGATAATTTAATTTACTTCCACATAAGCAGTAGATGTGTAAATGGAATTATTTTAGATTTCAAAAAAAGTCTAAAAGGCAAAAAGTAAGTCTTAAATAAGACACCTTAAATAAGAGGTCTTACCCGGGTTCGAACCGGGGTCGATGGAAGAGTTTTGATATATCAAAATCCACAGTCATAACCACTAGACCATAAGACCGACCTTATGCCGGAAGGGACCTTTTCATGATTTATCACAGAAACCCTTCTTCCCACTATTCGTTCCCGTATATGTATACTATAGACCCATTTAATACAGGAAAATGAATAAGTGAAGAATTACCTAGGTAGTGAAAAGCTAGACCGCTTCCAATCAATCTGCCCCTTTCCTGTACCCGTCTTTAACCGTTATAGGCCCTCGAACTAGCATTTTGGCTCTGCATTATTGGTTGATCTCCACTTTGGAATCTCGGCATTTTTTCGTGAAACGACACGGTACAACATACCCGTGGACATTCGGTTCGGTAGCTCATCACGTCCGATGTGGCAACGACGTGGCGAGACACCTCACCGCTCGAAACCGATCGTTGCATGAGTTTCCATTTCAACTTTGGGTTGCATGATTGGGCTCTAATCAGACCAGCCTGATAATTTATCTCTTTTGTACAGTACCCAATTGATTTGGTTTCATCCTTGCTCTTGACTCGATTCTTTACTATTTGCGCCTACCTATATCATTCCTACGAAGCTATTTGCGCCTACCTATATCATTCCTACGAGGCTTCTTCTATCCGCCCCTATCCTTATACAGTGGAGCCCACCTTTGGTCACATTGGGCATGACAGTCGGATTTCGGTCTGATATCTCCTCAATTACAAAACGCAATAGCAATACAAAGGGGTCGAGGTCTGATATGGAGGTGGATGGAGGCTGTAAGGAAACCGTGATTGGAAACAAAGCGGTGCAAAATGCGAAATCATCCCATCCCCGGCGCCGCCGATTGCTTTTATCAACGGATAGTGCTTTCGCCGATACCGTCCTGCCGTCCCTCGTTCAGAACCCATACATCGAGCTACGACTGATCACAGACGAACCCTCCGCTTTGCTCACCGGCACCAACAAGATCCCACACTACATGGATACGGTCGACAGCCAAACGTTCGATAAGAAAACTGGGGCGCGGAAATGGCTCAAGGCGAAGACGGCGGAGCTCTGCGAATGGGCGGACATGCTCTTGGTTGCGCCTATCGATGCCGGAGCTCTGGGGGCGATGCTGGCCGGCTTGACAAATACCTTGACGTTGGCGCTCCTTCGTGGCTGGGTCTCAAAGAAACCTGTGATCCTCATTCCCGGAATGACGGTGTCGGAATGGGACCACCCGCTTAGTACTCGGCAGCTCGATGAAATCAGTCGCTTTTGGCCTTGGATTCGCACTGTCAAGCCTGTGCTCTGGAAGTCAAACGGGCCCGAAGACCTGACAATACTGCCATGGGACGGCCTGGAGGAGTTACACCAGACACTGGAGACAACATTAAAATTACCGCCATGGGAAGCTACCCTATCGACCAGACCAATTCCCCATAGCGCTACGGTCCCGGATAGAACTGCATCGAAATCTACATCTGGAAATGCCACCAGCTCCACGCCGCAGACGCAACATACAGGAAAAGCCGATTTTTTACCACTGGAAATCTGGCTGAATGTCTTTGAGGATCAAGTGCGAGACTGGGAAACGGCGAAAGCCGTGGGCATTCCAACTCATCTCCCCGTTCCCCAAGAATGGCAGAGCCATCTACCCAAGATGTCCACCACGGCCACCCTCGAATATACAATCCTGCGAGGATCCTTCGCCGCCATCAAAAAACGCATCGATGCGCTGCCTCGCTGGAAACCGCTCTCCGACCTTGCTTGCCACCTCATTGTTAAATTCTCCCGCACCGACATCCTTTCCTATCTCACCGAAAACCACCTGGACCTCCTCTGGACAACCTCTCGACTCACAAACATTCCATATCGAGCATCCGCGATCTACGGCAACCCGAACGTACTGACATGGTGGCGTGATGCGCCCGCTCTCCCAAACAAAGAATACATGGCCGACGCCATGGACGGCGCCTCCCGGGCCGGGTTCATCGACGTATTGGATTGGTGGCTCCACTCAGGACTCCCGCTACGGTATAGCGAGCGTGCCCTCGAAGCCGCCAGCGCCGAAGGTCGAGTCGCCGTACTCGACTGGTGGAAAACCGCCTCCGCCAATGCCCCACCGTCCAATCCCTTGCCTCTCAAGGTCGGCAAATCCGTCCTGCTTGCAGCGCAGTCGGGCCGCACTGCATCACTTGCCTGGTGGGACGCATCAGGGATCCCTTATAGTCACGCTGAGAACGTTGCCCGCATCGCGAGCACGCATGGCCATGTCCATGTCCTCGAGTTCTGGTATAAACTTAAAGGCCCGAAGATGATCTTCGATAACCAGGTGCTTGTCGGCCCGACGAAGAACGGCCACGACCACATTCTGCAGTGGTGGAAGAGCTGCGGTATGCGGGTTGAATTCAAGACTTGTGACATTGAGGAAGCGCTTGAGGATGCTGATCCGAGCTCTGGCGCTGAGGGTCGTGTTCGGCGTTGGTGGGAGCGGAATGGGCTGAACCTTGGAGTTGGCACGAGTGAGTGGATGAGATCGAAGGTTCTGTGAGAAATCATGAAATCATTTTGCATCACTGCGTGGCTTGCGGTTTTGGTCTTTTGGCGTCTTGGTAGGGATTCATCTTTCCTTTTCTGTTCATGCGGTTGCGTTTTGTTGTTCTTTTACATATCATGACTCCAGATGACGACTCACAATACCCATTTGAATATTCATAATGCTATCGTTTTCATCGCGTCAAACCTTCGATCTTGTTCGGAGGCTCTGCAGGAACGTATCTTGTCTGTGATTTAAATTGAACCTACATTTTACATATATTTCGGTGGCGATGTACAATGGAACGATTCTCCTATCTCAATCAAGACAATTTCAACCCAATCATTAAATGAAATAGATATTAATTGCGCGCGAAAAACTGCTTCATACTGGCTATATATTTAGCCTTAGACCCTCGAGAGACCTCGGGATCGTCCCGGGCCTTAGGATTGCTGAGTCAAGGCCCAGCTCGCCGCTGTGGCGCCGAGGCTCCACCAGTAAATCGTAACATCAACCTCCAACCTAACCAATTACTTGCAAACATTCTGCTGATGCTGGCGCGCTGGGTCCTGCGACGCGCGCTGCGCGGTTCAAACTCAAGAGCAATATCAACTCGCACGCGACAGCCATCACAAAATCCTTATAACAACATCCCGTCAAATGGCATCAATGGTCTCCACAGCATCACAAGAAAGAGACAGAGCATGGCTCAAAATGTCCGACTCAATATTATTCAATCACGAACCCTTATGACGGAGGCTATTCCAAGCATTGCTGTACCACCTCTCCTGTTCATCGGACTCCTACTCGGTCTATGGACCTGGAAATGTTTCTGGATCATCGTCATGCAAAACAAGCTCCTGTATCTCTCCTGGCTTCCCCCATTTACAAGATCAGAAACAATTTCAGATTACAAGGCTGAATGCACACCGGTGCAGTGGGAGGAGAAGCAGATTCGCAGCTTGGACGGGACTAAATTGGCTGTTTGTGAGGGTCACATTCCGATTCTCGCAAAGGATAATATGTCCTCGTTGAATAATAGTGCCTCACAAAATAAAGATCAGGTAAAACCGATCCCGAAACGAAAAAAAGTCCGTTGTGATCTGTTACTTTCAAGGCAATGGAGGATCAACACCTATGCGGTTGCCTCTTCTCTCTCACGTCTTGCGCGCAATTACCGAAACGGCAAGATCATCTTCACTATCTATGTCTGTCGCCGATATGTCTCAATATACTATCGCTGCTCTATCATACCGCGGCTACTGGACATCATCTGGTCGTGCCACACAGTCCGGCATTGAGATGGATGCCCAGGCATTCTTGAATTGGGTTTCGGAAACATATGCATCCCCGGACACCGATCTTGAGATCGTGATTTGGGGACACAGCCTGGGTGCTGCTGTTGCAAGCTCAGCAGTATCTACATATCTTGCCCGTCAACATGAGGGGCAGACCTCAAATACAAACAGTAACAGGCCCCTGGCGCCAATTTCGAGGCTCATTTTGGAGGCGCCAACATCCAGCATTAAAGACATGCTCATCAGCCTCTATCCTCAGAAATGGCTTCCATACAGGTATCTCTGGCCGTTCTCTTGGAATAACTGGGATATCAAGGCGAAGATGCAAGAAATGGCTACATGGAGAGACGAACCTGGGTCTCAAAGCCCCAATGAAGCTACGCCACCAATACCTCGCTCGCTTCCGCCGATCTTCCTTATATCTGGTGATAAAGACGAAGTCGTCCCACCATACGTACCAGACCAGTTAGAACAACATGCCAAGTCTCTCGGCCTGGAGATCCAGAGGAAAGATGTCCTTGGTGCTATGCATATAGAGGCTCCACTCAAACTGGATGGTAGGAAGGCAATGGTCCAATTCATTCTCAGCGGCACATCCGTGCCCAAGACATAACATAATAACCTCTCATAGATACCACATAGATGAATGAAAGTACATAGCACCTCACTCCCACTTCTCAACATGTACATGCTTAACATCCGCATCCTTCGCCAACGCCTTAAGCTTTCCAAATTCCTCAGAAGTCTCAGATTCGCCGAAAGCAAGATGATCCTTGACTTCGTTCCACCCACTGAAAATAACAAACTCCTCATCTTCGCCCTCTTTATCGATACGCCACGCACCGCACGAAGAGAACGGAGCCGTGGACGCATTCAAATGAGAGACACCAGCCTTGAAAGCAGCGTCGAATTCATCTTTCTTGCTTGGCTCGACAAAGCATCGGGTTATAGCGAGAACGGGTGCATCCAGTGGGATTTTGGATGGCTAGGTCCGTTAGCTTATATTTCTTGATAACAACCCCGAACTACGAAGTTAGTTCTTCGTCAAGGTTAGAAAACTCACTTCAACGTCCAAGTGAAACATCCAACTGACATCAACATTGTCCTTCAACTTCGCGAGAAGGTTCTGGTTGACTTCGAGTGAAAGCCACTGTCCTTCGCCGGTATGTTTCTCGACAGACTCCCATCCACCCAGCAGATAAAGGGACAGTGGGTCTTCGACCTGGCGCAGGTATGTGACGGGATAGCCTGAGTATTCACTCTGTTTCTTCTTGGCTTCTAAGAAAGTACTCTTGGTAGAAGACGGGGGGTCTTGCACTCTCAAGCGGAGGAGGGCGAGTTCGGTGACCGGCATTGTATCTTCTCTTTGAAGTAGCTTGTATTTGGGGCTTTGAGATGAAATGAGTCTGATTTTTCGTTGAATATTGCGGGTTGCACGTTGCTTTATATGTCTATCTAGTCCATGTGGTTTTACCAGGAATGGCCGAAATGCGAGCTAAGGTGGGGGCCGTTTCGTAGGCAGCTGCTGGCGGCGTCATCTTGCTGATTCTCGGCGCTAATCGACTAATCGGTCATGCAGAGACTTCGACTACATCTGTAGGTTCATCACCGGTGGATGTATTGGAATGTTGGGCTTTAAGGCTATAAGCTACGGGTTCTTTCAAGCAAAGCCAAAAAAAGGGTTCACGTAAATTGCAATGCAACCAATATCCAATCGATTTAAGAATATACATATCCGGGACACCAGCGATCAAAATGAATGTTCACCTTTCAGCAACACGATAGCCAATGGCTTTGGGTATACCGACCAAGCACAAGACCAGACAATGTAGGAAAGAAACCAAAACCGTAAATCTCAAAGGGTAAAGACCATCCGAACTTCAACATTGTAATCGCACGGATCAAACCTCTTTCCTGTGGGGACATTAATAACCCGAGGTGTAATAGAGAGGGGGAATGACTTACCAAGAAAGTCCAGATTTCTCAATGGCCGGGGTCTTAATAGCATTCCTGTCCCCAAAGGGGTTGTCTTCATCATCCTCTTCTTCCGATTCACTCTCGCTATCAAAGATTTGGCGTGAGTGTTGCGATGAAGAAGCAAGAGGCAGGCTCTCAGGACGATTCGGCCGTGGCGGCTTTGGAGGGTTGATACTAAGTCCAGCAAGGCCGTCATTGACATCCGTGTCCTGCAGTCCAAGTCCATGTCTGTGCCTCCAATTGCCTTCCAAAATGTCATCCTCACTGTCACTGTCGTAGTCCACGCTCTTGTCTAACACCTCGAATGCCATCAATGCATCCACCAGCTCCTCGTTTGCATGAATCAGGCCGCCCAGGAACTCCTCGGTCTCTATATACTGGATATATCGAAGGATCTCATGGCGAAGCTGCTTGCATGTGTCGAATCGATTACTGCATTCCGCATCCTCACTCACTCGGTGTGTCTCGCGATTGACGAGTTTAAGAGCATTCAACAGGTTGGTGCTAGCAACGGAAGAAGCAGCAAGTGCTTGTAGGATCTCAGGGCGCTCCTTTTCCAGATCAAACCTCTTGCTGCTAATTGATAGTTTCTTATCTTTCTTGACTTTCCTGGACTTGGACTTTTCTTTGGGACTGGTCAGCACAGTAGATGGTCCACTGCCCGCTGAAACAGATACAACATGACCCATCGGGGGCTCATTTGTATTTGGATTTCCCTCGCGAAGAACTTTGGCTTTTGCTTGCGTCGCGGGCTGTTTTCGCTTGGGAACTTGCTTGTATAGCGCCGTGACCTTCGCCATACCAGGGGTGTCCTTAAAAGTTGCCGCCCATTGTGCAAAAATCTGTTTGCATTTCTGTTTCACGAGTGGATCCGAAACGGAATCAGTAGCTGCAATTCGCAGACGTTCGAGCAATGCCTCATCGGCGAAATCGCGCAAGAAGCGCTCTCCTGCATTTTGAACCAGGAAGTCGAGGATAGTAAGCGCGCGCAGTTGTCGATGGAGATTGCCATATTTTCTGGATTAATCAGACTGGTATTCAGCAATGTCAATACTCGTAGACTCACAGTTTCTTGCGAAGAGCCCGACTTGCTTCCATTGGGCCGCTGGCCTGGATGCGGACTACTTCCACTAAATCGACGATCCCACTTGAGTCTTCGACTTCATATTGTTCGCTTGTAAGAACCTCGATTTGTACGGTCACTGCCGAATACGGTTTCTATTGAAAAGCGATATCAGTCGGTGCTAAATGTGTGTGATATTCACCCAAAGACTCACGGAGGACTGGAACATTCTGGCCTAGTCAAGGAGATAGTCTCTATAACAGTGTTTATGCTCGGCTTGAGTAGGAACAGGTTGGAGGAATCGAAAATTGTCCTTGGGATCAAACAGCCCACAATCACCCCACGCTGCGATGTCGGTATAAGAATGACCCCGCACGGCGCTGTTTATACAAACGTTTCGCAGGAATCAGATACGTGTGGGTATCGGCGGTGATAGATGCAAGTGCCTTCGCTAAAAAAAAAAGCCAGAAACGAGTTAATGGTGTGAAGGACAATATAAGGGTTCAGGGAGCTTTCGCGATACCTTCACGTGGTGTCGGTGACGTCGGAGGCCCCAGGAGTCTTGGCGCTCGTTAATCTGATAAGCGCAATGGAAAGTGCCGAGAACGTAGAACGAACATGTACCTCGTTCCCAATATGCTCTAAACTCGTCCAAATTGCAAAACGGCCTTGTTACAGGGGAAGAGGAGTTGAAACAATGCTCAGACAGTTTAAGCTTATCGGCTCCTCGTGACTATTCCGGCCCAAAGGGGATTAGGGCGGGGTCAGGTGCCCGAGGCCAGTTTATGAGAAAGAGGTCATTAACGACCTCGGGACTTGAGCAAATCAATAGTAACCAATAAGACCTCGAGGAAGCAAGAGTAGTCAATCCTGGCTATATTTCTTGCCAATTGATCTCGCATGAAGCTTTCGTCTGCACACCGGACAGACCCATCCCCACGCTCCTATTTGTTACGCGTACTGTCCCGCTTCGTGGTCTGCTCCACCCTTATTCTGGCCGTCAGCGTGGCTCTGAAATCCCGCTCTCGTCTCTCCCTCCTCCTCCCCCACCTTTCTTCCAACCAACCTACAATCATGTCTTACCAACAGGAACGTTACATTGCCGAATTGGCCGTCCAGCGGGCGTGCCTCCTGACACAGAAGGTCTTCTTCGAGAAGGCCAAGGGCACAGTCTCCAAGGACGACAAGTCCCCTGTCACTATTGGCGACTTCGGCGCTCAGGCCCTCATCATCTCAGCCATCCGCAAGAACTTCCCCGATGACGAGATCGTCGCCGAGGAGGAAGCTAGCTCCCTGCGTGAAGACAAGGACCTCAGCGCTGAGATCTGGCGCCTGGTCAAGGATATCAAGCTGGATGATGCGGAGAGCGATAATATTCTGGGTGGCCCTCTCACCAGTGAGGAGAGCATGCTGGACATCATTGATAATGGCAACAGTGCCGGTGGTCCAAAGGGCCGCATCTGGGCCCTGGATCCCATCGACGGCACCAAGGGTTTCCTCCGTGGCGGCCAGTACGCCGTGTGTCTTGGTCTGATGGTTGACGGTGACGTCAAGGTCGGTGCTATCGGTACTCCTAACCTCCCCGTCGACGATGCTGCCCCCATTGATGCCAGCACGGGTGCCCAGCAGTCTGCGACTGCCGGAAACGGTGTCTTGTTCTCCGCTATCCTGGGTGAGGGTGCCACCAGCCGTCCTCTGGGCAGTGGTACTCTTGCTCCCAGCAAGCCCATTTCCATGCGTCCCGTCTCCAAGATCTCCGACGCTGTCTTTTGTGAAGGTGTCGAGGCTGCGCACTCCGCCCAGGGCGACAACGCTGCCGTTGCTCAGCTTCTTGGCATCACCGCCCCGAGTGTGCGACTGGACTCGCAGGCCAAGTACTGCTCCATTGCCCGCGGTGCTGGCGACGTCTACCTGCGTCTCCCCGTCAAGAAGGACTACCAGGAGAAGATCTGGGATCACGCTGCTGGTGACGTGATTGTGCGCGAGGCTGGTGGCCAGGTGACCGACATCTACGGCAACCGCTTGGATTTCAGCAAGGGCCGGACCTTGGCTGTCAACAAGGGTGTCGTTGCTGCTCCCAAGGCCCACCAGGACCAGGTCATTGATGCCGTCAAGACCGTTCTGAAGCTGTAATTGATTTATGATGTTTATTTCGTCGCCTTGTCCACTGCACTTGAGCTCCTGGGGAGCAGAATCAGTCTGAAGTAGATTTGTGATACCATCGCTTGTGAGAGGAATAAAAAAATACATATGTGACGATAAGAGTACAAAACACGGAACCAAACACAAAATGTCCCGCGTAGCTGAAAAGAAATGCGCCTCCAGTCTATTTGATCTTCTTCGCCTTGAGCTTGATAGTCTCTCCGTTGACGAAGATACCCTTGCCCTTGTACGGCTCGGGGCGTCTCCATTCTCTGATCTCGGCCGCGAATTGGGTCACAATCCGCTTGTCGACACCCTCCAACAGGATTCTAGTAGGCTGCGGTGTGCTCGCCACAACGCCTTGGGGGATACCCAGTTCAATTGGGTGGGAAAAGCCGACCTTGAGGGAAACGAACTTCTGGCCGGGGTAGGCGGGCTGGACGGTGGACGCCTTATCCTCGATGGTGGCCCTGTAACCAACACCCACCATACTCAAGACACAGACGTGGCCTTCGGAGACGCCGAGGATGTGGTTCTGGAGGAGTGCGCGAATGGTTCCTAAATAGAAAAGCAAAGTGTTAGACACTAATGACTTGCCGCGGAGAAAAGACAGGAGAACATACCCCACATGGCACGCTGGTGAGGAACCGTCGTATCCTCAACCGACAAACTAGCCTTCTTGGCGGCCTCATCGTGGGTGATATTAACGAACGAGGGAATGCTCAGGCTCATCTCGCCTGTGAGTCGGAGTAGTTAGCATCCATCGACCGGGCCACATTCCAGCAATATCAACTTACCCTTAGGCCCCTTAATCTCAGCCAAAAACTTGGGAATATCCTTTCCTCGTGTCCGGGCAAGGGTAGCGGGGATATCGACGAGCTTAAATGACACCTCGGGGGGGATGGAGAGCGCGGCACCTCCGACTCGGGACTGCGCCGGGGATGTGGTTGAGAAGCATTGTGTGCGGGGGAGAAGGCGGGTGCGAGGAAGATTGGTAGGGAGCCGCGCTGGAAGGGCTCTCGAAGAAGCTGGCGGGCGCAGCGTTGGGGTATGGAGCACGACATTGTGACCTGCGCGTGTTGGGTCGGATGCTGCGTTGCGGACTTTGGATTTTGTTCGCAGATGGTTTACCCCAACGGGTTTAGCGTGCACGTGATTATCTATATAATTTGCTGCTTTTTATTTGTTCGGGATTCACTATATCAACATACTTATTTATATTCTCGGCTGCAGAGATAAGGTATTCGAGTGCACTGTGTCATAGGATTGACTTGATGTTGGATATTCTTTGGATACATCTATTGCCAGAAGTTGTTGAAACCTGGAGCTTTGAAATCCAAATTCTTGAAGGCCATTCGGATTCTCCCTCGCACTCACCCAACTGAAAGAAAATGACGAAGTAAAACAATTTCCCCAATTAAAACACAGACATCTCTTCAGACACCGACGTTCTTCGAGATAACGAATCTCTGGCTAGCCCTAATACAGATGAGGCTCCATAACCCGAACCCCACCGCCAACACAGCATCAACATTACTCTCGTTCCCAATGAACTCTTCCTCGGTGTTCCGTCATGTTGTCCTTCCGATTGAAGGACATGGGGCACGAAGGACAATCGAATGAGCGCGGATTTATATGCTGCGTGTCGATATGACGCATCAACGCTGGTTTTCCGGAGAAGGTGTCGCGGTATGTGCAATCCTTCCAATGGCATTGGAAGGACCTTTGGGTTTTTCTATATGGTATTAGTAAGTGTTAAAGCTTTATGATGAATCCTGAGGTTGCTTACTCCTGTTTCTGCTGTCGTCCTTGGTTACGACCAGCAGCTCTCTTTCCCTTGGCATAGCTATTGCTGGTATCCTTGACCTGAGATTCCCGTTGAACAGATAGAGCATGTGGTGGTAAATTGTTGCAAGCGATGTCGTGCCTAGGGTCGAAATAGCCTGTCGCCGGGGCCGTAGCTGCATAGTCCTTATCGATTGAAGATTGGTGTATAACATTCTGATTGAAGCGATACAGATCGGAACAAGTCGAGGGCGAGGCAGAAGATGTAGCAGAGCTAAGCGCAAAGGATGGAAAAGGATACTGTATGGCATCGGTACGCAGAAGAAGATCTGCAGATGCTATAGATGGCTCAGCCAGTATAGAGGTAGATGATTGATAGGCAAGAGGGGCGAGTTGGGAATAGTTGAAGTCCGGGATGGTCCAGCCATAACCATCTGGCATTTGTAAATGGTCGAAGTGGGTGTTGCAAGAAGGCGATGCCATACTAGAAGATTGTAATAGCAGAACGAGTCGGGAAAAAAAGGGAAAAGAAAAAAGAAAAAAGAAAGCAACCAGTAGGAAAATCAAGCAATGTGTTGAGTGAATTGAGCTACAAAGGTTTTATACAATATCTAACAATTCTAAGGATGGTCATGGTGAGATTGACTACATATAGTTCAGATATGGGGAAAAAACACATGGGCATGGTAGAGTCGCAGAGATAAATTTAAAGATAAATTAAATTTAAACATTAATTCGAAAAAATAAAAAATACCTAGGTAAACATTGGGGAGACCGGGAAGGAAAATTACAGAAATCATTTTTCTTATTATAAATTATTTTTCTAGATAAAAGCCAACCAATGAAACCACCCCATTACTGAGATATATGCCAAGACTCGCCCGATTTGGCCTACTTTGCCCGGGTTCATGTTGTTATGATGTCATTCTTATCACGTGCCAGGGAGTTAGAGAAATCCGAATATGTCACATTACGAATTTCCCTGTATTTTCGTATTCCCCCCCCCTGCCAGTCTACTGTACAGTGGCATTTCATGAGTATTTGCACCCGTGCACCTCTACCATTGACCGCTCTGTTGATACCGCCTGCCTATTCCTACTAATTTAGGACCCACTAGCGTAGCACGACTGGTTTGGAGTATATGTTGTGCAGAGTTTTTTCCGGCAGAAAATAGGTCCACTTCCGAAGTAGCCAGGGTGCAAATAACTCATTGAAACATGACTTTTACTTTGACCGTTAGTTTGTATGTTTTCTGCGCCTATCATTCTGCCCAGTACGGAGTGGCCGAGTATCATATTTTACCATACGAACTACTGCCTTCAGAAATTATTATATTTCTATATTGTATTGCTTTAAACTCATATCACCCAGGACTAAAGCCCTACTTACCGCCTTAACTGTTTTGGTATTTTGGCACCACTAATAGAATATCATCAGCTTATTTCAAATGGGTCGACATCTGGCATAGTTTCACTGGAAATCCATCTTACAAATATGGCTATGGAGATTATCCATGGACGTCCAAGGTTGCAAGCTTGAATATATGGCTCTTTACTTTGTCAAAATTGCCTGTGAAAGCCACACTTCTCTTAAGGTCCAGGTCTGCAGAATATCTTAGTTTCATATAGATCCACGCGATCGTCATCTCGCCATGTCGCAGCCTTACACCTTGCCATATACTAACGAGTCGCATTAGAAGTACTCGGTCCAACAGGTGAAAATTGCGCCGAGCCTTTGCAACAATATTCTGCCTGTGGGTTTATAGTTCCTAGCATACTTGCCACTATCGAAAGGGGTGGTACCTGGATAATGTTAGATGTCGGCGCTTATAACGCGCAAGCATCAAGTGAGGCTGAGGGTTTGACTTCGAACTTTTACGTATAAAATATGAGGATCTGCGACAACGACACCGAAAATGTCCACTTTCGGCGCTAGAAACGGTCGCACTTCCACCCGTAACTACTGTCAATTGTAGGAATCAATCAATCATGTTCAAGTCTCTGTACCATGGTTTTCATTGCTGCATCTGCAGCGGCGCCCAACATTGAATCACAACTTATCTTCCGTTTCATGGCTGGCTTCTGTGGCAACACACCATCGACATGTGCCGGTGGCGGCCTAGCGGATCCCTGGAGTCTCGAAGAAAGAGTGATAGTGGTGGACTGCGCACCGCAATATCAGTCCATGGTCTGGGCTCGCGGCTGGGGTGCTTTTCGAGTTTGCCCGTGGCACCATTTATATAGGATTGTACATGTACGTTATCGATACCTACGCCACGCATGCTGCATCAGGGTTGGCGAGTAATACAGTTCTTTGCTATGTTTTCGCGGGAGCCACGATCGCGCCGTCAAACCTATGTATGCTCGCCTAGCGAGCCAGTGGACATTGATGTTATTGGGGTTCTGAGTATCATAATGGGGACTAAGCCTTTTATTTTTCTTTCCGTTATGCCTTCCTTTTGAAGAAAAAGTTTCCTCGTTCAGCAACTCAGTTGAAGGAAGAACAGACTTGAGACTTGAAAGGACCTCGAGAGGCTTTATGAGATATGCGGAAGCAAATCATGCGATGGAGTTGTAGCGTTCTTGTTTGGCCTTCCTTCAAACCTAAGTATATATGCAGGACGGCATTAGTATTTGAATAAAATCAAAAATAATCCCTTACAGTGAACAATGACCGAGCGCTGAGGGGAACATCGTAAGGAAAAAGTAAAGCCAGAATTGGGAGTGAGCCAAACAACCTCCCGAGGTCGATTTCAAGTCTCACTTTCGAAAGCCATCCTTCACCCATCTCTTTCCATCTTATACCGGTCTCCTCACATACCTTCTTATATCCATTCGTCTCATACAATATATGCGAGTGATCAAGAACTAGAGCCTGTGCGAAGCCACACTCGTACACTGAACCAGTCAGGCCATTCACTATGAGGGCAATCGATAGCTTTCAAGTTCTTTCATATACCTTCCTGGCACTTACTCATCTCAGTCGAGCAAGTATCCCCCAACACAGTAAGGGATTCAGATAAGTCTCAAATCGTTATACTGACACAAGAAGATGTCCCAATTCTTGCGCCCAAACCGTCCGACATCGACGCGATATCTTTCCTCAGTTCCCAAGCGCAAGACCAGGACAGCATCTTCAACGAAGCTGTCAGGATCCTGGACTCGATGAAATCTTCACCCTCATGCAACCGGCTTGCTGCTACAAAACTAGTGAACTCGTGTCAAACATTCAGCGATGGCAAAGATGGCGCGCAGACGGATAGCCCAGAGACGCTTGACATTCTTCGATCCGTCTATGCCGCACGCCTGGCATTGTGCGAGATAGACGGCACTGGCACCCCGATGCCTCCCACGTGTCTTCCTGTCACCGTCTCGCCGCCTCCACAGAAGAATCGATTCGGCTTTGTGAGTCGGCACAGAGGCTCTGACCCTGTCTCGGATGAAGTCCCCAAGGAATTACTGGAGCAATGTCTCAGAACGCTCGAGTCGCGACCCCAGTGGTGGACTTCCTATAGCAACAGTCGGCAGAATGCCCTTGTGATCTGTCATGCCTCGCGAATAGAGACGGAGAAAGAGGAGCTAATTGACCTACATCGATCCATTGCCAAGAGCAGTCTCAAGCTCAACAACGGGCTTCAAGAGGCTTTGCAAAATGCAACTGCACAGTCTGCGCAGCAGCATTCATTCATACAAGCTGTCCAATCTCTACAAGAGAAGATCATGACCGATATGGAAGCGACAGACTCTGTGTTCAAACGAACATTTGGCAGATTTCTCAGAGAAATCGAAGCCGGGATATCGTCTCTACAAGATTCTATATCTGTGGCTCTGTCAAATGTGCGGACTGGAACAGGGGCCCTCGAAAAGGTAAAATCCGAATGAGACAATTGGAGCTGAAACATGTACTAAATGTTACCTAGGACATCCGGAACGTATCGACTCAAGTGGGAGCACTCCAACAAGCTCTACGGAGTGCACACCAGGACGCAATGGCTAGAAGCCAGGAGACGTTGCTGGTCCAAGAAACCAATGCTGTCGCCCAGAAGCATCTCACTTCTTCTTTACACCTGTCGCTCGAGTCGCTTCTTGACTCAGACATGGACAGAGTGTACCGAGGAATGCAGAGATTCGATGCTGCTATGGTGTGCCAATCATGGGCTTACTTTTTGGTGTATACTGCGCCACTAACATTTTGTCCCTTTTTGTAGGAATGGTTGACCAGCCGAATGAACATGATTCTTGAGCAAGAAACCAGGATGAGAGAGGTACGAGGACATTTTCCACATATTGTCGCTCTCACTGACTTTCAAAGCGACTTCAAAACATGGAAACCTTCATTCAACAATCCGAATCGAAAGCCAGCGAGTTACAAAAGGCCCAAGACCAACAAACAGAAGCACTATCTGCACAATCGCGGGCTCAGGAGGCCATCCAATTCGACGCGCAAGTATCGCAAGCTTTGCTGGCCAAAACTAGCGTTGCCGCTGCCAATTTGCAATCCGCTATCGACGATGCAGCTTTCAAATTCAAACATGTCCCCGGTTTCGGTATCGGGGATCCTCCGCGTGGTCTCTCTGTGCCGTCCTGCTCATCGTCATCGCCGCCCAGAACCTTAAGATTGCAATCGGTTTATTTTTCCTCATTTTGGGTACGTGTGTTCTTCGTGATCATGACTGATCATGACTGATTGGTGCTAATACAATGTGGCTTAGGGCATTCTGTTGCCCTGACCATCTTCAAATTTCTCTAGTTATACAGACCCTGCGCAGTGATTTGCGGACGAGATACCATTGGTACCCCGGCATTATTTTCCTTTTTTTATTTTCCTATTGCTTTTCTATTTTGTTCTGCAATCTCTACCATTTATGCTTGCATCACTTATGGTTGAAACTCATTCATTACATCTAGATCTATAGCAATGGAACAATGCAGCTATCCATCACTGAATTATTCGGAGGAGCTACTCCGTGCATATCTCCGCTTTCTGCTAATGGTATGAAATTAATAAACAGATCGTTTCAGAAAAATAAAATGAAAGTGCAAGCAAATTAGCAAATTAGCGCCGACACAGCCACAATAGCTAGAGCTGCCAGAGCCAAGATAAGCTGCGGGATAGGACCCATTTATATTGCGATCAGCCAATGGAAGCCCGTCCTCTACGCATGAGAAACGGCATATGAGAAGGTAATTCCCCCCAAAAAACAAAAATGGAAAGTCGACAAGCACGATGAGCGGGAGTCACGTGGGAGTAAATAGATCAACTGCGCGCTTCTCCTCCTTTTCGATTTGCAACGCGTTTCTCATCGAGACTTGAATCACATTTATCAAACATCCGTTTCATCTGATCTTAAACTCGTTGATCAAAATGCCTGGTGTTCGTGAGTGACCATAACAATCCCCTATACTCCCGACCCAACATTCGGCGACAACATTTGTCGCTCGTTGGAACCGCAAGTACACAGCGCTAACATTCCCCAGCACCCGACGCTCTTGAGCAGGTCAAGAAGGGCTTCAAGCGGTTCTTCTTCGGCCGCAAGAAGGCTGCGAAGAAGCAAGCTGAACAGAAGCCCGAACCTGCCCCTGCTGCGACTGCTGCCCCTGTCGCTGCCGCTGCGGCAAGTGAGACACCTGCCGCGAAACCCACCGACCCCGCTGTCACCCCGGACACTGCCCCCGGTATGATACTCTTATCAATTTGATATAAACTTCGTCGCGCGTTTGGCCCCGACTGACTTGTTGATTTATTTTAGATGCTGCTAAGGCGCCCGAGACAAATGATGCGAAGCCTGCCGTCTCCCCTGAGATGACCGCTACCGCCGGCCCTGTCGACACTCATTACGAGCCTGAGGCTGCTGCCGCTGCTGCGCCTGCACCTGCTGCGCAGTCTGAGGCCCCTGTCGTTAAGGCCGAGGAATCCGCTGTCAAGCCCGAGGAGCCTGCCGCTAAGACTGAGGCTCCTGCTACCGAGCAAGCTGCTGCTAAGCCCGAAGAGGCTGCTACTAAGACTGAGACCCCTGCTGCTAAGCCAGAGGAGCCTGTTGCTAAGCCAGAGGCCCCTGTTGCTAAGGCTGAGGAATCCGCTGTCAAGCCCGAGGAGCCTGCCGCTAAGACTGAGGCTCCTGCTACCGAGCAAGCTGCTGCTAAGCCCGAAGAGGCTGCTACTAAGACTGAGGCCCCTGCTGCTAAGCCAGAGGAGCCTGCTGCTGCGCCTGCGGAACCTGCCGCCAAGACCGGTAAGTCAATCGTTCTAAACCAGGCAGAGGATAATGCTGACGACGATACTAGACGCGCCCGCTAAGTAAAGTGTGAATATCCACTTAATTGGCGAAGAATGGACCTTTCTTTGCGAGTCTGATCTAACTTGCGAGTGCTTTCTTCCCCCGCTCCCTGTTTTGTTTCATACCCACAGCGTTGTATATTAATCAGTTTCACGAAGCGATGCATTGCATGCTTTTTTTTCTCTCTTCTGTGTCGGCCTCGATCAGACCGCTCAATACCATGCAAAGCTCTACTCATCCATTCCAGACTCCTTACGCGACAGTAAAACTGCCTGCTTTAATTTGATATATCATGCTATTGTTGCTGACGACGAAGGGAAAAACCAACACTCCCACGGGTATCACATTAAGTATCTATCCTGATGCTAGATAGTTTCATTCCTCCCCGCCCGAGGAATGATCATCACCATCAGCCATGACGACATCTTCAACGCTAATACCCGCCGCCGCAGCCTTCTGCTCTCTCGCCTTTTGTCTGCGCTTGATTTTCCTCTCGCGGTTCTTCCGAGTCCGCTTCTCCGCTTCATTTTCCTTGGCAGCCTGCGCGGCAGCAGCCCGCTTGCGCAGCTGTACTCGTCGCTTTTGCCTGGCTTCTTGCGTGTAAGTGGACTCTTCGAGACAGGTGCGCCCTCTACCACGTAGACAGGAAGACTGTTGGCCGGCCGTGGCGTTTTAGTCTGATGTCGCTTGAGATGGATGACTCGCCAGGGAAGATGGCAGCCGGGCTAGGAATTGAATTAGCAGCCACAAAACTAGCTGAGACGGATATTCACTTACCCAGACTAGCGACTTGGCCCATGTCAGCATGTGCTGCCCGCTAACGGCCATATCCTCAAATTGTTTCTTCTTTTCCGCTATCCGGCTCTCGTCTTCCGCAGTAGGTTCCCCATCCTTTGTGCCCTGGAGGGAAGGTGTAGAGAAGTAATAATCCCACCCGCGGGTGGCTTTCACAAATCGTCCCTCGCCGCCAGCTCCGGACCCCGGTGTAGGTGAATGCAGCCGAATCCTCAATTTTTGGGTACTGGGGGCCTCTGTACTTTTCCCATCTGTATCCTTTCCTGACTGCTTGGTGGCATCTTCTGTTGATTTGGCCGGCGCGCTGAATAGCCGGAACTCGAATTCTTGTTCCTCATCTTCGTCGTCCGCTGGTTGTGAGAGACCATTGTCTTGGCCAGTTGTCTCTTGTGGTGTATCCAATTGATCGAGATTGAGTAGCTTTCCTAATCGGGCATATGCATCATTGGCGGCGGCGTCGTCTGGTGCTGGTGATGGTGAGCGCGATGACGCCGGAGAGCGCATCTCATCGCGGCGGACGCTGTACAGGTTCGATTAGGTTCCTTGGTATATTGAAAAAGTCATAATTAATGGCTTGGTCACATACCGCTTAGCATTTGGTAGATCAAACATCGTGTGGTGTGGAGAGGAACAAGACCAAAATGCCGAATCGAGAAAAACGGTGTTTCCACGCCGCTCTTCGGCCACGGCCTGATGACATGGCACGGACCGCCCAGCCTCAACCTCCGACTTCAAAAGTCCTTTTCGTCTACAGTGGGATTCTCCACTGCGCCATTTGTTTCATTTCATATTCTCTGTTTCCTGCATATTCCACAGTCCTTTCCTTCTGATAACCCCCTCACCTGCTCTAAGGGTACCCGCACCTCAGCTATTGGGGTGATAAATGCCTCGTGTCTATCGCATAGCGCAAACGTGCAGCCAAGAACATCCTCGGTTCTGAATTCGCGATCCCGATTCCTATAAATGGGTATCTGTGCCTCCTGCCTCGGCGGGAATCGCCACGAGTCTCCTGAAGTGAGTCCCGAGTCTGGAGTTAATTTCCCCGTCACCATGTTCAGCGCGCATTACCTCGGTTTGATGCGCGATGCGTGGGATGTCTGTCGCAGAGCACAGTTGTCTAACCTTTCTTTTGTTAAGCCTGAGTCTTCACGTCTACTCGAAGAAGACCCTTATCAAGCCGGGTATGGCTACGGAGCACTCAACCATGCTCATCAGGCTAGCCAGCCGGATTCGGAATACGTGAGACGTGAGAGGGAGGCACTGGAATCAATTTGCCAGCGGACGTCTGAGTGAGTATGCCCCTGTATTATACTTGGCTTGTTATAAAACATGACAAATTAGCTTTGGACAAGAACTTGGTTTATGCTAATCTCTCTCAGCTCCGTCATTGATATCTGGTCCATCCAACCACAACCACACCTTCGACCTCAAGCAACTCTCCACACTCCTACCTCTGCATCTCCCGTCCCATCACAAAGAACAGATACAACAACACCTGCAGTATCTACCCACCGCACATCACCGCCAAGCCGTCCCACCTCTGGCGCATCAGGCGCCGTCCCAAAACACTGGGGTGAAGTTGTCGTGAACCCGAACAAGAAACGGTCCCGTACCGATATAAAAACGGACGCTAAGGCCGGCCATGATGTGTTTGGTGTTCTGAATGTCACCTAAGATGAGGTGTTGGGACATGCATCACTGCACATTGACGCTGCACATTGACGATGTACACGACAGACGAGGGTGCGGCCCGTGAAAACAAAATTGAGGGATGCAGATAAGGGTACTGGAAGACCCCGTTTTTCGTTATTTTCTTGCGGTGCGCTGTTATTTGAGGTTCTTTGTTTCTTGCATTGATCGCAGGTCGACTGTTTTTCGCACATACATAGCCATTCCTTCTTTCCTCGACCTTCCTGGTCTGATAATACCCAATGGCGCAGACTTTTCTTTTGTTATTTGTTCTTCATTTTCCTCATCCCATGTTGGTTTCTTTGTTGTTGGTGTGCTATGTTGTTTTCCAAGATTGTTTCTTTGTCTTCATATCATCTTGTCAGTCGCACACTGCTTGTAAATGTAGTTTTCTTTTCGAGTGCCGGACTTTATCCTTCTCCTCGCATAGACACAATTCGAATTTCATTATTAAATCAGTTGCTGTAAATAGATAAATGGTATGTAGACGCTGAAGGTGCTAGTCCTACTGGGGGGGTTATACTATATGGTAGGTAGGTCAACCCATATGGAAGTTCAGATTTGGATAACATGGTCTTTGTATGGAACTATTTCGAGATTACTATACAAAATAAGAGATCAGTGAAGAATAAAAAAAGAATATCACTCCCTATACCTATGAGAGATTCACCATCAATTGTTCAACCGGTGACTCCGTCGATAATTATCGCAAATGCCCTTGTGTGAACCGAATGCTCTTGGGTGGACCGAAATAGACAACAATAAGGGGAAACAAAACAAAGATGGAGACTGACAGGGACAAAAAAAATTGATACATGACAACTCCCCTATGATAGGAAAATGAAAAAGAAACGCCCGCTGATATCCAGTACCGGGATTGACAGAAGAGTAGGATGATGCAATATGTTCGAGCCGGGTCAATCCTAAACCTGATAGAAACGTTCGCACTGCGGACCATCAGACATCGTCCATTGTACCCGCAGGCTCTTCGCCATCAGACTCGTAGCTCCCCGCCGAGCTGAGCTCATCTCCAGACTCGGTGTCCTCGCCTGCTTCATCCACAGCCTCTTTGCTGGCGTATTTGGCAACATATTCTGGTGAGCTGTCAGTATGGCAAATTAAATAGCAAACCCAGGACTTTGTATTTTAACGCACCTTTCACCTTTGCCTCATATGCCTTGGGTTCCCTCATCATCAGGGCTGCTGCCTCTCCGTTAAGAGGATCCGAAGGGTTGGGATAACGAAGGAGCTGGGGAAGGAAGACCTCGAAAATGTTGAGCATATCGTACATCGGCGACCACGTTTGATTGATCACATCAAGGCAGACCGAGCCCGACCTATGGCAGATAAAACTTATTAATATCTTGAGTTTCTTTCCACGCATGTCTGACAACCCCTAACTCACAGCTCGTCGATATTTGGGTGGAAGATTCTGTTGACAAATCCGATGCTCGGGCTTTTGTATGGGTACTGATCGGGCAATTCGACGTGGATTTTCCAGAGGCCCCCGGTGAATGGTGCTAGGAAGGTTAGTATGATGTAATACCAGTCGATTATGAGCGCGACATACTCTCTTCTGGGCCCTTGAAGCGAACGTAGAATTCTTGCCTGTTGGTAGTTATTGGTATCGGAAAGCTTCAAATGGTTGATTGTAGGGTATATGAAGTACATACACTGGATTCCGGAGTTAGCGTATAGATCTATAGGTGGAAGAGAATCAGAACTTACTGTTATCATTGACCAGCGTCACCTCATAGTCACTCATTAGCCTAGATAAACGGTCAGACTAGATCCTGGCAACCAAGTATGCTCCCCGAGGCCGATCAAAAGGTTGGGGAAAGCGGCGGCCAAAATGGAAAGGGTAGGGGTATTGTCTATCGTACATCCTAGCAGAAGGTTAGTGCCATGTATTTTGGATGTTTTCAGACTTGCGGAGCATACTTCATGACCTGTACAATGAACAAAAATCGTTATTAACATCTCCGGCGACTTTGGGGGGCTTATCGGACTATCCGCAACATTACTCACATCTGTCTCGATTCTGCGCTTTGGGCTGCTCATGTTGGCGGTTTGACGAATGGAATACTATTTTCGATATCCGAGGTTTTATCGACTGCGGGCTCACACACAGGAAGCAGACCCAGCGATGTCAAATGTCGTGAATCACAAGCAGATATTCCGTCGGAGCGGGGAAGTAATGAGCGGGGCAGACGATGGACTTTGAGGTAGAGGAATAAGGATCAGTGAGTAGGGGGTAGCAAAGTAACAAGAATGACAAATATTATAGAAGGCTTCACTTCTCAGACCTGAGGCAAAAAAAGAAGAGAAGAGGAATGAGGTCTTGTTGAACCTTGAAATGATCCATGGACATGATCAGTCGATGAGTCAGCATCCGCCATGACGATGGCTGGGATAGGTGGATACGATCTACATTTGGTACACTTCCAAGGTTGCCCAGGTGCTGTATAGGAAGATCATTGGTCCAAGTTGACATGATCGTGTTGTCAAGGATACTCCTAACACCATTGAACATGGTTCATACATCTATGTGTTGTTGTCTTGCAGCGGTCATACGTACCTTTGATGGCATTTCCAATATAGATGCCCAACAAAGCAATAGGCACATGTCCTAGATAGAAGAGTGGGCTAGGTAATTGTCCGTTCTACACCCAGGCATGCAGTACTAGGATGTAGAAAAAGAAAGAGGGGCTGCAGCTACCGCTACGGAAGACTTAGGGGTCCATCTCGGCGATTAATCGCCTTTTCCTTCTAACCTTGGAACCATCGAGCCCACGTCCAATTTTGTGCTGGTCAGGAATTTACATCAAATTAAAACGGATGACTTTCTCATTAATCCAGCTCTAGGCCATGCTTTGTTGCCTATTTAGGGAGGGTTATGTGTGATCACGTGGCTGACTGACACCATAATTGGCAGCCGCAGCTAACATCTTCATCATCTTCTCTTTTAGCTATCAGTGTCATTTTGTTTATGTTTATGTTTATGTTCATGTTCCTCTTCAGGTCTATTTATAGCCGGGCCCAATTCTCGCTTCGAGGGTTATGGTGAGCTGTATGCCTAGAGTGTGAGACGAGAGAGAGAGAGTGTGTGTGACGAGAGAGAGAGAGAGTGTGTGTGTGACACGAGAGAGAGAGAGAGAGAGAGAGAGAGAGAGAGAGAGAGAGAGAAAGAAAGATGAGCAGGTATTACATATCTACTTCTCATCGTTTAATCCCATGAGGGACTCCTTATCTGGGTACCTACGTAGGCAAGAGAAATATTTCCAAGGTTATATCCAACTGATATTTCGAGGAAGGAAGGGAACAGAGTATCCATGGTTCACCTGTTGTCAACAATATATTATGGCTTCAACGTCCTTTCCTCCTTCTTCCCTCTTTTCCATCCTTCTGACCACAGTGCCTCTTCAAAGACTGCCACTCGCCCACTTTTTCAGTTCCTCCTCGTTCATCGACTGCCAATCACCCACTTTTTCAGTTCTGCCTCGTTCAGTGGCGGCCACCCATCCACTTTTTCACCATGGCCATCTATCCTTCAAAACATGCCGGACCAAGCCAGATCCGCAGCTACCTGACAGCAGTCTTGACAACGAAACATGAATTGTCACTTCCGGATGCCACTTCAATGGCAAATAACTGGAGATTCGGGCGTGAGCATGACCTTCGTGAGGCGTCTCAGGACGACTTTCGCCATCTGTTTGGAGCGATCGGTCCATCACTTTACCACAGTGTCAGTGAGGATATGGCTGCCGCATGGCATTCGACTGTAGCGGGCTCTCTCAGCGTTTTCTTGATCCTCGGCATCCCAACTCTCCTTATTATCCTATTATTCTACCAGTCCATCCGAAACGACGGCTTTTTGAGCCGGAACTTGCCTTTGGAGTACCTCTTGTGGGTGTCAGGGCCGATCCTGACTTTGTGCGCCAACCAAGAGATGAAACATCACTCTGAATTGGTCGACGAGAATCTTGTCTTCCACGGATGCTTCTTCTGCCTTCTGGAATTCATCTTTGCGCTATCCGTGTTTTCTCTGCAATTCATCTGAGAATGAAACACCTTTCGATCTTGCTGGCTCCATTGCTGTTATTCGGTTTTATGTTCTATGGACATGTTGTTGAGAGACAGACTTGCAGGGCAGCATTTCCACTCTCTATCTTGCTTTGCCCGGTTGCTACATGTGCCGGTCTCTGCAAATTCGGTCAGAACCAGGGGCCTTGTGTATCTAACTCACCTGGGCAGAACACCGGTGTTACATTATTTGAATGATTATAATTTGAGCCTTGAGAAATTTGATTTTAAGGTATAAAAATAGCTTTTTTTGAGTCAGGTCTTCGACTGGTTGAGAGAATGGGATGGTCGCTACGGAGTACCTAGGGAGGTACAATATACTCCAACAAACCTATGTTGTATGAAACACCTGCTTGGGCATCGTATATAAGGTCCACTAGGGGTCTCTCCCTCGTATAAGGGTCCACTATTAAGCCGATGCTGTTGATCAGTGGTTGTGCGGGGAAAAGGCGATTGGCTGAAAAGTTGAAATAGTGGGTCTGTTGCCTAAGGATGCCTAAGGATGCCTGGACGCTAACGCTAAGTGGATAACGATGTATCAACGAGAGTCCCGTCAACATTAGCCTCAACTCTATTTAAATTCAACGGGGTTCCCCTGATTTTGCTATTCAACATCCCATCTCAACATTTACATTATATGACATTTGCACAGTCGGTATCATGACTTCTTTGCCCTCTCTCCCAGTGAAGCACAATGACTTCGTGAAGTATGTCAGCTCCAACTCGGAAAAGCCCATGGCCGATTTGGTTCAGCCATATAACGAGTACGATGCCGTTTTGCGCAAGAATTTTGCTCAAGACCCCTCTCATCCATCAATCCAAGACAACCACGTCAACATTGTACCGCTGTACGACCAGAATGGTTCCACAGATCTTTCCATTCGAGCTCGGGACCTTGTCTCGGAAACGCCAGAGCAAACGGAGAAGTATCTTTTGCCGCTAAATGCAAAAGACCGGAAACCACATGGTTCTGCGGCAGTTGTCCCCTCCTTGAATGAGTTCAAGAACAACTTTGCGCTCTTCACAGAGGGCTCGTTAAGTGAAATTGACTGGTCCAACGTGGTGGCTGCTGGCAGTGCTGTCGTGACCTCACTTTTGCCTGTGCCAGAAAAATATCGCAACTCAAAGCGTGGCCTTCGCAAGTACTACCATGAAGAGTTTGCTCCGGCGTCAGATGTGGATCTCTTCTTGTATGGTCTCACCGAGGAGCAGGCTCTGGAGAAGATCATGCACATCGAGGATAAAATCAAGAACACTATCCTCTATGAGACCACAACCATCCGGACCAAGAATACAATTACCATTGCTTCTCAGTATCCGAACCGCCATGTGCAAATCGTGCTTCGCATCTACCGCTCAGTCGCTGAGATTCTCACCGGATTTGACGTTGATGCTGCATGTGCGGCTTATGATGGTCGCCAGGTCTATGCTTCTCCTCGCGCTATTGCTGCATACATCACGCAGGTGAATCAGATTGATCTAACTCGACGATCACCATCATATGAAAACCGTCTCTCCAAGTATTCGCACCGAGGATTCGAGGTTTGCTGGCCCGCTCTTGACAGATCGAAGATTGACCCAGTGAGCATCCAATCCTTTGACTAAACGGATGAAATTTTAGCGAAATTAATGTGACGTGATAGACTATCTTCGAGAGAAGCTTTACCAGAACTGAAGGACTTGCACGACTCCTGGTATTGGAGAAGCTTCCTCGGTCTCAAGACCGGGACAACTACCTTCAAAAGAGGCGCGAAGAACGAGGTCGTCCTCCTCTGAACTTGTACATGCTACGTCGTCATGGTCAAACGTTACATGGTAATCTCAAGGATGACTGGGAAGATGAGGTACCTGATTGGCAAGAGCAAGACCAAGTGTCTGATTACCATACCTTTGTTCGTACCTTCACTGCAACCGAACCTACTGCGCTTTCCACCTTTACTGACCCTCTGGTAGAATATTCCTTATGGTAGGAGATTCAACGCCAAGAACATTGAGAAGCTACTTTACACTAAGGATCTGTTGCTGAACGCCCAATGGAATCAACCCGAAGACCGTACGGTTTATCTTCATCGTCATCCAGCATTCTTTGGCGAGGCAGAACATGTCATTGGCGACTGCTGTGGCTTCTGCCCCAAGCCTGTTACCGAGGAGGAAATCGAGGTCGCCGACGAGGAGGCCAAGATTTATATCTCTGGTCAAATTACTTTCATCAAAGATGATCCTGGCCGCCAGGAAATTGGAAGTTTCAATCCGATCACTGAGACTGATTGGACCGGTGAGTGAATTGTTCGAAATCTTTCGTTATTCCTGAATTACGCACTAATACCAACATAGAAATGGCTTACGTTGGCCGTACCGAGAGACTTTGCCAGGCAATTGTAGCAAACGATGTCGACTCTGTTAAAGCTTTCCTTGCGGAAGAGGGTGCCAATCCGGACCGGCGTGACTACACTGGACGGACACCACTCCAACTCGCGTGCATGTGCTCGACCCCTGAAGTCGTTCAATGCCTTGTTGACGGCGGCGCTCGCATGATTCCCCGAATGGCTGATGGAAAGACTGCGCTCCATCTTGCTGCGGCCCCGGGGACACGCCGAGATCATTCGAATCCTACTTACAAAAAGCAATGAGAATGAAGAAGAAGAAGCTAAGAAAGAGGAGATGCTAAAAAAGAATGACAAGTCAGAGCCTAGCGCAGCTGAGGATGAAGATGTCGACATGATTGACCAAAGTGATGCAGTGTCTCACACCTCTGCTTCTTATGTCAAGGTCGAAGCTGAGGAGGAAAATGAGGGGGAGGATTTGACCACGTACGATACGCTGGAAGAGGACGACTCTGAGCCGGATATCTACGATATCAATGTCGTGGCATGGGATAGCCGGACTGCCCCTTTGCATCTCGCCATTCTTCATGGCCACACTGAGGCCGTGAAAGAGCTTGTCACGTCCTTTGGTGCCGATGTTTTGATGCCAGTCAAAATCCTAAACGAGCACAACAGAACACCCCTGGCTGCAATTCTTAACCTGGTTCTCATCCATGCGCTCCCATTCGAGAAAGCAAAGGAGATGTCGCAGACTCTTCTCGATCTCGGCGCTTCACCAGCCCAAGCAGACCTTAAGCAGAAGTCACCGTTATACTACCTTGCTCATTCCGACAAGTTTGACATTCTTGATATCTATATGCAGCATGACGAGCCTGCAGTGAAGCGTGCAATCAACCATCTGGCGGTTCTGGGCTCGTCCTGGACACCAGAATACTCCTCGGCATTGATGATCGCGCTCGCTGCGAAGAATGCACCCGCGGCATCCAAGCTCTTGGGTGCAGGTGCCCACCCTGAGATTAACATCGGCGAGATTGTGAAGCTTATTAGGGCATCAAGAGGAAGCAACAACTTCTACGACGCTGAGGACACCGCAATGTCCAGTGTGAAACAGCCAATCTTCCTGGCTATCCAGAATGATCTTCCTTTGGTTGCCATTGATCTGCTTCATCGCGGTGCGAACCCTAACGCCATAATCAAGGGGAAATATGAAACCAAGGGTCGCACGCTATTGGATGTCATGCGCCAAACCTTGCGAACGCTCCGTGAATTCTTGGTCGAGCGCAAGTACCAGAGCTATTATCATTCCGTTGCAACTCCCCTCGATCCCAGTGATGAGACATACTTGTCGGAGTTCCAATCGGGTAGTTACAAAATGTTCACTGCAAAGGACCAGCTCCGCAACGTGCGCAAGCTTAACCGACAGACCGAAGAACAAGCCGAGAAGGCCAAAGTCATTCCGGATGATCCTCCTGGCTTGATCGAGAAGAAGGCATGCATTGCGGAGTTGGTTCGCGACTACGAGAAGCTGGAGTTCATTATGCTGCAAAAGGATGCAAAGACCTGGGACGAGCTTCATCCTCCGCAGAACGTTCCCATGCCGATCCCAGCCCAGGTTCCGACTAATAAGGCTAATAAGCCTACACAGCTCCCCAGAATGCCTTGGAAAGCCAGCTTCAGCTTCGATGTACCAGCTATTACTGACAACGCTCGCGATGGATATTTGCAACTGTAAGTGTCCCCTTACCTCGCAATCCAAAAGTATGCTGCTGACATTGATATAACAGCTTTGAAGCAGCCTGGAATGGCGATATTAGTACCATCAAAACCTTGACACTGGGCATGTGGGGATCTCTCAATGACCAAGCACCACTTGAGGTCGCCGTGACCGACAGCCAGGGCCTGTCTGCCCTTTCAATTTCCATCATGCGCGGACACTTCGCCGTCGCTAAGGCTATTATTAAAATTCTCCACGTGCAGTACAAGGTGAAGGAGCCTCGCGGTCGGATGCGCTTTGAGATCGACGTCGATGGATGCTCCGACGACCCCGATGACTCTGATGAAGGGGACGATGAACTGAAAATCGTTAGTGACATTGTTGATGATACATTCACCCACGAGAACATCGGTGAAGTCAGCAGTCAGGTCGAGAGCAATACTTCCCCTCTTGCTGCCTTTGAGCGACGGTTCAATGCTTATCTGTTTTTGGACGAATATGGGCAGGAAGGTTGGGACAAGAAAAACAAACCTGACAATATTGACGGCTTGTTGAAATACGCTGTTTACACCAACAACATTCCTCTTTTGGAATTCGTTCTGAAGACCGGACTGGACCTTGCTTCCACCAATCCATCCGGAAAGCGCGAGTTCGTGGTAAAGTTGGATGAGTTCCAGCTTGCAATTTCGCTTGGACGTACCGACTGTCTTGCCAAAATGATTCAAAGCGCTGGAGCTGGCCTTCCTCTCTCAAAATTGAGTGAGGATTGTGGCGTCGAAGAGAAGAAGGAACCTCAGTACTACCCTGGGTTATCGATTCGTGGCGCTAAGCGTGCCGATTGGGCTAATGCTGGTCGAGACCGACCGATGAGAGCGCAGAAACAGCGTCCTCCTCTTCTAATTGCAGCTCGCCGGGGTAATCTGGCCAGTACTGAGTTCTTCCTTGGTACCGCGCCTGCTCGTTATTACCTGGAGTACCTCAATGCGAACAAAGATGACGAGAGAGTCAAACGGCTGACTCAGTCCAAACTCGGACTAGAAGGATCTCTCTTAACCTGGTTACAAGCGAGAAGTAAGTGTTCCATCTCTTCAGTAATTGTGACAAAATAGCTGACCATAAAAAAGACAACCTCGTCCTCCACAGCGCAATCCTGTCCGAACCAAACGACGAATCTGTTCGTCTGGTTCAGTATCTTGTGGATCATCACCCCGAATGCATGGAGGCCCGATCGACAGAAGGACTGACGCCTCTCGCCCTTGCCATGTCCCACCACAAGGTCCGCTTCGCCCGCATCTTGGTAGATGCCGGAGCCAACCAGGCCGTCCGTGACAAAGAAGCGCGCAATCTCCTCCACCTCATCCTCGTATCAGATAGTGGTCGGGTCTGCAAGCACTCCAACCGATGCACCAAACTCCTAGATATGCTTGATAAGCAACTCCTCCCAACAATGCTCACGGAGCGCGCTGGCAAAGGCTCAAGAACACCGTTCTCACGCTGGCTTCACGCCCAACCCTACTTTACGCCAGCGGATCCAGCCATCCCTCGGCCACCTAACACTCCCCAGACCGATGATGAGATAATAACGTGCATGACGAACCTCATTCTCGATCTAGCCGATTCCACGGACCAGAAGCATCTCGAGGTCTTTGACGAAGCTGGAAATACGCCTGTGCATGATGTTGTCAAGAAAGGTTTCCCCCAAGTTCTTGGACTACTCCTCGATCGTCGTCCTGACATGCTCAACCGGGAGAATGCCACTGGCACGACTCCTCTTGAAATGGCGGTTGACGCTTGGGTCAACAAGACTACCTCTGCGCCGCCCGTCAGTCCTCCGGGAGCCACGAGTACGCACCCTGAGTGGCAGAACGCCATTCAGCGCCCTCCTCGATTCTTCATTCCCGGTTGCAGGCTCAAGTACGATGAAGAGAAGGAAATGCTTCGGGTTTGTCAGGAACGAGCTCAGCAGCGGCCTGGAAAGAGAAGACTTGTTAGTCTGTTTGAGGCGAATGAAGTCGCTAAGAGATTGGCAGCGGCCGGGCGGGCTACTGGTCGGCGTTTTGGCGCTAGAGATGATGATGAGTGTACGGATTCTGAGGATGATCCTGAAGGGTGGGGAAGCGTGTCTGGTTATTGGTAGCTTGCTTGTATGGGGAATGGCAGTTTATAGTACAATGTTTATTTATTCTCTGCGGTTTTATTCGAATATATCCCATTCATACCTTTTGCTTCATCCCCTGTTCTATTAGTGTGACCTACTCGCTATTGTGTATTCCTGGGCCTCCTTTCCAATATAAATACTGGGGACCACCTCGGAAGACAAAACATACATGCTCAAAACGAACAGATTATAAACATCTCAAAAGGAAGCAATGATCTCTATCATTTGGGACAACCAATTTATTAAAATGAGTGCCGTTACTGAAAGATAAATTCGTGACATGCAAACCAGCCTTCGTGCAGTCCTCAGTGCTGTTCCTCAGACGGCAGCGGAATCTTCACTGCACTCTCTGCCAGCGCTTTGTTCCGACTGTTCTTGCTGGCAATGTACGAATTAATATACTCGGGCACTTCAGCGACCTTACTATCACCACTCGGAATCGGGGTCCCAAACGTTTCCCAAACGGGAACAACACCAGTCCAGACACTGCCGGTGACCTCCACATTACCCGAGTCCTTACGCTCATCCGAAACACCGCCATCACGGATCTTGCCACTGCCATCCACAATCTTTACCTTCAGAATGACAGTCGACTGCATCTCAGCACGGTCCGGCGGCACACGCGAGTGATCCCAGCGGTCCGCGAGAACAGAGTTCGTAATCAACTTCATGGCCCAGAGCTTTTCTTCCTCGTCTGTGACGAGGGTTGCGTAGCCGTGTAGGATGGCGGAGCGGTAGTTGTAGCTGTGCGAGTTGGGCGTGAGCGATAGGATCAGCCCGTCTACTTTGCTTGTTGCCACGCAGATGGGGAGGCCCTCTCCATCGCTGCAGTTGCGGGCTAGGTTCATAATGCGTGAGCTGACGTAGCCGTGGAGGTAGCACTCCAAAGGCTCATCGATGCTCGCGGAAGGAAACTCGAATGATCCCATTTGTCCTATCATTGGGAGGATTGCCGGGAATGGGTCATCTGGCCCTGGGTTGAAGGATACATGGAGGACTTGGGAGTCGTTGATGATTGAATGAATCGGACCCAAGTCATATGTGGCTGGAATATAGTGTTAGTAGTTGGATTCGGTGTATTTCTATAGTCGTCTTGTACCTCGATGCTTGTACCGGTTGGCGGTGTTGGAGACCCTCTTTGGGTAGGTCAAGGTTCGTCCCATAATGTGCGCGGTAGTCTGCAGAATACGTCTTGAGGTTAAGAGAAGCAAGAAGCAAGCGATGACGAAGCAAGCATTTAAGTAGATAGATTATGAGTCAAGACAGGTGATCTGATGAGCTAGGGCACGCCTTCAAACACCCTTTCTAGCAGGTCCATCCGCGTAAGATTCCCCCGCAAAGGCTAGACCAGAGCATATTGATGACAGGTTGTACGCGGAGCCAATAAATCAACAAGTATGTATACGACAAGGGTATAGGAGTGGACAAGTGAAAGGGTCTCAAGTCTCCGATGCCAAACGCACCCGAGATGATTGGCCCACACCGCCGACTGGACCGTGAACTTGGCGATAACAACAACTCCGACTTACTCTTATCAACTTATTTTTGGGACCTTGAAGCATGGCGGCATGCAGGTCTCTTGTTCGCCAATGCGCTGTCCATCTGCGCTCATCCAGGCCTTTGAGTCATTCATTGCGCCAATTGCCTAGATTCAACCTGCCTCGCAGTTATGCTACCTCGGTGGCCGCCGCGGAACTCAAATTCGGCCAGCCGTTGCATGAGACGCATCCCCACATCCTAAGCCCAGGCGAACGTGTGTAATTATCTGGCCTTGAGTTTTATTTACTTAGCTGATCGTCTTTTGCCTAGTTACGCCGGGAATCACCGCCCTTGAATATGCGCAACGTCGATCGAAGCTCGCAAACAAGCTACCCAAAGGCGCGATTGCAGTGCTAGCTGCCTCGGAGGTCAAATACCGTGCGCCAGGCATCTTCAATGAATACCGTCAGGATTCCAATTTCTTCTACCTAACGGGTAAGTTCGCTTGTTAGACTGGTGGTGCTGCGGAGAACACCCGCTAAATCTTCATTCCGCATAGGATTCAACGAACCGAATGCGCTGGCGATTATCGGGAACGACGGCTCTGGCGATAACCATATCTTCCATTTATATGTGCGGGAAAAGGACCCCAAGGCAGAGCTCTGGGATGGGGCGCGCTCCGGTACCCAGGCTGCTGTGGATGTCTTCAATGCGGATGAGGTGCGGGATACTGGCTTAAGGATCAGACGAATTACCCAGCTGACCGAGAGAACAGACCGGGAATATTGAACGGATTGGAGATATTTTGCCGAGTATTGTCCAGGGAGCGACGGAGGTTTACTCGGACATCCCCTCATTTGATGGCTCACGATCGTCTTTGAATCGGTATCTGTATGGGCCAACAGTCGCGTCGGAAAAGCTGAAGAAGGTCGTCGACCACCGTAGGGTCAAGCCGTTGAAGCATATCCTCAATGAGATGAGAGTGTTCAAGAGTGAGAATGAGGTTGTACAGATGCGCCGATTGGGACAAGCGTCAGGGAGAGCTTTCACCGAGGCTATGCGGCAGAACTTCACGCGAGAGAAGGATCTATATTCTTTTCTGGAGTACCAGTTCAAGGTGAATGGTTGTGATACCAACGCCTTTGTCCCGGTTGTCGCGGGTGGCCAGGTAAATTTCCCGACTTTGTTTAAGCTGAATTCGATACTGACAGATTTAGAACGCCTTGGCTATTCATTACACTCGGAATGACGATGTATTGAAGTTCGTATGCCTTTCCTAAGCCATTGGGACTCTGCTTACACTTCATTTTAGGGATGGTGATTTAGTGCTCGTTGATGGCGGTGGTGTAAGTCCTTTATCTGAATTCAACTTTCATAAGTACAGTACACTGACCAACCATAGGAATGGGGAACCTATATTTCCGACATTACTCGAACATGGCCTGTCAATGGCAAGTTCTCTGATCCCCAGCGGGATCTGTACAATGCCGTGCTCAAGGTGCACCGGAGCTGTCTCTCTCTGTGCCGGGAGACCTCCAATCTTTCTCTAGACAAACTCCATGGTATCGCCGAGAATGGATTGAAAGACGAGCTCAAGTCGCTTGGCTTTGATCTTTCCGGCAATGTATGCATCCAAACTCCGTCCTCGTGGAGTAGCCTGCTGACTTCGACTAGGCAATGAACATTCTCTTCCCGCACCATCTAGGCCACTATGTTGGCCTGGACGTTCACGACTGCCCTGGGTATTCCAGAGGCTACGACCTGAAAGCAGGTCAATGTATAACAATTGAACCGTTCGTCCCCAGCCTCTTTCCCCCAGACTTGAAACACGCTAATCCATGCCAGGGGTATTTATGTTCCCGACGATGAACGATGGCCCGCCCACTTCCGTGGGATCGGAATTCGCATCGAGGATAGTGTTTGTGTAGGAGACGAACATCCGATTGTTTTAACCCCTGAGGCTGTCAAGGAGGTATGTTCTAAACTGTAATATCTCCCACTTTTGCTCCATACTAACTTGTACTAGGTCGAGGACATTGAGGCACTGCGTAATTAGTTGTGATGTATACGGTAGCCGCCAGATCCCTCAAATTCCCATGTACAATAGCATAAGGCTTCGAAATATTAAATTTGAGCCCCTTTATTTTCTTGTATCTTGTTTGCTCCGATCTACAATCTACATGTCTGAACTATCCTTGCCTAGATTCCTTTGTGGTGGCTGGTCTGCGGTTAGTCCGAAGGCTGGTCTGGGGGGTGGTTGGAGACGATTGGGTATTTTTTAGCAGTTATATGATAAAAAGGGGAACATTGGACAAAATAGCCCCAGAGAATGGGATCGAAAATGAAGTAGAGAAGAAAAAGAAGGTCGAAAAGAATCTTGGTCGCGGTCAAAGAATGCAATGTTGATGTTCATTCGCGTGCTGCCGTTGGTTGTCGGGCCTCCGCCCAAAACAAACTGAGCTCCACACCACACGACTTGCTTCTTCTTTCTTTCCTCCAGGTCTTCCACCTCGTTCTCTTCCCATCCCACCTTTGAGTACTTCGACCTGTTCCTCTCTCCTTTGGCTGCTTGCTATTGTCTCTTGGGATACAATGTCCATTCTCTGATCTTCTCTAACCCTCGAAAGACGTGTAGCACGCGTGCTCTTCACCGAGTACCCCTCTTCGATATTTGACTACTGTCACTCTGCAGCATCTAGACGCGTTCTCGGCCCTGGGAACTTGTTTCCCAATGGCAACTGTCTTTGTACCCCCTTCGCCACGAAACTCTATGGCCATGGCGACTCGTCGTCCACTCGCAAACGTACCGAATGCAACCAATTCTCCACACAGGGCAGGGCTCTTGCCAGTTAAACGAGCTCGCTCTACCCAAATGGAGATCCCGTACGGACAGCCACCGCCGAAGAAGCAAGTGATGGAGAACATGGAATATGAGACTCGTCCCACCACCTGCCAGAACACGAACACGGAGTCGAAACTCTTCGCGCGGCGATCGAACAACGGAAATCCTAGCGCGTTCGAGAAGAAGCTCGTCGCAGCTAGGGAGAAGGAACGCCAACCGCAAGTGAAGCATGTCAAGGCCGAGAAGGCTCCAGCAGATACCATGGACTCCATTCGACAATGGCAACGGCACTATAGGAAAGCGTTCCCTCAGTTCGTGTTTTACTTCGATAGCATCCCTGAAGATGTCAGACGCCGGTTCTGTCGCCAAGTCAATGCTCTTGGAGCTGTAAGTCACCCCACAGCACATTCGGCTAGTCTTGGTTGCATCTCTTGTCTCCCGTCTTCAGTTATTCTTCAGTTATTAAACACCTTCCATTGGCATCTTCTCTAACCCACTTCAATGCAGCGTGAGGAGAAGTTTTTCTCGCGTAAGGTGACCCACGTTGTCACTTCGCGTGCCATCCCCCCCCGAATCGACCATTCCGGCAGAACCGGAGTCCACTGCAGACGTTAGCAACGGTGATAGCAACGTCCAAACCGTCAACCCTTCACTCCTAGAGAGAAACGGCGAGACCCACCTGCATGCTTCTTTAAAGACCGAGACACGTCGTGATCAAGGCACCATGGACATTTTGCAAAGGGCCCGACAGATGGGCATGAAAATCTGGGCTTTGGAAAAGCTTCAGCGTATGATCACTACCATCAACGACAGTGATATCGGTGCCCAGTATGAACAAGCTGCTCGGAACAAGGCCGCTGGTAGTCACGCAGTCAACGGAAAGGGCGAGAATGACCTATCACGGGTCCTTCGCCAGGAGCTTCTCAACGGACCTTCTGACCGCGACCCATTGGCATCAATGGAAATGCTAATGTTCAAAGGACCATTTGTCTACATCCATGACATGAACGAGAAGACCAAACCAGTCATGGTTCGAGAATACTCCCGAGTCGCTAGGCGCCAGGATGGAGCTTGGCCACAGTTCCGAAGCGCTCCCCTCGGAAAGTGTCCATTCATAGATGAGCCCCCGAGTAGGAAGGAATATGATCGACACCGATTACGTCAACTCCATAAAGAGAAGAAGGCTGCCTCTCAACGGGCTGATGGAACTCGCGATGCTAAGCCAAAAGCAGCTGTGCCAGCCCAACAAGCGCCCGAATCGGTGACTACAACAGAGGTCGCACATTCCCAGCCATTAGCGAAACAAGAGGAGCGTATTTCACCTCCAGTTCAAAACGGAATCCAAAAGCCGTCATTTGATGAAACTCATGAACGGAAGAGTTCTGAAAGCTTCATTCCTCCCCACTTCCCTCGCACGGGGCCCTTCTATACTGGTCGTGAGCCAGCTGCCTCAGGTGTTCAGCCGTCGAACATGACATCCGCAATTCGCTCACAAATGATCTCATCTACTGCTGCAGCACCTGGCGCGAAAGCTGGGCTCAGCAAGGAGGTTCATGGGCTCAAGCGCAAGGTTCTCGAGAAGGGAACAGGTGGGTTCGCCACGGGATCGATGGCGGCTCCGCAACGCCGTGGGGATGGGTCTGCGACAGTTCCGATGAAGAACAACATCAACCCCCCAGGGAAGCCCATCCTTCTCAATGAGGATGAAGCAAAGCAGTCTGAGGTGGCTGGGTCAAAGCGACAAAGGGAGGACAAAGATGAGCAAAAGAAACCCGAACGCCGCAGAGATCCAAAACCTGGCTATTGTGAGAACTGCAGGGACAAGTTCGACGATTTTGAAGAGGTATTATCTTGGTTGTTGTGTTTGTTAGATCGCTATAGGTACTGACCAATCTCTTAGCACACTCTGACTCGCAAACATCGCCGATTTGCCACGAACGCCAGCAACTGGGCTGAACTCGATGCGTTGCTCTCTGAAATTCAGCGCCCACTCAAGGCCGAATACGAATATGATGAATAGACCTGCTGTTTCTAACAGCATCCCATGATTCCCTTTGGACCTCGGCCTCTTTTATTTGATACACCTTTGCATCCCGATGCAGGTCGAGCTTTTATTTTCGAGCTATCTTTCTTCTACCACATTGCAATTTTTATTTCCGTCATGCCTGATTTGCACCTCGAAACCTTGCATAACCATACCCTCGGCATCGACACATGCATGGTGGCGTTTTTTCCCCTTCTTTTTCCGTCTTCATTTTGTTTTATCATGCATCAGCAGTACCAGTAACCATTCCCTCTCCGGTCTGATCTGCTTGCCTTGACCTCGATGGAGGTCGTCCACTCCTTTACAGCATTTTCACTTTCTTCGAATGTATTGAATATCCGATTTTAAACCAGCATTACGTCACCTTCGAAATCGTGAACCGACCTCCATCAACCGCCGACGGCAATTTTGGATACTTGCATTTCTCATGTTGCTCCAAGAACAACTCATCGTCGACACTGGTTGCCTCACATGCAAACAGCTTGTGCTTTACGGTCTTTAATTGTGGCCGGTTGCGATATACCGAAGGTATAATGGACGATTTAGCATGGACTCAAGGGTTCCTAGCCTTGCATTGCACTCCGTTCTAACACATCGTCATCACCCTTTTTGGTCCTACGGGGCCATATTTTCTATCGTCAGATTTTCCTTGTGTCTTTTCACCGGTGGTCTCTTGTTTCCCCATGGCTGTGGCTTGTTGCCCAGCGCAGGCGGCCAAGTCTCTGTTGGGACTTTTCCTTTCTCGTGACATTACTTACTTGAATAAGCATTTATTCGACTAAATGATCTGTATGCAGTTTGTATCGTGCTAATTGAATTGTCTGCTATCGAATACATTCTCACATAAAGAAACATCGGCTCATAGGAGTAGAAAGTACAAGCCCCCTCACTAAGCCCGATGCGGTAATCACCTCGGTGGAACCTAAACTACAGGCGGTGACGCTAGTGCTAGGCGGTGAGACTGGCGAAAATGGCATCCTCGAGCTTCCGAAGTTGATGTCAACATAGTATAAGCATTTTATGTTGAATGTTACTTTGATTAAGACACAATTGTGATACTCGCATACATACACTAACATCAAACCCGAGGAATGGCACCGTTCCTGAGTCCACGTGCCTATATGTAGCCCCGCAAAACATCTCGGCATTCGGCCCGCAATGAGCGGCAGTATCGGAGATCTTCAACTTCAAATTTTTGATGCTCCCATCTACGCCGCATAACCCAGCACGTCAATCCGGACAGAAGGATCTCTGAATATACAAAGCCGCGGCTCAGACATAGTCTCATATATGACCTTTCGACCTCTTTGTCCTCTTCGCTCGCGCACCGGAAAACCATCAGTTCGCCGCTGAGGGTCATCGCCATTCCTTTGTTATCGCCATTTCTACAGCTCCGACGGATACAACTAGTGCATATAGCATTGTATACTGAGAAATATTGAGATATATACTCACTGAACGCAGAAGCCCTCGGTATTTTGATATCGTGCATCACCGGGTGCATTGCGCCACTCCACTTTTGACAATCACACCACAATGGCCGCGCCAGGCTGTGCATTGCGGCGCACAGCACTCGCTTCTTCGTCGCTATTCAGGACGCCAGTGATTCCGGCTACCAGAACGCAAACCGCACATACCATTCGCACCGCACGCTGTCCTGTCCTGTCCTCCCACGTACCGACGCCACACTCCCTCTCCCAAACACGACATAGTTCCTACTCCGCGCCAACACCCAGTGAGAATGGAAAGGCGCGGAAGAAGGTTACTATCCAGACGCTCCAGAACATGTACAAGAAGGGGGAGCCGATCACGATGCTCACGGCGCATGACTTTCCCAGTGCCCATGTTGCCGATGCGTCGGGGATGGATATGGTCTTGGTAGGGGATAGTTTAGGGATGGTAGCTCTTGGACTGGAAAACACGACGGAAGTCATTATGGAAGAGATGGTTCTTCATTGTCGGAGTGTAGCGCGGGCAACGAAAGCCGCCTTTATCGTGAGTTGTCGGAATTCCGGGATGGTGCCACAGCCGCCGACTAACCATATTCCGATTCCAGATTGGAGATCTACCGATGGGGTCATATGAAGTGTCCGCGGAGCAAGCCATTGAGTCATCTCTTCGTCTGATCAAGGAAGGCCGCGTACACGGCGTCAAGCTAGAAGGTGGCCAGGAACTCGCGCCCACAATCAAGCGCATCACACAGGCCGGTGTTCCGGTAGTAGGCCATGTCGGGCTCACGCCACAGCGACAGAATGCCCTCGGCGGTTTCCGGGTGCAGGGCAAGACGGCTATCAGCGCGATGAAGCTGCTGCGCGATGCACTTGCGATGCAAGAGGCTGGCGCGTTCATGCTTGTGCTTGAGGCGATGCCGGCGGAGGTTGCATCCATCATCACGCAGAAGCTGCGGATCCCGACTATCGGTATTGGCGCTGGCAATGGCTGCTCTGGACAGGTTCTGGTGCAGGTTGACATGACTGGGAATTTCCAACCTGGTCGGTTCGTGCCGAAGTTTGTTAAGCAATATGCGGATGTTTGGGATGAGGCTGCGCGTGGCATCTCGCTGTATCGCGATGAGGTTAAGAGTCGGGCTTTCCCTTCGGGAGAAATACACGTATCCCATTGCGAAGGATGAGCTTGCCGGGTTCCAGAAAACGGTTGATGAGGTCTTCCGGGATTGATAATGCGCCTGGTTCCCATTCTTTTTGCATTGGCCATTTCTTGCATATTCTGTATTAAGCATCATTCATCATCATTTGTACATAGCATCATTCAGCAGTTCATGCTGGTTGTTCATAGCCTACTCAGCCGAATGCTGGGGTCATTGAATAAGCGACAATCAATTGATCGTCCGTCTTGAAACACTATTATGAAGTTAGCATTTAAATTGTCAAATATGAGGGTACAGTAAACAGTCGAGTTGAAACTCACCCTCCATAGTCCGCCCATGCCTTCATCTAACCCGGGCGCAAACACGCTGTTAACATAACAAAAGACAGAATCGGTATCTTTACAGTCCAGTTTCTTGCGCAGGAACTTGACAACCGTTTCGAATTTCTGCGAAGCGCTAACCTTGAACACCCGATTTTTCAAAATAGGTGCTGACGGGAGAGGTTGGAAGCGAACAGTGACTTAATTATCGTTAGTTGAGTTTCTATCATTTGTTGTGATCGCGGCCGTCTAATCAGCCCAAAGCTCGGAGAAGAGGGGTTTTACCTTTCCCCGAATCAATACTCTCCACGTCGGCGAGTGCCTGGTGGGCATCACGGGGTAAATTGGTCAACATGACCGATGCAGACATATTCATCGGTAGATCCGCGCCATGGTCGTCATCTGGAATCGGGGCGTTTGCGGAGTTGTTGGGTGGTGTGTCCGAGCTCTGGGGCTGGCGCGGGCTTGGACGGTGGCTGAGTGTGGTCTGTGGATTTGGACTGGGGGGAGCTCTGTGGAGAGCGTGTTGGAGAAGATGGATTCATGGTGTATGATGTATAAAGGAAAAGAAGATGGGAGTGGAAAGGTGTAAGTTCAAGGGAGTTGAGGTGGGGAATATCCTTAAACATTAGAGTTCCCGACGCTTAAAAACATTGGCCTGAATGTACTGTAGACACCTTTTAGGCGTCGGATGAATCCCAACCAAAAACTTTTTCATCTCCTAAACGCATTGAGATATCAGAGATTTTTTTTACTCCATCATCAGGTATTGCAGCTGAAATGGGCCATCTTCGAGCAATGTTAAGTGGCGGGTGCTTGAGGGGTGACAAGTTCTCTGTGGAAGCCCGTCTCGAACAATCCGGGGAAATAAATACTCTCCAAAGGTTTCGCTTGTGGAGCACTGGGACGGAAACAAGGCTGGGCCTGCCAATATCTCGCATAAGCTTCTCTTTGTAGAGGAAGACCTCCGAGAAGTTGTTCAAGAAGAGATATCGATCAAAGAGGATCCGACGCCCTGAACAAAGGCGCTAAAGACGCTAAAGAGAAACTTGAGGGTTTGAATGTGAAATACTGGATTTTGGCGCAAAAATGGTGGCATTGTCGGTCCTTACTCCAAGACGGGGGCCAACTAAGAGCGTTCGAACTCTGGCGGACCCATCCTAAGTGGTATATGCACCGTGTGCTTATTGAAGATTGTGCTGGTCGAAAAGGATGCTGTGCTCGTGGATGTGGGTGTTGTTATACCAGAAAGATTGATTCTACGCGTAAGCTTGGAGTTGGACATTGTACTTTTGGGTGTGGATGTTGTCGGAGATTTCGAGGCTTCAACATTTCTGAAGAGGATAGGAAATTACTCAAAGAGAATGTCGTAAAGAGGTCGGCGAGCTCATCAGGCACCGGATCACGCGTGTCTCAATATGGGGACTTGTCGGTGATAGTTTCGATAGCCCGTTTGATATGATTGAGGCACCCCCAAGTTAAACGCAAAGAACAAGGCTCTAACAAGAAAGAGGAAAAGGATAGCTGACTTGCTTCAATGTTGGATACATGTTGTTATTGTATTTCGGAATGGTCAATTTACCCAACTAAGCTGTGACATCACCTTGTAGGCTCCTTCCGTACAAACGCTCACTTCCCATGTAGTCGACAAAGCAATTTTGTAGGACACGAAAGAACTTCACCTTAACCATCATTCATGTATTGACACAATGCTTGATAGAAACATCTTTCATCCTATTCTTACTTTTTGGCACTTTGCGGTAAGTTTGATCTCTTTGCTGGCGTCTTCTATGGCGTCCTTTTTGGAATCTTTGCTGGCGTCTTTAGTGTCTTTTTTGGTGTCTTTCTAACGCTTTTCTAGGCGCAATGCCAATAGGCTGCCGAGAGGATAATGCCAAGACGGTGATAGCGGAGCTCGTTCGGCTGGCAGAGCAGAAAGGTGCCACCGTCATGAACAACGTGGCGAGAAACCTGACTTGAATGTTCGTCGTTTGCCTGATCGCCTGGAAAGTAGTCACCTTTCTCTTCCAGCTGATGCAGCGGCTATATGACCGGTATGTCCCTCGATCACTTGCCCTGTGCAGGAACAACACACTGACCTCTAACGAATATCCACATGTATTTGGCTCGTCTCCGATCACCACTACTGTAGACGAGAAATGCGGCCTCTCCACTTCCACCATCCATCCCCTTCCACCAACCATTTTCAACGGTTATGGTACCGACTTCTCGACCAGTATTTTCCAGCTGACCGATGATGGCTTGTGGCTGCTGCTATCGTTTGGTTCAGGGCTGGCTGGCTATGACTCTGGGCATTGCCGACAGGTGCGTCATTCTATTTTTGGCATGACTAGGCCCATGATACGTTCATATGTTAACTACGGGAATGAACTATAGAGAACCGCATATTTCAATTGTATAAATACTGGTTGGGAGGGTGGGAACAATAAACCTTGCATAATCATCTTGGGAATTTGGATAAAATGCGTGATTGTTATCATAATAATATTATTACCATCCCGTTATTTGATATGGGCACATAGATAGCTACCTGAATGAATGAATGACTCTACCAGAAAATGCCGGTGACTTCTTCAACCTTGAGCATTAGTGATCAAAATTTACAGGAAAATGACAGATTTGAAGATATATCGAGAATCTAATGAGAGAGGCATCTAGAAGAACTAGCAAGTATCAAACTAAGTAGAGTGTTCTTTACAGTTATTGGTGCCGCGTTGCGTACTTGCTAAAATGGCAAGTGTGTACGGCATCAACAATCTGATATCTATAGATAGACATGTAAATCTCTGATAATGTTTGCTGAGGGGTGTATCTAAGCAAACTGAAGACTCAATTTTCATTTTACCTTCGATTCAACTACTCTTTTTCACCCATCTCTCACAAAACGCCATGCCGCATGTCTACCACGGCCAGTGGTCTTTCGACGGCGACACCTTCTACGTCACCTCCTCAAGTGGGCATGTCCACCGACGCGCGACATACTCCGAGCTGGACGACATTTTCAGCACACCATTAGGCGACAGAAGAAACAGAGCCGACTACCAAGACGACTGGTACGAAGCCCAACTTCTCCATTTTGGACTACCACCGACAAAAAGCAAAGCTACAGCCAAGATGAGATTGATGGATGCCTTCCAGGACGGAACACTAGATGTCCCTGAGGAAATACTCGAAATGGAGCACAAACTGACAAGGGCCTGGATGAAACAAGACTTGGAGGCCCGTATCCTGGGTCCTTCAATGCAGCCTCCACTCAATCCTGAGATTACCGGAGCTACGACGACTGACGCGATTGAGCTTGGCGCTGCTCAGAGGCCATCGGGTCATGAGGAGGGAAGGTTATTCGGCGCAAGCTTGGTTGGAGGAAGCGGTATGCAAGGCAATGTGCGATCCCAACAAAACATGATATATCCACCCCACGCTCACACAAAGAGAAGAATATGCAACACCGCAGACCAATCAGCCCGCCCTTTGAAAACAGCAAGGCGTTGTGGGGAAACTGGTGGACTCGACTTGCACCAGGTTCACGTCAACACGAACGGTGAGACATTCCATCAGAGATCAGCGGGTACTCCAGTATCAGTGGGGAATGGACGCGGACGACCGGCTTCGGATGGGGATTTGCAGCAGGTTGGATATCAGACGGTGCCTCTGTTGCACCAGACTACGTACAGAATGGTGAGATGGCTTTCCGTGTATAAGAAACGAAGTATAACCATCTCTGACCAGAATACATAGGCCACACAGCTACCTCCGGCCGGGGTAATGAACGCTGACGATGCGAGCGACTGTTATGGGTACAGCTACAAGCCCGCGAGTGACTCGGGCCAATCTTCTCTACTTCAAGGCTGGAGTTTCCAGAACAGAGATCCAATGGCCAAGGTATGAGTGCACTTCGGAATTTGGATTGGTTGAAGCAAAAGTGAAATACATTGTGGTCATGGGAATGTACGTAGGAAAGTGCTACTCAAGGGAGATGAGAATTCATGAAATGTTTGGAGTTCAAATCGATTCCAGAAAATCTGATAGATTGCCAGTAAATGGTCTATGCGTGTTACACTATGGTGGTGTTATTTTAGATGATAGGAAAGATGATTCCATTTCTAGTCTGGGTTGTTGTAACTAAAGAGAGGTCTGTCTGGTCCCGTGTGCCAGCTGGTAGCCTTACATGATGGTAGCGGTAGTACCTAGGTAACAATGTAACAATGTGCCTCCCGAACGCTGTCTCTCTCCACAAGTTCAATTCGAAAAGGTGCATCAGCAAGCCTGATCAACTCCCCCAGTTGTGGGTTCGGATCCCATGGTTTGGTCACCAAGACTTTGAAAACCGTGGGCTGTTGAATTTGATACAGCGGCCTAAGCCAACCATCCAGATGGTTTGTGGCGGCATCATATAAACGGATGGTCAATGTCTTCAGACCAGGCAGCTTAGTAGCGAGAATCTCGCAGCATCTATTCCAACCTGGATTGAGATTCGGAAAACTGAGTTGTAAAGTGCGTATCATGCCCAGGCGCTGTGGTAGAAGTGTATGTGAAAATTCAATAATCGTGTATGTGTCCTCAAAGTGGAAAGTGTTCTTTTGAAAGATGATATCCACAACCTCCGAGTACCTGACCACGCTGTGAATTGAGTATTTTGAACATGGATGGAAGTAGGAAGTACTCACACTCTTCGACACGATTGTAAATGTGGCACAAAATCGACTCTCCTTGTCTCAAGTTCCACGGAGTAAGAGAGCTCATCAAAATATTGAATGCGTTCCCTACGCGTACGGTAATCCCACGCCCTAAGTCTTACCTGACAATGATGACTGCATGGACAGAAATTGCAAGGTACTATGCACAAGACCCCGATAATCCGGTTTTTAGGTCGTCTCCATTTGTGCTGCATTGATCGAACAACAATATGCAGCATACGGCTACAGAGATAATGTTCCCAGATGAGAAGTCGGATTTCGGTAGGGAAACATTCGAACAGAGGAGACTGGATTTGTTGTAAGGTATATTGGGTAGATTGTTTCTCGCGTCGCTTTGGAAGTAATAACCGCCATCCACGACCAGTTGGTGGGACTTGAGGATTGGAATCTTTGTTCTCCAGCAATGGTGGAGTGAAGTGGCCTGCGGGGTTTTGGAGGTGAACTGGCGTCTTTTGAGTCATCATGAACTTGAGATTTCTTTGCCAACCCAAGTCTCCTCATACTGAGTCGCCCGGGTTTAGAGGTGCGATACCTGAACTGGCAGGGATGAAGCTAAAGATCGGCAGGACAGGGTTGTAGCATGATATATTGGCAATGTTACACGCCGGGGGTGTCCGACAAAGCTAACCTTGGAAGCCTATGCAGTGTAATCGTTGTCTTTGTGTTCCCATTTGTCACTTCTATGGCTGTTCCCACTGTGTCAAAGACCCCTTTAAGTAATCTGTGCAGAGCTTAGAAGTATCCATGGATATAATACCAACCTTGGAAGAATCAGCAGAGAGCTCCTAATAAACTGCCATATTTCGTTTTTTTTTGTAAGGAAATAGGAAAAGAAAGAAATACCACAAGAGCAAGTCAAGGAATATCAATGAAGTGATTGATGTGAGCAATGACTCTGACGCCTTACAGATCAGGCGTTGACGTGGTATAAATCTCCCCGCATCTCCACTTCAGCTTCTTTGATAAGCTCAGCTCTTCCATCTTGACCTCGGGGATATTGTGACAAGGCCATGGCTTCATCTGCAAAGAGCATAGTGCCGGCTGCCGACCTTCAGTCATTTACTGAATATTTAAGAGGGTGCAAACGCATCGTCGCTCTTCTTGGAGCTGGAATCTCTGCATCATCAGGCTTACCCACCTTTCGTGGCGCAGGCGGACTCTGGCGTTCCCACGATGCAACCTCCCTCGCGACTCCAGAAGCTTTCGATGAGACTCCTGGTCTCGTCTGGCAATTCTACAGCTACCGGGGCGACATGGCTTTGCAAGCCGATCCCAACAAAGCACATTACGCCTTAGCAGAGCTAGCGCGAAGGAACGAAGACTTCATCACACTGAGTCAAAATGTTGACGGTATGGATGTCCAATAAGTTGTTTGTTCTTTTGTCTAATAAATCCCTGTTTCTTATAGGCCTCTCTCAGCGAGCCAACCATCCCGTGAAGCAGCTGCATCTTCTCCACGGCACTCTGTTCAATGTCAAATGCACCAATTTCTATTGCAACTACACCGAAGACAACTATACAGATCCCATCGTTCCCGCTCTCGAAATTCCCAAAAAGAGTTCAGGTCTTAACCCCTCTGCGACCGACAAGACTGGCGAGCAAGCATCGAAAGCGATCGGAGAAGCGCTAGACGATACGAGTACCGAGGTTGATATCTCCGATGCGAACAATCCTATCGCCACAGTAGCCAGAGAGGACCTACCTCAATGCCCGAAATGCGAGGATGGCTTGCTCCGACCGGGAGTCGTGTGGTTTGGAGAACCCTTGCCGGAGAAGACGATCCGTGCTGTTGATAAGTGGATCGCAGCGGGTCCGGTCGATCTGTGTTTGGTCATTGGTACCAGTGCGAAGGTTTTTCCGGCTGCAGGGTATGTCCACGAGGCTCGTTCGCAGGGCGCCCGGGTTGCGGTCTGTAATATGGATCCCAACGATACACCGGGGCAGCTTCATTACGGTGATTGGTTCTTCCAAGGAGACGCGGGTGTTATTGTCCCCGAGATACTCAAGAGTGTTACTGGCGAGATCTGATTTTCTTACTTGGGGAGTTGATACGAGGGCGGCGAATTTTTGATATTGCGTTTCGCATAAACTAGCGATGATGGAACATCCTGGATCCCTGGATATAATATTTGGATGACAAGACGATCTGGCACGATTGCCCGTTAGCTTTCCTCTTTCCCACGGCGTCGTTTTCCATTTTTTGCCCTCATTCTTATCATCTTAAAAGCCTAATAAAGCACGTGGGATACCGCTAATGGGCGTGATATGCTGGCGCCTAAGCCACCAGACGATTTGTAGGGCTCTCGTTCTCGATCATTACCCGAAACAGCGCTAACTCGCTTTAGTTACTCCGTACTCCATCTTTAGCGCGGGTAGACATGGGTGGCTTGGTCCACTTCCAGCCTTCTTCTTCCCCTTATAGCCTTGTTATATCACCGCGTGCTATTCAACCATGTCGGCAGTCCAAGATCTCTCTGGTGCCCGCTTCACAGCCACACACCGCTCTACAACCTACGACTACATTTCTCCCTTGAAGCTAGACCTAGCCGGAAGACACGTTCTGATCACGGGTGCCGCTTGGGAGGACGGAGTGGGGTACGCCACAGCCACGGCTTTCGCGCGTGCGGGAGCTTCCGCGATAGCCGTAGCAGACCTCCACGGCGTATCTGCCGACCTTACTGAGAAGTTGAAGTTGACGGCCACGCAAGCCGGTCGTTCCGAGCCAATGGTGCGAAGCTACACTGTCGACATTGCAAGCCAAGAAAGTGTTCAAGCAATGCATGAAACGGTCTCACGAGACTTTAGTGGGCGTTTGGACATAGTCGTCAACAATGCAGCACATATGGAACCACCCAAGCCAATCCTTGACTCGGATCCGGACGTGTATTGGAGGACATGGGAAGTCAATGTCCATGGACTTTTCAATATGGCACGCGCATTCCTCCCTATGCAATTGTCGACTCGTGCTAGTGGTGGTTCATGCATAATGATTAACTTAGCTTCCTCGGGCGCTCTGACCGCTCGCCCTGTAGGCGGAAGTTATCGAAGCTCGAAGCTTGCGATATTGAGGTGGACGGAGTCTTTGCAGTTGGAATATGGTGATCGGGGCCTCTTGGCCTTTTGTGTCAATCCCGGTGCGATCAAAACGAAGATCTCTGAGGACTTGCCGCAGAGGGTGCGGGATGCATTCCCTGATCGGCCAGATGTAGCGGGTGATACGATTGCGTGGTTGGCTGCTGAGCGTAGAGAGTGGCTGGGCGGGAGATATGTGAGCTGTCCCTGGGATATGGAGGAGCTTGTGGAGAAGAAAAACGAGATCGTCGAACATGACAAGCTCAAATTGAGGATGGTGTTTTAGGCTTAGTCGTGCTCCCTAGCCTTGCGGAGTGGTTATAGTGGCGATCCGAGTCTGTATATATATGTATCTTGAAGCTACGAACATTTATTCCATAGAAAATGACCCGTGGCACATACATATATCATTGCAGATGATATCCTTAGAGGACCTGGTTCAATATTAATAGGCCAATGGCGGGGATTCCAAAATACTGCCGTACACAAATGCCGATCATCCCTCGGGTATTCCAATTTAAAACCCCATAAATAGCGGAATTACGAGCTGATCCGCACCTTTGAATGATTGGCTTAGATCCACCTGTGTTACTATGCGGGGTTCGCATATAGAGCTGCATTGCCCTTCAGCTCCAAGGGGTTGGACATTTAAACTCGGACGTCCCCTCTTTGGGCAAATATACACTACCAATTACAACTCAATTGCAACACATACAAAATGAAGTCGACAAATACAGTACCCCAGAAACGAAAGAAGCAAGAAAGCGATGATGAGGATGAAATTGTTAAAGATGGCACTCTCACATCTGCGGCTGAGAATTTCTTCGAGGCGCTGTGTATGTGAACAGAGCTTTATGCAGTCCATTAGAAAGGCACTAACCTTTCTCCCAGCTGAGGCCGGCATCACTCACTGCTTCGTCAACCTGTGAGTCCCTATAATAACCACCAACTTGATGTGTTTTGACCGGTCCAATAGTGGGAGCGACCATCCTGCGATGTTGGAAGCCATGATCAAGGCTAGGCAAGGTGAGTACCGGAGATGCTATCCAATACCCAGAGCTAAACCGTAATCCATATCTAGAAAACAATGTCAATTTCCCAAACATCATTACCTGCCCTTCAGAGCTAGTGGCGCTATCAGCTGCGCTGGGATATGCTCAGGCTACAGGAGTACCGGTACGTTTGACTATGCCCAGCATCCGAATCGATTCTCGCTAATTCTTGCAAGCAATGTGTAATTGTGCATGTCGATTGCGGAACTCTCGCTATGGGGCAGTCCATACATAACGCCTCCGTTAGCAGAGTTCCTGTCCTGTGCTTTGCTGGCTTGAGCCCTTTTACCCAGAATGGCGAATTGTTGGGTTCCAGAACAGAGTTAGCAAGTCTGAGAGGGAATGTTTGCATTGAGCCTACTGACACTACTACAGATTCATCCATTGGCTACAAGACGTACCTGATCAAGCAGCCATTGTACGACAATACTGCAGATACACGGGTGAAATAAAGACGGGACGCAATATCAAACAAATGGTCTCGCGGGCTTTGCAATTTGCTACATCCGATCCGAAAGGCCCAGCATATTTAATGGCTGCCAGAGAGGTTCTGGAGGAAGTTAGTATTCACAATCATCGAAATATACTAGAATTACTACTAAACCAAATCTACTATTCAGCGTGTGGGAACAGAGTCCTTAGACGGGGACATTCTCAGTCCAATCGCTCCAAGTGCATTGCCAGTGCAAGGTAGGTTGGTCATTATCCTAGTTGTAACTTCACATCGCTGACACGAATAGAGGTGGAATTAATCGCCAAGTCACTCATGGATGCAAAGCGACCGCTTGTCATCACAAGTTATCTTGGTCGGAATCTCAAAGCACCTGCCCTCTTAGCTGAGCTCTGCGACAAACTTCCAATCACCGTCGTGGAAATGGTCGGCTCCGACGTTTGTCTGCGAAGTGACCACGAAGCATATCGCGGCGTGACCGTCACCACTCATCCGGAAGTTCTTGAAGCCGACGTTATTCTTATTCTCGATTGTGATGTGCCTTGGATCCCTACTGCTGGGAAGCCCCGGAGCGGTAAGAATACCTCAAAGCAATGTCTGATGCTTTCTGACAGTCGCTGCAGGCACGAAGGTATTCCATCTAGATGTCGATCCGCTGAAGCAACAGATGCCACGTATGTTCACAATTAGGCCGTACGACTGACCTTTTTCTGTTTTTGCTAATACTTAGATATCAGTCTTTTCGATCAATGCCACTCGCAGACTTAAGGTTGGCTGCGGAATTGCGCTTGAGCAAATTAATGCTTTCCTGGGTACACAGAATATCGATCGGGCTAGGTACACCCTGAGGTTTGAAGAACGGTCAAAGAACTACAAGACCTGGAGGGAAACCCTACGAACACTTGAATCACCATCGGAAGATGGCGTAGTCAGTGTGCCGTACTTGGCTTCACGGCTGCGTGATTGTCTCCCACAAGACACTATTTACGTTTTGGAGGCTGTGACCAATGCTGGCCATCTCATTCACCATCTAAACCTGACCAAGGTGTGTATTGATATCAAACTGCTGGCTCTATGCTAATTAATTTCCAGCCAGGAAGTCTGGTTGCTAGCGGAGCAGGTGGTCTAGGATGGGGAGGCGGTGCAGCACTGGGCGTCAAACTAGGCAAGCCAGGTTCATTTATATGTGGAATGTAAGTGTTCACAGCTGCGAGAGCACATATCCAACATCTAATAGTTCCCAGCGTCGGTGACGGAGTCTATCTGTTCTCGCAGATGGAAAGTGTCTACTGGATCGCCAGACGCTACGATATCCCCTTCCTCCTTGTTGTGCTCAACAACGGCGGATGGAATGCACCAAAGGTGTCTGCACTTCTGGTCCACAAGGAAGGACTATCGTCGAAGTCAAATAGACGAGGTTAGCCAGATATAAACCAATTATCTTGTGCATAGTGGCTGATTTACTCCAGATCTCAATATCTCGTTTGACCCTTCTCCCGATTATCCTGGAATCGCTGCTGCAGCCGGTAAGGCGTGGGGTGCGACAGTCACGACGCAAAGCGAACTTGATCCTGCTATCAAAGAGGCAACAAATGTTGTTCAGGGTGGAAAATGTGCTGTGGTTGAGGTTTCGTGAGTAGCAGCAGTGGTTCTTTACTGACTACAAGCTGACTTTGTTTTAGTGTTCCGTCTATGTGGAAGGAGAACTAGAGGAAGACTAGAGCGCGTATGGAATAACTAGTCATCGTTTACTGGCTTCACGAAGGATTTTAGAAGACATTTTGATGATGGAGGTGTTTACCTTGAAACTGTAGACGTCAGGAACCTGGACCAGAATCCGACCATTCTATGGTCCGAACTAGTGCAGGTAGAGGCCTGCCGCCATCCACGTGTAAGCATTCAACGCTTAATCTCGGCTTGTCTGTAAAAAACCTCTGTTGGATTAATCGACACAACGGTAGTACTGTCGTGTTTCTGGAATGAAGAGGAGAGGTGAGGAGATGAAGGTGAGGATAGTGTCGCTCAAAAACAAACAGAGATGAAAGTGAACATGAGGAAGCGACGTTGTACTTGTAAATGGTAAGGGCCTAACACCTTCCACCCACCTTACACGATACATATGCTTAGATCAATCGGGAAGAGCTATGAAGGTGACGTTCTCTCGAGGTGATATTCTTAGTTCTGCCTGAGGCATCGTCCGTTGCTAGGCCAACAAACCGATAACCACCTGGAATCGATAACGACTCTTTTCTCTTTGATGTTTGCAAACCCCCGCCATCGACCAAACACTCTGGATTCAAGGCATCATCTAAGGGTTAGTTTCTTCTATATTGTTACAACCAGTTCTTTTTTGGTCTTGCAATTTCAATTTCAACAGGACCGGAGGAGTCCACGAACTTGTCGAGTCGGCACACAAAGAACGCAAAGGGCTAACGGCAAATTCCAGTGCTCTGAGATTCCTCTTCGCGTCTTGATGTCCTAAGATCGGATCATTCCAGACTTAATGATCCAGTGAATCCAGCAAACCAACATATTACTCCTCTGCCAAGATAATCTCCAAACCACACCGCTCGTTAAAACGCGATGGCCAGAGAAAGCACCGCGCCAATGGAGCCCCTCACTCCAGGGGGAAAGCCAAACACCCAACCTCACCCCGCACATATCCAAGAACCTGAATTCGGAAAACCCTCGCCGATCGGCCGCTCGCAACACAGATCAAACCACCTTTTCAACATTCCGAAGCCGAATCAATCCCGGGCTGAACATCATCGGCCTGCCCCTGAGACCGCAGCCGCAACAGCAGCCACAATCGCGCCCTCCCGGCCAGCCGAATGCTACGCCTCACGCTTATCGCCCACCGGGCACTTCAGGTGCCCCAGTCGCTACGCCATCGGCGAAGCGAAGCGAGCCATGGGACCCATTCAAGCCGGTTGCACCATCAGCCTACAACAACCCTCGCGGAGGATTCCACCACGGTGCAGTGAGTATCAAGCGACCTGAAAATGTCACATGGACAACTCCTCGGGCCCCTAGGCCTGATCTATCAATCCAAGCCTGTTCCACCAAAAATAGGAGGCGCGTCCAACCTACAGAAATTTATTGATCTCACACGTGATGACACTGATCCTGTTCCACGGGCGTCGGCCCATGCGACGCCGAGCTTCGGGGCCATGGATATGAATGGCTATGTGGATACGGCTATGGCAAACGAGAACATCAAAGCTTTGCTTGAAGGTGCCTTCGAGGACGAGGAGGACAAGGCTGAGCTGAAACCCAAAGGCAAGAAGAAGAAGGGTGGAAAAAAGCGATCCAAGAAGACGTCGCAGAAGAAGGAGAAGGATGAAGTCATTGTGGATGAGAAGAAGGAACAGGCGACCGACGACCTTGATGATCTTGCAGCTCAACTTGAAGGGGTGACGGTCAACGACCCGAAGGGTAATGATACTAAGTCTGAACAAGATTCATCTGCCAAGGTTGAGCAAGAGAAAGTAGTTGCCCAGTCAGACGAAGAAGACGATGAGGCAGCAGAGGAGGAAGAAGAAGAAGAAGAAGAGGAGGAGGAGTCAGACGACGAAGATGATGGGGTCATCGAAGGCTTAAAAGTCACACTCCTTCCCCATCAAATTGATGGTGTGAGATGGATGTGTGACAAAGAGACTGGCCGAAAGACGAGCAAAGGAATATTCCCGAAAGGCGGAATCCTTGCAGATGATATGGGTTTGGGCAAGACGGTGCAAACAATTGCTTTGCTGCTCAAAAACCGTAAATCCGACCATGATCATAGCGAGAACACCGAATCAGAGGGAAAGACGACCAAGCTGCCTCCAAACTGCGTTGCCTCCACTTTGGTAATTGCGCCCCTTGCGCTCATCAAGCAATGGGAGGCGGAAATCAAGGACAAAGTTGAGCCGTCTCACAAGCTGCGTGTTTGTCTATATCACGGCACAACGCGCGCGAAGACTTCGACGACGCTGGACAAGTACGATGTTGTGATCACAACATATGGCACTCTTACCTCCGAATTCAATTCGTCAGCATCAGACAAGGCCAAAAAGGCGGGTATCTTCGCTGTTCATTGGTACCGTATCATTCTCGATGAAGCGCACACAATCAAGAATCGCAATGCCAAGGCCACCCAGTCGGCATATGCATTGGATGCCCAATACCGCTGGTGCTTGACAGGAACACCATTGCAAAACAACCTGGATGAGTTGCAAAGTCTGATCAAATTCCTTCGGGTGAAGCCCTATGACGAGTTGGCTGCATGGAGAGATCAAATCAGCCGTCCTTTGAACAACGGCCGTGGAGGTCTCGCTATTCAGCGACTACAGGTGTATCTGAAGGCCTTTATGAAACGGCGCACCAAGGATGTTCTTAGACTGAACGACAAGCCTGGCGAAGAAGGACCGGACGGCAAGCCAAAGAAGTCCTCGAATGGATTCCACATCACCAAGCGTGAGGTCATTAAGGTGGATGCTGAATTCATGCCTGGCGAGTTGAACTTCTACAAGCGTCTCGAACAGCGGACGGATAATAGCCTTGAGAAAATGATGGGCGGTGCCAAGGTCGATTACGCTGGAGCTTTGGTTTTGCTCTTGCGTCTACGCCAGTCTTGTAACCACCCAGACTTGGTCAAGGGCGACCTGGCCAAGGACAAGGATATTCTTTTGCAGAATGGCAGTACGAACAGCCAGTCAACACAGCCAAAGCCGGATGACCTTGACAACATCGCCGATCTTTTCGGGGCGATGAGCGTTGTCGCGAAGAAATGCGATGTTTGCCAAACGGACCTGAGTCAAAACGAAATCAAGGCCGGTGGTAGTCGCTGCGGTGAATGTGAAGCCGACCTCAATACAGATGTTATGGGCACAGAAAAGAAGAAGAAAAAGAAGTCGAAGAGGAGCCACAAGAAGCTTGATACTCTGGACTCCCCATCAGCCCGCAAATCCGAGGCACAAATCGCTCGTTCTCGCAAAAATCGTCGAGTCATTCTTGATAGTGACGATGAAGATGAAGAAGAAGGAGATTGGGTTGTACCCGATGACCAGCGCAAGATTTCTAACCTCGGGAAAGCGGGTGGTTCCGACGATGAAAACGCCGAAGGAGGTGGAGAATGGCTCGTTTCGGACGAGGAGACTGATGATGAGATCGAATCACCCTCCAGAAGGAAGAGTAAACCCATTATCCTGAGTGATTCTGAGGATGAAAGCGATTCTGAAGCGGACGACATCTACAACGATGAAGGAGAAAACGGAGAGCTTCCGTCCACCAAGATCCGCCATCTTATGCGTATCCTCAATCGCGAGGCACCAGACTTCAAGTTCATCGTTTTCTCCGTCTTCACATCTATGCTTGACAAGATCGAGCCCTTCTTGAAGAGTGCCAATATTGGCTTCGCCCGCTACGATGGAGGAATGGCAAATAACCACCGCGAGGCCAGTCTCGAAAAGCTCCGAAACAACAGTGGCACTCGTGTATTGCTCTGCAGTTTGCGTGCCGGTGCATTAGGCCTCAATCTGACAGCCGCTAGTCGCGTGGTCATCTTGGAACCCTTCTGGAATCCCGTAAGTTGCAATTCTCTATAATCTATTGCGCATTGCGCTAACCTCAACCTAGTTTGTGGAGGAACAAGCCATCGATCGTGTCCACCGCCTGAATCAAACCATTGACGTGAAAATCTATAAGATGGTCATCAAGGGTACTGTGGAGGAACGCATTGTGGCCCTGCAGGACCGCAAGCGTGAACTGGCCAATGCTACTATTGAGGGCAAGACTGGCGCTGGCAAGCTCACTATGCGTGACATGATGGCGCTCTTCGGTCGTGATGCAGAATCACGATTCACGGACAACCAGAGCACCCTGGACTTCAACCAGCCTACTCGACTGCTGAATGCCGGGGATGAGACTGAGCCTGCTCCTTCCTCCTCTCAGGAGTCAACACAGTCTGGCCCACGCAGCCGGGGACACCAAGTCCAGCCTAACCGGCCGCGAAATGAAGACTCGGTTTATGGTCGCCGCTGGTAATCAGCATGGTACGAAATTATGAAATGACCTTGGAGATAACTTTTTGAGGAGTCGGATTGGCGTGAGGAAACGGGTTGGAGTATTTCTGCTAGGTTTATTTTATTTCTTGTTGGATATTATATTTTATTGCTTTATCCCGTATATCTTAAACGTCTCGCTACTATGTCAAAATATGCGCCCTTCACTCCCCATCATCGATCGGCCTGGCGTTTTTCCAGGCCAAAGAGTGGAGGAACCTTGGTCGTTCGATGACTGGCTTCACGCCTCCCATGTATCCGGAAACAATGCCCGCGAGTCAGATCCCCGCCCAATTTTAGATATGGCGATTTGACAATGGGGTCCGGCATTGTGGTCCGATTGGGATACCTACGATCCTGGATAATGACTGCTATCGCTATGGATGGCGGCCTTTTGGACTCTATCCCAACAGTGCGATAGGCTGCCCTCTATTTGACACTCATGCGCAGAGTAACTCGAGTTTCGTGAAATATTCTGACTTCATCTCCGAACTTGCTACGGCAGGACTGCAGCTAATTGAGAATCCAGTTGTCAAATCGAAGCCGTCTTGCGTGTCGCCATCCAACACGTTTGTCACACACTAGAACAGACGACTCATCTATTGTGGAGTCTGTGGAGTATCGCCCACCCGAGCTGAGCTGATTCTCGTTGGGCCGAAACAGGTACCTCCATTTTAGGTCCTACGGTTCTGGTCCGGAGTGGCCGAGTGTCGCCTTCCTACATAACGCTCTGACTTGATTGCTGGTAATGTTCTGAGATATTTGCTTGGATTACACTGGCAGCATGACCACGAACGCCAAATCTCTCGAGTCTGAGAGGCGGACGAGTCCAGCGCAGAAGATTGCACTCCTTGGATAGTTTGGATACCTTGAAGCCAGGGCCATCCATTGGGCCAGACCATTTCCCGAAGCTCATACCATGGATCTGAGATTCTGGTCCAAAGGATTGCAAGTGATGGTCTGATGGTAGTCTCCGGCGAACCGGACAAAGGAACCGAGGACATGCCCCCAGGGAGGAAGCTTGTTTTTGGTGGCTCATGCTTTGATAGGTTGATAGCTCACAGGAGAAGGCATGAGCTGGGGAAGAAGCCCCTCGGTAACCCCGGTTGAAACACGAGTTTGGTGGAGATCTTTCAATCTCTCAACTGTATACCCTTGAATCTCGTTCGATTTTCTTCGTACACTCCGTGTGTTGCCCATATCACCCGTGACACACGATGACTTCGATGTCGCCAGTCATTACTTAAGAGTGTGAATAAACCGCTAGCTTTCGGTGGGTTGCTCCCTGTCAAAGTCGATGTCTAGGTTAGAGTTAATGCCGTGGCTCTTCTTAGTTCTAACCACTCAACTGTTCTTTCCATCGAGGATTGAAGACTGAGATATGTCTTCCCCGTCCGACATTAAAGATAACGGCGACTGGACGGTCATTTACGATGACCAGAATGAGGAAGAGAAAAACAGCAGGAAAGAGGAAAAGCCTTCTAGGAGGAGGCAGTCTCTAGCAATACCTAAGACCATGTGTATCATGTCTGACAACAAAACTGAGATATCAACGGTAGCGGAGCTGCTCTCTCCGAAGTTGAAATTACCTCAGCTGGGCATTGACTCGGCGGAAAGAGTGTTTCCTGTTCGCTCGGTCGTCTCCATTGATTCCACGCCCTCGTCTGCCCTGCAGACACCTTCCCTCGATAAGCTCGAAACACCGATATCTCCTTTTTCGGACACAAGGAGTGCAGGGTCCACCAATGAACAAGCGGGCTCGCTGCACAAGAATACGCCCGGGAAGGGTATGAATGCGGAGGAGGGTGTCTCACGGGGATCCGACTATCCCACTCGACTACACCAAAAGAGTGATGGTGGGAGCGAGACTTCATCGACTCTCAAAGGACAATCATACACTAGCCATAATCCCAACATTTTGGCACAATTGACAAGCACTTTGCAAAACGGTGGCGAGGTGCTTGACTTCCACAAAAAAACAAAAGGGATATACTATTCGCATGAAGATGAAGAGGACATTTTCATTCAGTCATTCGGTGCACTCGTTGTGATGACTGAGTCCGACGGTAACTTTGAAGTGCAAATAGCGAGCGACAACTCCAAGGAGATTATTGGGCATTCTCCTGATGAACTCTTCGAGCTTCAAACATTTTGTGATATATTGCCATTCTCGCAACGGAGAAACTTTCTTGCTCATGCTGAATTCGTCTCGAGCGATGACTACTCGGTCGAGCAATCAGGCCCTGAGGTTTTTTCTCTTTCTCTGTTATCATCCGACGGATATACCCAAGGTACTTGGTGTACCATGCATACGAGCGCAGTATATAAAAACTATGTCATTTGCGAGATTCAGCCCGATGCTCAAGGGACAAAGGATCGCCCTCATTTGGAGAATTCAGAAAGTCAAACAACAACGTCTGAAAGCCAGGCATTAGATATGACTTCTGGAGCATTTTTCGAGGCTCTAAGTCCTCCGGGAAAGGGTCCTGATACCAGAAATAGCAAAATTCCGGACTCGTCAGAGCTTCTCAATACCAAACCCCGGATTCTCCAGCGCCTTGCAAATGCCCAAACACTCGAAGCTCTTCTTCAACATACCATCACCACTTTGCAAAATCTTGTCGGGTTTGACAGAACGACCATATATCACTTTTATAGTGATCGCAACGGGACCGTGGTCGCCGATGCGGTTGATCCTTCGTCCGGTCTAACTTCGTACGAAGGCATGCATTTCCCGGAATCAACCTTCCGCGAAGGATTGAAGAAACTATATACGCGCAATACTGTATGCTCCTCTTGTTCTGGAAGGCAGGGCACTTCTAAGCTTGTCTATCGGGCTTCCACCAACAAAATGCCCCTCGACATGTCAAAGACCTATCTCTCTGCAGCGCCGGCGTCCTCAACGCCGCAAACCGACAACCCCGTCCAGGCCTGTTTGTCAATCCAAATCAATGTTTTTGGCAAGCTTTGGGGTCTCATATCATGTCAGTCCTACAACAGTAGCCAAAGCCTCCATCCGCTCATCCAGAAAGTTTGTTGGTTTGTTGCCGGGGCGGTTTCAAGTAATATTGAGCGTCTGTCCTACAGTTTACCCTATCAATTCCAAGAGCCGGACATCCCCCTAAATAAAGTGAGCACATCTCAGGCTATCAAGACTCCACCCGGTGATCTTCTCAGTCTGTTTGGGGCAGATTACGCCGCAGCGTCCATTATGGGCGATGCCAAGATCTTGGGAAAACCAACCGATTCACAGGAAGTTCTGGCGTTGCTCGAATACATGAAAGCTAAAGAGAACGACACTGTGTTTTGGTCCGGAGATATAGCTGCTGATGTTCAGGATCTCAACTACGCACCTGGCTTCCATCATCTTTCTGGTTTGCTTTACGTTCCTCTTTCAGTGGATGGTCGCGATTTTATTATCTTCTTCCGGGCTGATCTAGAAAGCCATAACCTCACATCTGATTCAGAAAGGTCGAGTCGACAACATGAGTGGTCGTCCACAGAGTTTGGAAAGGCGTCTGTTCTGTCCTTGCTATATCGCACTTTCACCGATATATGGCAAGAGAAGGAGGCTACGCTACAGAACAACCAGTTGATGAGGCTTTTACTGGCTAATACTGCGCACGAGTTCAGAACACCTCTCAACGCCATCATCAACTATCTGGAGATTGTTCTCGATGGACCTCTAGATCAAGAAACACGAGATCACATTTCGAGATCTCACTCGGCCTCCAAGTCCTTGGTATATATCATCAATGACCTTCTGGACCTCACAAATGCCGAAAACGGACAAAGATTGATAAAGGATGAGGTATTCGATCTCTCAGAGACCCTCACCGAAGCAACGGACATTTTCTGGGAAGAAGCACGACAGAAGCATGTCGACCTCCAGGTGGTCCAACACGCAGCCCTACCTCCCGTGCTCGGAGACCAACGACGGGTACGCCAGGTGATAACAAACTTGATCAGCAATGCTATACAGCACACATCCGCAGGTGCAGTGACAATCGAGTCTTGTATCGTACCGGAGCTGCTGGAGCTAGATCATATCTGTGTTGAAGTGGCAATACACGATACTGGGTCTGGCATGTCCCAAGAGACTGTCGAAACCTTGTTCTGCGAGCTGGAACAAGTCTCCAACAAGGGATATATGCAGAGTCCTAAGTCCTATGAGCGCACTCCAGGTGACGATACCACTGAAACTGAAAGTGTGCTTGGTCTGGGCCTCGCATTGGTCGCCCGAATCGTGCGCAATATGAACGGGCAGCTAAGCTTGAAGTCCGAACAAGGCAAGGGAAGTTGCTTCAAGATCAGGCTTGCGTTTCCTCTTCCGGATGAAGATAGTGGCCAAAAGCAGAACACATGTGCCACGTCAAACGACCATCTGCAGGAAGATGAAAGAAATCAAGAGACAAAGCAAGACACCATATCCTCAAATTGCGTAACAAACAAGCGAAAAGGGGGTATTCCATGTGAATGTGGTCAAAGTCCAGAACTGGGATTAGAGCAATCCCTCGTGAACATCGATGTAAGCTTGAAAACCGGCGAATCAAGAAACATCTCCCTTTCTGGCCAGCATCTCGAACAGAGCAACGAGCCAGATAAGCAGACCACTATCCTTCCAAAGCAAGATTCTAGGCAACCATCAGGAGCATCCAAATCTCCCATCCAAGAACCCCTACCGATCTCACCACCCACAGAATCCCCAACCAACCAGAGCGTCTCTCCCACGATGGACTGGAACCTCCACGTCCTCGTTGCGGAAGACGACCCAATCAACAGCACGATCGTCCAAAAGCGCCTCGAGAAATTTGGCCACACAGTGCACATGACAAGCAATGGCAAAGAATGCGCGTCTGCCTACAAAGCGGATTCGACGCGATTCGATGCAGTGCTGATGGATCTACAAGTACGCCCAACCAACAATGTAGCAATCCCCATCTCAACCCAACATACTAACAGTCAAATTTCCTGCAGATGCCTATCGTCGATGGCCTCGGTGCAACGCAGATGATTCGCGAGTTCGAGCAGCAAGAGCTGGCTAATGAGAACACGCCAGCGCCTCGCATTCCCATTTTTGCTGTCTCGGCTTCCCTGCTCGAGGAGAATCGAAAGATGTATATGGATTCGGGCTTTGACGGGTGGGTTATGAAGCCGATTGATTTCCACAGGGTCGATCGGTTACTTGGGGGTGTTAGGCTTCAGTGGGTCCGGGAGGAAGTTGTTTACCAGCCTGGCGTGTGGGAGGCTGGAGGGTGGTTTGAAGCATAGGTACTAGCATGGCATTGCATCGGAGCTGGGATTGAAATTATTTCGACTCGAAGAAACTGCTGGAACGAGGGAAGATATCCAATATCCAGAACCGGGAATTGGAGTCATATGCAACAAATCTAATCTTTATCCATGGTATCTATGCAAACATCAAAATGAAACGCAAAATGCAACAAAATGTAAACAAATGCAGTAAAATCATATCAGAAACTTTCCGCTGCACCGTCAAAGTCCGGTACTGTATCGCCGCATTTGAACGAAGGACTATATGCCTTGCTCGGCATATATCCGTTCTTCCACGCAGTGCGATAACTCCACTGCGCGGCTGACTCCGTCCGCCAGGTCCAGTAGAACCATCCCATTGCCGTTTCGAAGGCAGACATCTGTGCCTCGGCATATATCTGCAGGAACCTCTTGTATGTATCCGTATACTTGGATGGATCCATATTCGCATCTGCGCAGCTGCACGTTCCTTCGTCCGCTGTTGGGCAATATGCCGTGTTGGAATTGGTATCGTAGGTCCCTTCCCATCGGGTACCGCGGCCGACGTTGTTCACATACTGCGCGCAGTCTGTATCTGCCTGCGACCATTCACCGCAAATGGTCGGACCCCATCTAGTAATGTGTTAGCGTATGAAAATAGAAAGAAAAGAAGCTTTATTTACCCAGAAGTTGTCGTGTTGATTTCCTTCAGCATGGGATGCCAATTATTGCAGATGATGTCGACCTTCGCGGTGTGGTTCAAGACGATCTCGCCCGTGTTGAAGGTGGTGTATTGATGGGTGTCGAGGTACATGTTGTCCGGGTGTGTTTGGAACATGTTGTCCCACTTGGCGAGATTCAGGAACCCGTCGTGAAGGACAAGAGTGGCAGTGACACCATTCTTGCGGACGAGTTCCGCTGCCTCCTGGGTCCAATCTAGGACCTTCTCGACGGGCAGGGTCAGCATCAGTGGCTCGTTTACCAGGCCGTAGATTGTCACCACATTCTTATACCGATCTTGCGCAAAGAACTGCGAGAGTTGGTCGTGAATCTCAAGTGATCGCTTACGGTTGAGGGCACCGTCTGAGCCGGTCAACCAGTTGATGCTGCCTTGCTGGCCACTGTGGTTCCAACCGTTTTGACTACCCGGGAGTCCGTGGAGGTCGAGTTTGACCCGCAGCCCGTGCTTGCGGCACCACTCGATTGCGCGCAGGAGATAACGCCACGCAATCTTAGGGACGTATGGGTCGCCGTCGTAGGTAGTCACGGCCCAGTAGGAGTATGGGATGCGGACGTGATCTAGTCCGGCTTCCTTGATCTCTTCTATATCTGACTCTGAGACGAATTCGGCATAATGTTTCTCAATGGTGCGCGCCGCAGAGCTTCCGAGCTTTTTAGTCAAGGTATACTCATCAATGATACTAGCACTGGATGGCCACTCGCTGAACAAGGACGGGGTAATGAAGGGTTCGATAGACAGCCACCCGCCTAGATTGACTCCGCGGATCGGCTGTGTGCCGTAAGGGAACGGCTTGTTAAGCGGAGGCACTTTGTCGTTCGCCCGGGCAGAGTCATCCCAATCCGAGTTGATTCCCATGACGGAAAGACCACCCACAGTGTCATTTGTGAACGTGAGGTTGAACCCTTTGGTCTCATACCACGTAAATGGGTCCAAGACGGTGCCTTTGGCGTAACTCTGAAGCGCTGGTGTTAGCAAATTCCATCGAGGTTCATACTGAAGCCTTACCGGTATGCTGTCGCGGCTGATACTGCCCAAATTAGAGGTGGTAGAACTCTCATCGGAGCCCGAGGAACTCTCTTTTGAATCTGAGCCTTGCTTTTTTGACACAACAATTGCAACCGGGATGATGATAGCAAGCAAGAGAAGCAACACCAGTAGACATCCGACCAAGATACGTTTCTTTCTCGACCAATTGGACCAAAATTTCCAAGCCGGTGGTCCTCCACGGCTGTCCAAGCTGCCTTCCCAGCTGTCTTCGTCTTTCCAATGATCTTCCATAGCAGGTCCACCACCGCCACGACGACGAACCCGAGCGTCAGAACTATGCCCTTCTTCCAAATACGCACCCGACACAACTCGCGCGCCCGCTTTATGGCGTGAGCGGCCCTGTGCAACTTCCGCACCAAGTCCCGCACCAGCAGCACCATCCAGAGCAGCTCGCTTCTTCTGCCGCCGACGTTCCCGACGCGCCTCCTCTTCTGCGCGAGACCGCTCCATGCGATCCGCATCCTCCTGCTCAGCAGCGAGACGCGCCATAGCATCCACACTCAAGAGATGCGCAGCACTACTCGAAGACTCCGTGCTGCGATGTTTTCTCGCCGACGCCGCAGCAGCAGCAGCATCGATATCCCGCTCGCGCTCCCTTTCTCTTTCACGCTCGCGCTCACGTCGCCTCCGTCTCCGCGCCTCAGCCTCAGCATCAACATCAATATCCCTCCGTCTCTCTCTGACAGGACTCGCACTCGCACTCTCCTCCCTGCGATACCGCCTCTCTCGATCCCGTCGTTTAGTAGGTGACGTAGCCGGCGAATCCTTCACCCTAGAACTCCCCCCTCTCTATCCCTTCTCCTTCCCCTCCCCAGACCCATAAACAAGACCAGCCGCTTCATCCTCTTCCTCCCTCCGTCTGCGTCTCCGCTCCTTGCGCCGCTCACGCTCCTCGTCGTAATCATCGCGCTCGTTATACGAATTCGACTCGTACCCTGATTCCCCGCGGAAACGGTATTTCGCCGTGCGCGCGTTGCCAGGGCTGGACGTTGCGCCTTCGTCGGGGTCTTCGTAGCGGCCGCGGATGTACTCGCGCTCCCGGTCGCGGTCGCGGTCTCGACGGCGGGAGCGCTCTTGCTCGCGTGCGCGGTCGCGGTCGCGCTCCCGATCCCGGTCCCGTCTGTCGGGTCGGTCTCGGGGATGGGATTGGCTTGGCATGCCAGATCGGGGTGGGGGGTTTTGGTGTGGTATGCGCTGATCGGTGGGATGGGGAATGTGGAATTGGTGTTGGGGATGATTGTTTGGATTTTGTTAGGCGGGAAGGGGATGGGGAATTGGATGGAATGTGTCGAGGTTGGGATTGACACGTGGGATGTTTCGAGGAAGTCCAGCCTGTCTTGGAATTCTTGGAAGTCTTGGAAGTTCTCGATTTGGTTTTCACCTGGTCTTTGTTTTGCCTTTTCCCCACACGGATGCCAAGACTTTGTATAAATAAAATGTCTTTGTGTCAAAAGGGGTTTTGTTCCCTATAAAGGTCTTTATATATCATATACACTGTACTCCTTATAGATTTTTCTGTTCATAGTGTATACCCACTTTGTATGATATAGGCAGTAGATATGAATGGTTGCGAGGAAACGAATATCCAAGTCCATATACACACTTTTGATCAAGAACATCACATAATGCTTGACGGCATCCTTTCTAGAAGAAGCAGACTAGAAATCCCGCTTCAACTGATCCAACGGTGGAAGAATACCTTTACTTTCCAGAGTTTTGAACGTATCTTCCAACTCATCCCAAGTATCTGCATACCCAGTCCAGCCCAATTTCCGTGCCTTACTCATACTCCCAACACAACTCCAGTCTCTACCCATTGCCATAATCAAGAAGTCCCATGTGGCCTTATCCCATGCATCTTGATCAAGATTGTACTTGTCTCGAAGCTGAGCCCATGCCTTGTTGACATCCTCTCGTTTGGCCCATTTCTCCGGGTCAATCTGCAGGAAAAGCGTGGGAGACTCCTCAGCGGACGGGTCTCTAGAGAGACCTAGTGACGAGGCTAATGCCTTGAGAGGAGGCTTGTTTGAAAATCGAACTGTGGATGACTCATAGTTCTTGAACCCCTTAGTATCCGGGGTACCACCGTTGGGGAACATGGGATCAGGAACGCGACATCCGAACCGAGCGGCCAGACGCGGCCAGAGGTTCTGGAAAGACTCAGTGTCACCATTGATCACATTAAAGATCTGGTTCCCGGCACCCGGCGCGACAGCCGCCCAGAGACAGAACTTGGCATGTAGGTTCGCCGACGTCCAGCAATTGAAAGCGAAGTAGTTGGCCCTGCTACCGAGGAATGGCAGCTCCGATCCAGGAAGGGCTTTACTGACAGCACAGTAAAGTCCCAGGGCCGTTGCTTCGTTCATAAAATTGCCTCGGGCGTATCCTAGAACGTCTTGTGGGAGTGTAGCAACCCATTCCCAGCCGCCTTTCTTAGCTGCCTTGGCCACGACCTGTTGTTGGGGGTAGTAGAAGATTGGAGGCCAGGAAGCCCCGCCTACGTCGTTCTGTAGAAGAGGGTCGTCTTCGAGTACAGGCTGTTTCCCGGGTCCGATGTGGACACCGTACTGCTTGAATCCGCAGGTGAGAACGAACCGCTTGATTTTGCGCGCAGCGCCGTTGAGCTCGAGTGCCTCGAGAAAATTGGAAAGCAAGGCTACATTTATTCGCGACAACTCGGCTTGGTCGTCGGTGGCCAAGTAGGCACAGAAAAAGACATACTCGGCGGAAACGCCTTGGAAGGCCTTTGCCATGTCTTGCGCCGAGCTTTGGAGGTCCAGAGTGACATGCTGGATTCTTGGATCTTCATATCCTGGGTTCCTTCGAGAGAAGGAGTAGATCTTGTCGTAAGTTCCATCTTTGAGGAGGTGGTGCACGATCGCACTCCCGGTGATTCCTTGCTGATGTTAGCTTCATGGGTTATGGGAATTTCCAGGACAGAGCTTACCAGTAGCACCAGTGACGATAGCTGAAGGCATGACGAATTCAATATTCTGTATCGTTAGAGAACCGGTTTTATCGATCTTAACTATATATGTTTCTTTCGGGGTTTGTTCAGGACTTGCAGGATGTCAACGACGTCATATCCTCCTTAACCTTTGTTGTCATGGTCGATCAGGTAATCCCCAACATTCCTCTACAGGAAATCTCAATTCGTCAGTTCAAATGTCTCCGAGAGCTGTGATCGAACGGGAAATCCTGTTTCCAACTTAGCTGTAGGGCGTAAGGTGTGAGTTCCGAGTCCCACATCAATTCCCGACTCGGGATATGTGCCAAATATGTGATGTCGGGAATTTCTTGTTTGGATATTCATCCAAAGAAACTCTTTATGTTTTAATTTACCTCAATTCCACTCCAAACAATAGCTATGTTGAATGCTTAAATACTGGCTGTGTTACTCATATTCCTAGATTAACTCCAATACGGTACTGTTTCTTTATAATATCCTCGTGAGTGCCGTCCCCTAAACCCTAAGGTACTCACCGTCGTAGTCTACAGGAACAATACCTCGCCGCCATTAAGGCCGGCCTGAAGGTAAGTCTAGAGACAATCAACAATCTCGTCAAACAAATCCCACCCGTCAAGCCTGACCAGTTACTTATGATTGGAATGTAGGGTTCTTTGACACGGGACACCCAGTTGCCACTCAACCAAACGAGATCAAATGGATTGGGAAGTTATTTAAGGCCTGAAAGATATCGATTCTGTGATTAACGATCAGAATGGGAAACGAGTTATCTGGGGGCAATGAGGGTTTGCTAGTGTGAGTCCTTGTTCTTTTCCTTTCCGCGGAAAGCTTTTGTTTTGTCGATAGCAGTCAAAGCTGATTGAGGTCGTATAGCTGCGCGAGATGGTGTATGAAGTAACGGTGTTCGCCGCGATCATTTACGATGACCGACCAAATTTTCGACCACTTCCGTTATGTTATTGATAATTTGTTGGCGGGTGTTATGGAGCGCAAAGGGCTAGGTCATATAGGCCCATTTTACTTTTATCTGAAGAGATAGACCATTCCTTTGAAATATAGACTCAGTACAATCGGTAGTTCTCAATGAGGGATAAGCTAACACTTAGGCTATGACTCTCCAGTGTCAGTAAAGGGAACTGTTATATACTTGGCTTTAGGAGTTAACTTAGTATAATAGTTCAACCACTCAGTTTGTACATGCCCTGCACGCCGGTAAAGAAGAACATATACATAGTGAGGCTTAAGTCACGCATCCTGGTTATAGTTTCGAGCCTCAAATATCTCAGCCCAAAAGTTCGCGTCATTTTCCCCTCCATCTTTTCCTCCTCCTCAATCCTCAAAATCTGATGCACGATCATTCATCCAGAAGTCCTCATAGGTTCGATATATGTTCTTGGCATGTGGATGGTTACGATAGTACGACTCATGGTTTATCTCACAAACACCATCCCTATCCCCTTTGTGGCTGGCGCAGTAAGGCCGATTGCATAAAACGCATAGCTGGTTTGGAAGGGCGTCTCGAAGCCATGGTTTCTTTTCTCGCATCCTATTATGGACGTGGCATGGTCCCAACTCTAGCATCTCCGCTCTACAGGTTTATTAACATACATAATCAAAATGAAGGAGGGCGTGAGGTGGACAAACAGACCGTTATATAATGCTTGGTGAAAGTCGTGTTGACGGGGTTCAGGAGGTAGGGTGCTAGGAGAGCAAGTAGTGGAAATGGACAAAAAGGATGCGAACGGGGTCAGTTAGGCTTAATAACTAAATGATGCGGTCGCATTACTCGTAGCATTTTGAAGTTGCTCGATTGGCTAAATTTAGATTGGGCATCATTGCAGGTACTTGAAATGAGCCGATTCTCGGCGCACCTGCAGATGTTGGGGTTCTGGCCATCCGCAGGCTATGGATGCGAGTTTGCACATGTCAAAAGGTTCCTTGGATAAGTCGGGTCGAAGGCCGATTGCAGTCCCCGTCAATGAAAGAAAAAAAGCTTGTCAAAACAGACAAATACTATGTTGTATAGCATAGATCGAAATCAGTTCCACCACTTACACACTGGGATCCTTTCTTGAATCCTATGATGGAACGCTATTTGATATATGGCGTCAAATGCGGATACACTCGATGCCACCACAATCTCTGCCCCATGTGGTGCGTGCCGACACTCTTGCGCCATGATAATAGCACATATCCAATATTCTCACTTCATTGCGCAGTGAGGAAATCAAAAACAAAGTAATACTTGACGCTCGAACTCATAGCAGACATTGGCCTTTCAACGTGCAACATGCGAGTATCTACATTTGAGCCCAGAATCGCTTTCCCTGTCAATAATAGAGAGAATCTCCTTCACCTCATAGGCGCACGCTACTGGAAAGTCAGCCATTTTGTACCTTACCACTAAGAGTACTATCGCTGTTCTCTAAACTAGACATTTACAACGTGCCAAAGTTAGAAACGCAAATATAATAGGTGCTATAGAGAGTAACTTTCAGCTGGTAGAGTGTCAAAGCCTTTCTGCATTTTGCAGTTGCTTTACTACATATCTTGACACTTTGGTATTATATTTCTTTCTGAGAAAAATGGCCTATGTTTTGATTGTGGGTGAATGTGGGCCCTATCTTGCTAAACATTAAATGGGCCTATAGAAAATATTATAATCTACCTCAAGAGTATTAGTCGAAAGTAGTCTAAAGTCTACTTATACCTCTATCCGCACCACAAGCAATCTTAAAATGCTCTTTAGCACCAGTTTAGTCCCTTAGACGTGAGAAACATTTTATTACGAGCTAGGTCTACAAGCAAGCGAGAGCGAGCAAGGGAGTATTTTATTCAAGATACTAAAGACGGGGAAGAAAGAGAAGCAAGACCTGGCGAGCTCCGGACAAAGCTAATCGAACTAAGGTCAATGCAAACCCCACCCTATCGCTTAGGGAGGCAAACAAAGAAAGCAAACTCTAGACATTTTATCGACCTGGCATGTGACATCAGATCGTGACACGTTTGATATTCTTGATGCTACATGCTACTAGAGAGACGGAGGAGGAAGAAACTCTTGCTATGCAAACTAGCAAAGCAGGGCCTTTATAAAGGCCTGCACTAACAAAGGACAAGCAAACTGAAAGGGCTCAGTCTGCATGACATAAAGAATCATCCCACCTAGGGGGGATCCCCCAACAGATATAACTCCTCTATGAAATAGAGAGGCTGTCTACTTGTCGGTAGTGTATTACTTCAATGTTATTAAAAGGTGGCAATGAAGAGGTTCGGAATAACTGGGTAATAGACCACTCTGTAGCGATCAATGTTACTATGAAGCAGCAATTATATGTATCGTAGTTGACAATCCAATTATATTTACAGGCGTTTACCCACCTCTTTCCTGCCTATCTTCCTATTAAGCTCTTCACCAATACGATAAATTTTCATCGGCATACTAACCACTCTGAGCGTGGACCAAGCTACCTAACTAGTGGTAATTACTTGCTCCAAGTGGGAGAGGCCCTAACCGCCTGGTAGGATGACGCTTTGCAATTTTTGCCTTTCCTGGGGACCTTCCACTACCTAGGTAGCGGCTGATTGCTAGGAGGTAGTAAGTTGACTTCACCTGACAACCTGACGAGGTTTGCACCAAAAGCTAACAACAGATCTGATCGGCAAATGTGACGCTTTAGGGGGGAAAGAAAAGAAACGACTTCAGCATTACGAGACTTGGCTCTGCCCAGGTGTTGGTGTGTTCCACCTTACATATGACCGTGTGTGGGGACGTAGTAAAACCAGTTGAAGCCTGGCCATTCTACTCCGTATGTAAAAAGCAAATACAAGATGAGCTCGTATAATCAGGAGACGTCACAAAATTTCTGGTGTGCTATCCCATTTTTTATAGAAAATCTTACCGGATCCAGTATGCGGGATTTTTCTGCGCCTCTCATTCATGGAGGGATCATGAGAGGAGATCTAAGCCTAACCTCACGTAGCCGAATTCGTAGATTTTCTTGAGGAATGAAGGATGGGCTCATTCACATTAATGTCTGGTTTACTAAAGATTATCGTTTTCTCTCTAATCTACATAACATTTTTGACATGACTGAGGCAACTCTCAAAATCTTAGATCTCAATGTGGAACATTTTCTATGTTCAAAGTTGCCTTTCAAAGGTCTAGTTTTGACATTCTAAAACCAAGTAAAACGAGATGCGAAACGAGCAGTGTCTCCCTATACAAATGAAACAAAGTGCTTTAGAGAGGTGTAACCCTAGGATAGGCAAGTCCATGCAGTTCACTACCAGACAATACTATAAGAGCGACTCTGTGGCCAATGGTATCACCAAAATCGTAAAATCTAGAATCCAAGCATCTGATTTGTCTGTAGCTAAATTTTCTTTTTCATGCTCAGCCTCGATGTCGACGAGCGCGCTAAGTACGGATGTTGGAGCTGACAAGCCGCAAGCAGCCAAGAGCCCAACTTGATTTGCCTAGTAAATGCCTCACGCAAAATTCTTTATCGCACTGGTTCATCTTGTACGCGATAATTTTTGAAATTACCGATAAGCTACGACTATATAATGGAATTCTGCAGGCCCCTTTGAATCCAGTGAAACATTCCTGCGAGTTTTGTGCCATGTGGAAGCCACCGATAGACTTTCTCGCCCTGCATTGTACGTCTGCATCTATATATCCCTGCCCCTTCTAATTTTTTTCTAATTTTTCTTGCAGACGCATGGATTATTACTCTCAGCGTGCTAAGCTTGGTTATCATTTATCCTTATGGTAATCTGAAAGCCGTCGATGCTTATTTCTTCGGAGCCAGCGCATCGACTGAGTCGGGCCTGAATACGTGAGTATTTTATTCATTGTTCTCTTCGATCTCGATCGGCTAAACAAAGTCTTTCCATGTCTAGTGTCGACGTCAAATCTTTGAAGACCTACCAGCAGCTATACATATATTTCATTCCAATTTTGGGGAATCTGGGGTTTATCAACATCATCGTCATTGTATTTCGAGTCCGATGGTTTGAAAAGCGCTTTAAAGAAGTCGGTGAGAAGCCTTCGCCCTTCTGCTCAACACTTATATAGAGAACTAACTTGTCTCTCCGCCTATAGCACCGCATCTTTTGAGGCCACAGGCTCCCGAACAAGACGCAGAGGCGCACTTGAAGCACAAAGGGAGTTTAAGTAGCAACAATGATGAAACACCAAACGAGGGATTGAGCAGCCACGAAATAGACAACTCGGATAAGGAAAGAGCGCGTGTTGAGACTCAGGCCAAGTCTTCCAGGTTGGTTCCAATGCATGACAAGGTAGTCAAGTGGAATGGGTACTAACTCATACACTAGCGTTTCCCTGGAATCGAAGGATGCAAAAACCGATGAGACACCCGTTCCGAATACTAATCCGAAACAAACCATCACATTTGCTGAAGACAATCGGCCGGTTTCCGACAAGGACAAAGCTCTGTATATTCCGCCACCGTGGAGACGTGAAAGAGGTATATGAAAATCACTCTCATATTTCCCTCCGTATTCTCACGAATACTCTATAGGGGCCTCGTTTGATGAGATTGACGCAAGTCTTAATGATGAAGATGAGGGTAAGTCGATAAGATGGCACATAAACGTAACTGCAAGTTAATCACTATGAAAGGACCGTCCGAGAAAGTCCTTACTCGTCGGCAGACAACCAGAAGCATACAGTCACGTTCACGTACGCTGACCCTTGAGCGAGTTATAAGCTCAGCTCGCTCAGTGTTCGTTTTGGAAGGCTCTTCTAGTACTGAGCGAGCGATGCCAGCAACAACGCCGAGGGAAATGAAACAGCTCGATCTGCCGAATATGTCTTCGCAAGCTACGATAGGCCGGAACTCCCAGTTCTACAACCTGTCTGACGAAGACCGGGAAGCGCTCGGCGGTATCGAGTATCGAAGCTTGAAGCTTTTGTTAAAAATTGTCGTGGGATACTTCTTTGGTCTGCATCTCTTCGGTGCAGTCTGTCTTGTGGGGTGGATTCTGCACGCGGATCCGAAATATCGTGATTATCTCGCTGAATGTGGGCAAGGCAATGTTTGGTGGTAAGTTGTCTCCATCAAATGTAACCAACTACTATACAGTGACTTACCGCACAGCAGGGGCTTTTACTCCGCCCAGACGATGGTCGACAATCTTGGCTTTACTCTGACACCAGACTCGATGATCTCGTTTCAAGATGCAACCTTCCCAATGATCCTCATGAGTTTCCTTGCATTTGCCGGGAACACTTGTTATCCATGCCTTCTTCGACTCGTTATCTGGATCTTCTACAAAGTTTGCCCGGAGAAATCCTCTCTCAAAGACCCGCTCAGATTCCTACTCGATCATCCACGACGGTGTTATACACTGCTTTTCCCAAGCGGGCCAACCTGGATTCTCTTCGGAATCCTATTCGTGATGAACTCGATCGATGTTCTCCTCATCATTGTGCTGGACTTGAACAATCCCGCCGTGAACAACCTCGCCCCCGGTCCTCGAGTTCTCGCTGCTATTTTCCAAGCCGCATCGGCGCGTCATACGGGTACAGCGACTTTCAATTTGGCCGATGTGAGCCCAGCCGTCCAATTCAGCTTGGTGGTCATGATGTATATTGCGATTTTTCCGATTGCGATAAGCATCAGAGCGTCCAATGTTTATGAAGAGAGGACGCTGGGTGTATATGGTACTGAGGGTCACATGGACGAGCACGACGGCCGGTCTTACATTATGAACCATATTCAGAACCAACTGACCTTTGACCTGTGGTACATTTTCCTCGGCTGCTTTTGCATCTGCGTTGCCGAGGCTGGTAAGATTGCAGATACGTCAATTCCTGTAAGTGGTCGATATCCAATGTTGCGAGAATAAATTTCTAACGATTCCAGGCCTTCTCTGTGTTCTCTGTGTTATTCGAAGTTGTCTCAGCCTAGTGAGTTATTCATGTGCTATTTACATGTTTATGTTGACTAATTTCAAAAAAGTGGCAATGTCGGGCTTAGTCTTGGGTATCCCACTGTTTCGACGTCCTTATCTGGACAGTTTACCGTTTTCAGCAAGCTGGTTGTTTGTGCTGTGATGATCCGAGGCCGTCATCGTGGATTGCCTTACAAGCTCGACCGTGCCATTGTTCTTCCAAGCGAACGCCCAGAAGAAGATCATCGAGATCGGGATGGGGTCCAAACTAAGGTTGACTGAAGGAAGGCTTATGAGACTTGCTTGCAAATTTCTGTATGACAATGCTGTGCTATTAGAACGCTGCTATAGTAGGAATACTAGATAGTAGGAACTCACTGAAGAATAGCCTTCTGCAAAATAGTGGGCAGCGATCATATACAACCCCGGAACGCACATGATCCCAAACAATTACATTTAATAAACACTGTTAGAGGGGGCATGAGGTTTATGAACAATGAACGGCTACTTAGGAGTCGTTGGAATGACGAGCTCGTCATAATAGTGTTACTCTCATGTCGAGGATGTGCATCTGATTTATAATTTCTTCGCTCTGCTAGGTTAACAAGTTGTCTTAACCCATCAGTGATAGGAACCTATCTCTCATCCTAATCCAAAACCGTACATATACCGTGCCTAGGGTCAAACCCCCAGCCCAGTGAGACAGTTGACAAGTCTAGGCTAGGCTAACCGTTGCAGCCCAGCCCTAAGCAGCATTGATCTCAGCAACATGGTCGGTCACCACACAGGTCCAGTCATCAGTGCCGTAGTAGACTGTGTACCTGTCGTTGTGGGTTTGTCCTCCGCTAAGAGTATCGCCAAACTGCCAGAACAAATCGGCAGCCATTCCAGTCGCGGCCAGAGCAGTGTCCTGCCACGCCAACTCGTCGGTGCAGTGAGCGTCCTTCATTCCATATTCCTCAAACAGACATGGCTTGCCAAGGGATTCACAGATCGCGGCGTGGTCTTGAACCCATGTGTTTCCCCAGGAGTTGTTAGTCACGCCCCCTGTTATTTATTCGTGGTTAGTACGAGATACGAACAAGGGACAAGATATGCAAACGTACAGTCGGTAGTGTAGAGGTGCAAGGTGCCAAAGTCGACGTCGGGAATGGCGAGATTCAGGGCAAAGTCAGTGCCTTCGACGTTGGTATAGGGGTAATCAGTGCTTCCCTCAAGACCCATACCCTCTAGAATATGAATTAGCTGACTGATCCCCGGATTGAATAATATCCGAAAGTGGGCTTGAGGATTTACTTACCATCTCCAATAGTCACAAGGTGGTTAGGATCGAGAGACTTAATAAAGGCACTCGTATCAGTCGCCCACTTGTTGATGACGGAAGTATCGCACGATGCACAGCGCGGCTCGTTCGCCAGCTCCCAGGCGAAAATACTAGGCGAATCCGCGTATCGGGAGACCACTGCCTTGATGTAGGCCTGGTACGCGCCCTGCATATCAGCATCGGTGTACCAGCTGATCTTGTCGCCGCCATAGGCTTTGGCGTAGGCGTTCATGCCGCCATAGTCATCCCAGTTGTTCACGAAGGGGATAATCAACTTAATTCCCTCCTTCTCTGCTGCCGAAACAACATAATCCAGACGCTGAAGGCCGTCCTTTCCGGTGTTGATGGTTGAAACGCCGTTCTCGTGGAGCTGGAAGTAAACTGTCCCTTCTCCGGGGACGGTGTTCACATCGTTGAAACCCCAAGTACGGAGGATCTTGAGGCCTGACTCCGCGAAATGGCCCATCGCAAGATCGACATCGGCGTCGTTGGTAAGGAAGGGGAGCCAGTACGCGTTTGATCCAGCAAAGTAACCGGTCTTCCCATCAATGACAAAGTTCAGCCCGTCGACCGAAGGGGTGTGAACCCGCTTGTCTGGCAACTGGGGTTGCCAAGGCAAGCGGTGCGATGGTTGAAAGAAGAGAGAGGAAGTTCTTCATGGTGTCGGAGTTCCGTCTTCTTACTGTCGGATATTTGGATCAGGGTGGTTCTTCAGCGCCTTTATATATTTGCGTGTTCAACAGTCTGTAGCACGGTTGCCCAGCCTTGCCCAGACATGGTGTTCTCCATCTGGTGTTGTCTGTGGCAGGAGTCTAGGATTGGAATAATTTCCGAGCCAGCCGTGCTGGATACAGAAGATCTGAGCGGATACGACGTCTATGCATCCTCATCAAAGCTCGGCTGTAGCCGAGCAGTCAGACCTGAATACCGTGATCTTGTTCTGGGACTCTGCATCATACTGCCCTGTTGCTAGTAAACTAGGTACCCATACAAGGGTGAGCGACCCTCAAGCGAAAAAGATCGGCACGACCTGTTTCCAAGTCCTGATCACCTCCGCCTCCTAATTCTCCTAATCAAGTATTCTTCAGGCTAGCTCCGCCTCCGTGTACTATATTCCGATACCCAGTCCGGTTAGAGCAGGTCAGTCCCCGGATTTTCTACACGTTAAGTGCGGAGAAATCTCCAAGCCATTGACCATGCCAACCTTTTTTGAGTGAAGCCAAGAATTTCGCATTATTTCAACAATAAAGCGCATGCATATCACTTCCCCATGGGGATATGCTGCTGCTTCTCCACCTCGAAGCTCGATTGTACCTAGTCTCTGAGGAGTCTCACGCTAGGAAACCCTCTTCCTGGACACCCATCCGTACAGGGTTTTGGTCGCAGAAGCAGCACGACCTTCTCAGAGAGAAATTGGGTATGCACCTGAGCCTTCTGAGCCATTGGGGAGGATAGGGTGTAGGAGACGGCTGCGAACAAATACCCCACACTCCAAACAACGCAAGGTACCAGAAAATATTCCCCAGGCAAGGCTTGGCTTCCCTGGCATTCGGAAAATTGATTACTCAGTCAGAACGCCATTGGCGGAGAAAGAGTCATCGAAGTGCGAAAACCTCCCGTCACGTCACGGCCGATCTCCCGAACAATCCCAGAATTTCGAAGTTCCGACTCTGTTCGCCGGTAGGATTCCCTATTTGAGGTCAAAGTGGGCGGAAGTGCGCCAGGTGTCGGACAAGTGAGCCTGAAACACGAAAGAGGGAATAGAATGTTTCTAGTCCCTACGGATTACTATGGCCCCACATGGAGATAGAGAGAGTTGCCAAGCATCAAGACGAGGTAGATGCCGAGGCAATTGTTAGGCAAGATCTGACATGGTCCGGACAATATGGTCCGGGGGAAGGGCGGACATGAGGGAGGTGAAAGATATGTTCTCGTCGCTCTCGGCCATTCTGTGAGGTAGGGGGGATGGAATCGGAATTCAGGATCCGAACGATTCCCCTTTGATCGAAGGACTCCCCTTCGATATTAGTGTTCCAGACTGACTCGGGTCAACTTGTCGGGCCTGTATGGTACCAAGGACGAAAGGTTATGGTCGTTGAATACGAGTCGAGTAGAGATGGTGAAGAGGTCGGAGATGACGAAGAGGCCGGAGAGAATAGTGCTGTTACTGATTAACATTGCTTGGAACCATGCAACGTTGCTTACTGTCAAAAATAAATAGAAAAAGAAAAAGAAAAAGAAAAAGAAAAAGAAAAAAGAAAAAAGAGAAAAGAAAAAAAGAAAAGAAAAGGACGGTAAGTCTTTCAAAGATGCCATTGTGCATGGAAGACGCAAACAACCGCGCTCAACATCTTTTAAACCTGTACGAACCGTCAAGTGAAAAGCCCTGGCGATATACCACCTATAAGGTGTCTGACATAGGTCAAAGGCGAGAACCGTGCTATTCATCTTGCTCTCACTTTATTCACACTCTTATTCACTTTCTCATTTCTATCCACTCTCTCACTTCTATTTGTCAACGCTCGTGACTCACCCTCGGAGAGTCCTTCCATCCATAATACCGAACCTCCACAGGAGAGCCTATTGACGATATCAGAAGCCACATCCGAAGTCTTGGCGGAGAACCGGAAGCGAAAGCGAGACACCACGACTGACGTTATCCGTCGTATGTTTGGTTCTTTCAGCCCAGATCTGCTCGCCGACTGCGACTACATTGACGCGATTGCCAACAAAGTTACCACCATCGCACACAAAGACTTGAAGCTGAATACCCCCGAAGCAAAACGTATTCTCCGTCTGAACGAGGAGATCCTACAGGACCATCAAGACTACAATGGCATGGTCTTCGACATGGCCCAGCGTCTAGCCCTAAGGGAGGACTGGCAAAGGTGCATCCTACAAAATGCATTCGACAGCGTGCGTCAAACCTACACCGACACCTATGGCGCGTCGGGATCAGATGAAGAGAGCGCCGATGACGACGCCGGCACAAACGACGACGACACACACGCCGGGACCCAGTCAACCGCCAACGACGGTACAACTGGCGCTACAGCTGGCAGCGACAGCACCACAACCAGGCCTTGTGCCCTTACCTGAGCAGTTACTTCGCTTCTCCAAGGAGCCTTTGTTTCCACCGTTGCTTTATCATAACCTCACTAAGTCTTACCTGTCCGTCACCGTCATTCGGGCGACGCTGCTTTATCCCGTGTCCGGCACTCGCGGTCGACTTTGCTTTGCCATTTTTCATTTGTTTCTATTGTTTCCCCCGTGTCCGGCACTTGCCGTCGACTTTGCTTTATTATTTTTCATGTATCTAGTCTACTACGGAAACGCCCGGTCGACCGAGGTCGGCCTGACTCTTTAGGGAGCGGCAGATGTCACCGACAGTCAGATGATATCGCCTGACCCGTCGCCCCTTCAGAAGGGCCGCCGTAGTTAGCATAATGGATCATCTTATCTTCCCCTTAGCTTTCAGTGCTTACAATCTCCTTTCCTTTTCTGGACTCCGCAGGCCGGAGACAGTTGCTTACTTCTGTCCTGGTTTCATGGTGTCAGCCACAGCGGTCCCTTGAGCTAATTAATTCTTGGGCTTATCGTCCGAGGAGATGACTCGGGTGGCAGAAGCTCGTTGAAAGTATTCTGCCACATGATAGGCCGATACTAACTCGGTCCATTCTTCTTTCTTCTTAAACCAACACTATTTTTGTCTCAGGTGGTTTCAACCTAGTGTCACAGCAAAGGTATAAAATGTGGCCTATGGCTATCTTCTTCATATCTAACGAACTAGAACAAATTAAGAATGGACAATTAAGCTGATTAATCTCTCCAAGGCAGAGGAAACATATTATTTATATTATGTACAACACTACTCATCACCACATGGCCGGCCGTTTCTGAACCTCATCTGACACACTGAAATACCCCCTATTGGCCAAGTGCCGTTGAAGTTCTCGAAACTTGCTAGTTTTAGCCTTCTTTTCAAACAAGATATCAATTTCCAAGTAACTTAACCCAAATGTCTCGGGGAGTCGCAGGTAGCACCATACGAAACACACGGCGCTAAACCCCAAAAAGAAGAAGCACGACTTGCCCTTCCAGTTCCAGGCTGTAGGATTCAGCATCCGTGGGGTCATCACATTGGTAACAATAGAAGCCACATTATACACGATACGGGCGAGTACCACAGTCTTGACTCGCAGCCGGGTGCAAGGGATCTCTGCAACGAGGACATAACATATAGGCCCAATGCTGAGGTCATATATGAATGTGAGGAGGGTAATCAGGCCACCAAGAGTCCATGATTGGGCATCTGTTGCAGGTAGGAATGCAATGCCACCCGCAATTGCGAGGATAGCCATCGAGGCCGCGAGGCCAATGAGGTAGATCCTACGACGCCCGGCTCGCCTCATCCAGAACCACGACATGATCGCGCCAACTATGGCCACGCCGTACATACCGATGGCAAGGGTGAAGGAGTTTTGGACGCTCAGACCGGCTTGTTCATAGAAATATGCTGCGTAAGTCCCCGAGCTGGAGAATGAGGCTTGCTGGGTAACCCAGATCATACAGGCAATCTCCGTCCGTCGGAGATTGATCCCTTTAAAGCAGTCCAAATATGTCATTTGGCCGCTGCCCAGATATTTTTCTGTTTCATTGGTATGTGTCATCATCGCTACTATCTCGTCAACGTTGCAGCCGGCTTCGTGTGCTGTGGTAAGACGTAGTAATGTTCTTCTGGCTTCTTCGGGCCGCTCTTTGCGGATCAGCCACCCTAGTTGTAGTGTAAGATTCAATATCTGATGGAGAAGTGTGATTCAGGGACATCATACCTGGGGACTCGGGTGCGAAATACACCCCGATCATGATCGGCACAGCCAAAGCCCACTGCAAGGCAAGTGGCAAGCGATACGCCCACTCCGATTGATTCCCTGTTTGGCTGCGGACTACCCCAACAGCACAGAGCTGTCCAATCAACCAGCATATGTTCACACTGCTGAGGATATACGCCCGAAGTGCAACTGGCATAATCTCTGCCGCATACGTCGTGGCTAAGGTCTGAAAGATTCCCCACGGAATCCCGCATAGGACCTGGCCAGCTAAGAACATCTGAACGTTCACGGCGAAGAAAGGCAAAAAGATAAAGAAAGACAAAGAGACCAATGCCACCAGTATCGTCCAGCGATAGCCAAACCGGTCTGCGAGGAAGCCGTTCATAAACAGGCCGATAATTTGGCCTACCACAGCTGCAGAGGTCAGGCCCGATTGCCACTGGGATGGGATTTCAAAGTTTCCGGGACGAGATGGATCCCGGGCTCCGTATTTCTGTTTGAAGCCCGGGAATGTAAAGAAACTGACGAGAAGCGTCGTGTCGTAGCCTTCCATAATGATCGTCGACGAGAGAACGACTGACCATGCGATGGCTTTTGGGTAAAGTTGACAGCATGTGAGCAGAGACATCTTTCGCTCCGCCCTAGTAGCTGCTCTGGCGCCCGATGACAGCTGGTGCAGGCTGGGGATGCTGGCTGACAGATCGGAAAAGACATCCTCCTCATGGTGGGAACTTGGCCCCTGCTCTAGCGGAACCTCACACAAAGAGATCTCAGCGAGGCCATGGTGATCTTTGGGTGCCATCTGGCGGCGCGGAGAGTTTTTGTAAAAGCGTTGAGATCGCCGCGTTGACCGGCCGTGCTTTAGGAAGGAATTGTTATCATCGCCGAGAATTGGAGCAGAAGTCCTTCGTTAAAAATCGAAAGAGGGATTGGGCAATTGAGGGGGAACACTTCGGTTACAACTTTTCTTCAATGGTCAAGTTCCAGCTGAGCTTGAAACAGTAATTGATGGTCTTCAACCCCACAAGAACGTGCTTGGCCGAGCAACGTTCCGGGATGCTAACCAGCTTGGGCAAGGAGTGGACGGACACCCGTTCATTTCACTAGGACACACCCCGGAACTTTGGGGAAGCCAACAAAGGAATTCTTGAAGATTTTTCTCGCTACTAAACCGCACTTTACAGATGCCTAGTCATGCCCAGGTGGCCGATGAAGCCTATAAAGTGGAGAGAGAAACGTGGAAGATGAGATTTCCCATCGTATCGAACTATGGGGGTGGGTCAATTGTCAATGTCAATTCCCCGGACCTTGACAGATCCCATAGAAGCATGGCACGTGGCATCAGAACTACCCTCACTATGAAGTCAAATTGAGGAAAGATCATCAAGAAGCGTTTCACGGCAGGTCACTTCTTCCTCAGGAGACGAAGTTGGGGGAGTCGAGCTTGGAATCCTTTGACCAATACAGAGTAGCCTGTTTGGGCCTTTCCAAGGTTGGTACAGATCTGCAAGGGGTTGTCTATAAAAAGACAAAAGACGCCTGGCCAGGTTTCTTCCTGAAGACAATCAATCAATATTCCTATTCTGTGGGCCCTTGTCTTACTCTTTCGTAACAGTGCCCATTGCCCGTCCATGGTGCACGATGCGGATATAGGCATTAGAGACTTTTCCCCGAGGTCTACCGCTGTTGAAGTAAGCGTCACTGAGTACCTACCTAGGTAGGTACACTTGTAACCTAGGAATTAGAGAGTATCTAATGAGCACTTACTATGCCCATGGATATGTACATATAAGTATAAACCAAGTATGCACTGATCTAACCCTCGTCTTATAAAAGTGACAGCTAAATATGAAAGTCGATACGGACAAGCACAAACATATAGAGTACAACGGTTTGGATACCAGGACGTGAAAGTGCAACTAATTTATGTATTGAAATGCAAGAGATAACATTAAATACAATATCCCACCATAGACATGCTCCAGTCCATTCTAACCAAAATACAAATGTTCGTATCAACGAGTCATGGTATGCAAACTCCAAATCACAATACAAGGTTAAAGAAGACATCATTGCGAAGAGAAAGGGACAAAGCAACAAAGCCAACCGAAAAGAGGAGCGATGAGAATAAAAATGAAAAATAAAAAGTAAAGCTCGGGTCTGGTTGTTTGTGTCTGCCATGAGTATATCTGTACAGCTGTGAGGGGAAGATGGAGAGGCGATACAGGATGATGAGGATATATAGAGATGATAGGATGAAATAAATGAATTCTCGCTGTGTTCGGGGAATCTAATAGAATGAAAGGGAGATGGTGCCTCGAGCACCGCATCTCTTGCTGCAAACATCAACGTAGACAAATGCATAGTCGATGTGCAGTATGCAATCAGACAGGGTCAGCAAGGCCGTCTCCCTCCGGCCGCTCCCAATAGAGCGAGAACCGGAACGTGTCGAAGTGGTGGCAACCGGGCAATACCTCAGAGCGGGCATTTAATTGCCAGACTCCTTGGGTGGTAAAATGGTAAACATTGGTCTCCGGGCCGAGATTTCAAACCAGAGTATGAGTTTGTGAGTAGAGACCTCGCCAGTTGGCACACTAGCCCCCGGGGCCATATGGTGCGGGTATATTGTCAGCAGCCCCCCGCATGAGCGCCGAGTGGTTTTCATCCGCTAATGATCTGTCTGGCGCCCTCTTTGCCTAGGACGCCTGGTTCAGTCGGCTTGGGGCTGCGGTCACGACCCTTCTTCCGACTGAAGAATGATAGCATGCCATTGGCTTGCTTGCTCTTGTCATCGCCACTGTCCATCCCATCAGCGGGGGTGGAGTTATGAGCCAGCTCACTCCAGCTGCCAGCTTCGTTTAGGACCATTTGCACGCCTCCACTTTTGCTCATTTGACGTGTGGCACCGCGGTGTCGATTGTTGGGGGGTAGAGGTCGGTGGAAGGACGGGGCAGGCGGCGGTTGGAAGGACGGTGGAGGCGGGGGTGAAGGTGACATGCGGCTTGAAGGGGAAGAAGGCTGGCCAGTCGCGGGTTCATTGGGGTCGGGTGTCTCGCTGACTGTAGTCATGTTTTCACTCGGTGGAGCACGGTAATACGAGCCGTCGGCTTGGATGGGAGATGTATTTTTAGGGTCTGGCTGTGAGAATTGCCGGACATGTACGGTTGGGTTGGCTGGGGTTGTGGTGTTCCCTTGTGTTGTTGTCGCGATTGGAAGGCACTCCTCGGGATTACTGGAAGAACACTGTTAGTACAAGTGGGCATAGGTCTTGATGGGAGATAAACCCACGATACGGCAGCAATAGCTTCCGCGGCATTGCCTTGGTAGCTAGTCAGGGTGTAGTCGAACGGTTCGAACATTGTTTCAATGAGACGATGAAGCTCATCATCCCGAATTTCTTTCGCAGTTGCATCGTCCCTTAGTTCAGCGCGCGGCTTTTGCCTGCGGGCTCTGGCCTCCAAGGGCGCTTCTTCAAGGAGCAGCTCCTCTAGATCATAAGTCGCATCAAAGTTGGTTTTGTCGCTTGATGGGCGGAATACTGGCGGGATCTGCTTGCGCTCCAGGGCATCAAAGTCGATTTCGGCGAAGAACATGTGCGAGGTGTAGGACTCAAACCCGATAGCGCCGATTCGTTGACTCCGGTCCTTTTGCATCAATGCTCCCAGCGCCCGCAAACAAGCTACTGATACTGCGGGATTGGTGACGTAGTATTTTGGCTGCGCCTTTTTGATGTTTTCGCTCAGCGTTTCTTGGCTTCGGCCTTCAAATGGTCGCTGCATGAAGGTTAGAAAGGAAAGTAAATGGAAAATGAATCTCTCATACCTTATTGTAGATGCACTCGTAAAAGGTGACACCTAATGACCACCAATCGACCTCAAACGTGTAACCACTTCCTTCGTACACCTCTGGGGCTAGGTAGGCCAAGGTTCCCGATTTGCTTGTAAGAGGCTTCCCCGGTCGGTAATCGGATGCCACGTTCTAGAAATTCAAGTTAGCTGAAGCTCACACAGATGCTTTCCAAGCAGGTAGAACTCACAAAATCAGCCAAGTGAACATGTCCATCGGAATCCAACAGGACGTTGTCTGGTTTTAAATCGCGATGAATGATACCCTGCGAATGGATGTACCTCAGAGCACACCCCAATTCTGCCATCCAAAACCGCACCGCATCCTCTGTGAAGCATTTTCGAGAGATATGGAATCGAAGATCGCCACCGTTCATTAAATCAACCACAATATAGCTTTCGACTCGGTTAGAGAGGAGCGATAAGGGTCAACTCGGGCATACTCACATGTACTCCATATCCTGGAAACTGTATCGCAAATTGCAAAGGAATGGATGGTTCAAGTGCTCGAGCATTCTCCGTTCACGAATTATATTCCGTACACTTTCCGAACGGACCACTGTAACGAGTGTCAGCTATATTTCTCTCAACGCGGTGGCTTTGAAGCTCCAACAGACCTTCCTCTTTGCGGATATATTTCAGGGCAAATGTAAGGCCTGTGTCCTTCCTTTCAACGATCCGCACTTTTCCAAATGCGCCCTTTCCAACGACACGCAGGAGCCGGAAATGATTGAGGTTGACTGGTAGAGGAAAAGCGATCAGCATGTTATTCGAAATAATTCTCGGTGACTGAGGAAGTCCCGAGACTGTCCACCCCGGTTCCAGTCCAGTAAACCTACCTGCATCATTGCAAGACACCGGTTTCCCTTGAGTGTTTCCCATGTTGTGAGGATAGACCGATGGTCGAAGTAATTAAAGTTGACTAGTATCTTGCTAGCAACATCACACTCGTCCCAAAATCCCTCCGGGTGAATGGTGATCGCGTCAACAGCGGTAGTCGGGCAATCCACGAGTGGATAAAGGAAACAGATCTTCGGCGAATATCGAGCTTAAATCGCAATTTCCATGAGAGGTGACTGAATTCCGAAGGTAGAATGGCCGAGCGGGGGAGGTCAAATGTTTCAGAGTCGGCGAAGGATATCGGTGCAGGTCCAGATGTAAATTTTTGAGATCTAGACAAGGCTAGATGAAATATGAAGGCCACCAGAACTTGTGAAGGGAAGTAAAGAAGATCCTGGGGTTCCAAGTCTGCAGGGTATGTATATCAAGAAAACGTGAGGGTCCGGGAGCTCGCCAAACACACCGATGTCGGGTTTGATAAAGAACCACGGAGAAAAACAAGAGGGCAGGCAGACAGAAAATCGAAGAGATAAATATGTCAAATTGACAATACCTAGGTACCAAGAATATGACCACTTCGGGAAGTGAAGAGATGAAAGAAAGGGGATGAAGCGGGTGAGCGGTCTGGGAGAAGTGGCAGTAAGTGCGGGCCAATCACGCGTGACGCGCAAGAAAATGGGGGGAAAGGGGGAGGTTACCTGGGTAAATGAAAAAAGACCGAAAAGATAAATGAAAAGATAAATGATAAATGAAAGAAAAAAGGCTTTTGGTTCCGCTATGCTTGTTCTGGTCTTGGACGCCGTGTGATCTACACTGTGCTACTACTCTTCAAGACTAGTTGTTTTGTCGGATACTGATATTGCCGTCTTGTGGATCTAGACTGATAACGTGCTACGGAAACAGTTGCAGAAATATTGAACGACTTTAATACACCTCCCCAGTCTTTCTGAATATCAAGTTCAACATACGGCATACGGAGTGTGAGGTGGAGAGTATATAGCCCTGGCCCAGTTCGACCCGCTTTGGTTGATGAGCGGAGGCTACGATATCCACAGAATGCACAGACTTTATTAATTCGGTGACTTGTCCATTCTAATCCTAGACGAACATCTTGGCGATCAAAATTCAATTTGAAACAGTGTTCTCCGTTGTTTTAAGGGGAGAATTGGTATACGAGATTGCTATATTGCACAGCACGATGTAGATCACTATTTAGGTACATTGTACTTAAGTGTGCCCTACGCCCTACCCTCTCTTTGTGAGACTCTGTGCCACTTCTGATATCACCTTTCAGGTTCTGTCTCATTCCTGGAATTTCAATTTGGAATATTCCTAAGTGATTTTGATCATAGTTTGACCGAAGAAATAGCGTACAAGCTTGCCGCAATCGACTGATCATAGTTTGCCACACGTGTGAGATGCCTATTTCTCCCGAATTCTCGTGGCCGCCACGTTATTATGGACCGCCCTGGGCCGCAATGCATTTGTCTCGGGAACTGTCGTATCGAAGGGCCCTGGAATGCCTTTAGAATATTCCATGTTCGATTTGGTCCCTCACATGCAAGAGCACGCAAGGAGCTTTGTCGGCTACAGTTGAATCAATTCTAGGCGGGTCTTTTCGCATTCGCTCCACTAAGCCGCAGATATGCTTGGACACGTACGGAATGAATATGTTTGTCTAACACCTTGACTCTATTGAGCGTTTCCGTTTCACCAAACTTGATATGCGGGCGCAGTCAGCTGGTGCAAGGGTTCAAAACCCCTGTCAAATGGGAGCCCAGCAACTAACAACCCTGAAACATTACAGGGCGCCCACAGTAAGCTTATAAAATGGAAATTGGCGATGCTTGTCACCTCGGCGTTGGGTAAAACATACAAAGAAATCAAGCGGCGGTTTCAGTCTGCTAATTTGACTTTCGAGAGACATTTGAACCTAGGATGAGGCTGTTGTACGGAGTACTATTTGTATATATTATTTGTATTACTATATTCCCGAATTTGTGATCAATAGAGGATGTACGGAGTATGTATCAGATCATTCCAGAGGTTAAGGACTCTACGTGGCCTCTTTGTGTTGGCATATTATTTACTCAGGTCTCAGCGCAGACCCAAGACAGGATATTTAGAACAACTACTCCGTACATTCTTACGCATTTTACATAATTCATGTGACCGAGAGGTGGGTATTGTCTTACCCGTATAAAATGATGCGCAGATGAAGACCTCCCTGCTAACGTGCCTAGCCCATGGGGGTATTCACAAAGAATATTCCGTGCCATTTACATATGCGAAATCTCCTTGGCCTGTGAGCGCTTACACTACAATATTGCGGCTCCAGGCTGTTACATGGCACAAGCCAAGCACCGTTGTCGCCCCAAAAATTCTATGGCTGTTCTTAGTGCTTCTGGTAGCATATATATAGCAATTGAGAGATTTAGGATGATGAATATGAGAAATACAGAGTCTGCAGCTAGTGTATCTCGAATTGAATCAGGGGATCAACCAATTTACATATAGCCTATCAATATCACACCATCCACGTTGCCCTGAGCAACACTTGATACAAGAGCTTTTCTTGCGCAGCCCAGGCATTGAGCCACTATGCAGCCGTGCGAATGCTCGACCTGTCCAGCAACAAATAATGCCCACTGCGGATCATCTAGGACAGCGAGGTATCCCGGCATATCAATCGTTCCGAACGGTTTGACATACCGATCCTGTAGCCAGTACTTTACATCCATATTTAGGACATGCTTGGTATCTGCATCACGATGGTCGCAGTTTTCTGTCACCTCAAAGCTGCGAGCCACCGCCCTAAGGACAGCCTTTATTGAAACATGCCCAATATTATCTCCATCCACCCGACCAATAAAACAGACATCTGGGCTGTTATAACTTGGTTGGCGTTCAATGCTAAGATATAGTGGCTTGCTCGGCGGGTTTGGTCTTGCCGGGCCTACCCAAGGCTCATGGGGCCCTGAAGATATAGTATACGGCTGTTGCGAAACTTGAGGTGGAACCGAGAACCGGTCCCTGTCCGTGTAGATCGCCCCACCATAGGATGAATGGATAGAACCATCTTGGTGGACACGGAGATTAGCATAGAACGAATCCCTGCAAGCTAGGCGGACGGCATGCATCGAGGGCTTCATTTCCAGCAGCAATGACGGAATGACCGAGTATCGTCCATTTCTCCAGCCAATGATCTGGCGTGAAAGAACTCCTTTCTCTTTGTTGACACCAACACTGTCACTAGCATCGACACCCACGTGGACTGCTGCTAGCAGATCCACAATCTCACTATATTCGACCGAACTTGCAAAGGTTCGGTTGATAGTAGCACACATTTCTTCCAGCCAGGCCTCTTGTGCAAGATCAACTGATATGCAATGCCGTATGTTCCAGAATTCTGTATCCGAAAGAGTAGAGACAAGAGCGATAACGATAGCTAGGGTAGTTGTACGGAACCGGGCTAGGCCCTCAGTGAGGTCATCGTCGTACGCATCCGCCATCCTACGCCGTGGATTTCTGACCTCGGTGAGAATGCTGCGTGTTGCGATCCTGCTATAACATGGAGCGACATGGTCGGCAAGTAGGGGGAAATAAATGGATGCTAGACTTCTCTCAACTGCAGAAACTTGACGCTGCGAGTCTTCCCACTCGATTATCCCACAAATATCCTCTTTTATAACATCTCGGACATTCTCCAGACGATATGAGACTCTGATCCGAGTCGCAATTGAATGATTAATGTACTCAAAGTCTTCCTGCAGACATTCTGGGTCGATCAGATAGTGAGGTCCAATGCTGTGGTATAGCATGGGGCCCACAGTGCTGCGTGTGTAATGATAAACCGGGTTGCAGTCCTGGATTATTTCCTCCGCTGCGGCCATCAAATGGTCCGTTTCCTCACTCCCACCAAGAACAAGCACAATGCACCTGGGGCCAAGTGGCTTAGGTCGCGGAGGTACTCCATCCCAGACCTCAATAGACCCAATAAAATATCCAACAACTTTCAAGCAGTTTGCGGTGCGGGCCACCAGGCCACTGCGCGTAAAATACGGCTGTGTGTCGCCCTTCGCGATCCACCTCAGGAGGCCAGCAACCATGTGTATTTCGGTGACCGGAACCTCCGAGCCTTTGACATGCATTTGCCTCCGAAGCCACGATGCATCGCCGACTGGAAGATCTAGCCGCTCCGTACTCTCCGTAAAAAGTTCTGGAAGCCCCCGCGTAGCGCCCTCATTAAGGACGCGCTCGTAGAGGCCATCGTCCGTCAATTGACTCTGTAGAGAGTCGACAAGCAAATTGGCACCTTTGAAGATTGCGGGTGCTAGGAAATTTGCAAAAAGTCTGACAGCAGTGAGACCAGTGCACTCATGGGCCAACGCACAGAGAGTGAGTCCCCACGAGCTGAGTGCTCTGGTCGCCACTGAAAGCCTCTTCAGCATTTGGGATTTCGCACCTCACCGGGCCATGGTCGCTTGTCAATATGTGGACTTGGGAATTATTGAAGCTTATGCTGGGACCGAGGAGGGTTGCTAGACGATTGCTTAGGACATGATTGCTTGAGGGCCGCATCACGCCCAGGGAGCGAGAGAGAATGTATTTCACTCCATCTAAGCCTCCAAGCCACCCAACCGCTGTGTAGGCTGCCGAAAGAGTTGATATCACATCCGCGGGACCGATTTGCACCTGTTGCAATGGCCCGGCAGTAGTCGTGAAAACAAGTGTTGCCATTGCGCTCGTTCGCCAAAGGACACAGTAACGAGCGGAACAGCTAAGGGACCGAGACCAGCGTCTTAAGGCCCTGGCCACCTCTTGCGATCGGCCTGAGAGAGCCTTAGCGTTGCCTTAGCGTTGCCTTAGCGTTGCCTCAACACAGCCCGCAACACAGCCTCCACAGTCGCCAGAACTGCAGATAACCCGGTCAAGGTCCTCGGGTTCATCAATAGCCGGGGAAAAAGAAAAACGCTCTAGGGCTGTTTTATCGGTATTAGATCAGCAAAATGGCTACCCGTGGACCTACCTACCCAGGTAGGTACTTTCTCCCAACTACTACCTGCGTCCCTTGATCATCAGGGGCCATGATTTTGCAGGTTATCGCACCGTTTCTATGGCCTCCGGAGCTACCTGGTTAATATTTGCCGCGTATCTTTACCGCAAGATCCACTGGTTGCTTCCCAGCACATGTCTAAATAGTCATGCACCACACTCCGGCATCTTATTAGAATATAATAGGGTGCTTGGGCAACAGCTAGAAGCTGGGAATCACGGTGGAAATGCAGCTGTTTATGGCTTCAGTGGCAGTTACTTTTGGTGTCATTTTACAGGTCAATTACATTCTACCTAGGTAGTTGTAAATATCACGGATGTTGCAGACCTCAGAGGATGTAGGTGTAGAGATGGTAACTCGGTCACGGGGTAGCTCCTTCCCAGGTTTGGCTTGGTGTGGCTACCATTTCTCGTTAGACCTCGCCATTTCTTCATCCTCATCACTCTCTCTCTCCATCACTCTCTCCATCATTCACCATGGAGAGCTCTGAAACCCCCCGGTCGCTGCTGCAGCGCCCAGAGAGCTCTGGCATTGATGTTATAGACTTCTCCTTCGGCAAGCCCTCCTCACACAAGCCCTCGTACTCGCGGAACCTGACCAAGCAAAATACCATACCCCATCCTGCAATTGATAATGCCCAATCTTCAAGGGAGCATGTGGGAGAGGGGGCAGGTCGCAGCCATCAACTAGCCAGGCCAGACACGTATGTAGATAACCCAGGCTGACATCACACAGACAAACACCAGTGTCCACAATGGGCTAACCTGCTTTCTTGGGTCCAGCCCTCTCAATCTTCGCAGCGTTGGGAAGGAAGGAATTCCCAAGGCACCTATCCCCGTGAGACAACCTGTGTTCCCCCAGCCACCAAGGCAACTATCCGCTGCAGCTGAATCCAGCAAAGACAGCGGCAGTCGACCCACACCTGTAGACCCAGGGAAACAGACTTTCGGACAAGAACAGGCGACGATTGCCTCCCGACCGAACGAGCCCACCAGGGCTGATACACCCAGAGAGACTATCAGCCCTGCAGGAAGGGCCGTTGACCAGAGTCAAGAGCGAGTTGTTGACATCGAGAAGACGGGTGAGGTTAACTCTGCCTTGCCTGAGCCAACTCAAGTGCAACATCTTCACAGAGAGAGGCAAGATATTCCGGAGAACCCATGCTCTCGCATGCCCCTCAAGCCTATACACAATCAGCTTCAGCCGTCGAGGCGACGCCGTGCTCCCGAAAAGGACACGAATTCGAAACAGCATGCACCGCCCGTCGGTGGCAAGAACGGCGTTCAGCTCAGTGAGGATGACCTATTTGAGCTTCTCATCACAAGAATGAGACAGCGAGAGGAAAGCGAGCAAGCGGCTGCAGCTATCCAACGGCAAGTCACGAATGAGAACGTGGCCTTGAAGGAAGAGAATCTTAATCTGCAGGTTCGGCTCAAAGAATGCCAAGCACAGCTCGCCAAAACATCATCCGAGTCAAGATCTCAGCGCGCACAAATAGACAAGTGGAAGGTGAAACTTGGCACATTCAAAGGTGTCCTCAATGAACTCGGGCGTGAATACGGTGCAGTCCGGGAGCAAGCCAAAGAGTTGAAAGAAGCCACTATGTCTCTTGATAGAGAGAAGAGCGAGATCCAGCACAGCCTTGAAGACATTAGGTTGAAAGTTTCGGAAAGCGCAGAAACCATCCGAAACCAACGCGAGAGACTTTCAATATCCGATGGGACGGTTGCCAGCTTGAGGGAAGCCTTGGACCATTCAGAGACAAGAGGCGACTTAATCAAGGCCCAGCTATCCAATGAGGAAAAGCGAATCACGACTCTAGAGACCTACATCCAAAATGAGTCTCAGAGCCAGTCGCGATACTTGGCCCTTGTCAGAAATGATCAGCGCAAGATGGCTGAAAAACTTGACTCTGCCTGCGAACTGTTCAACACATCTTTCGCCAAATCCCAGGATAATATCTTGTCAAAACTGAGTCCAGCGATTGAAAATTGTCTCACTTCAGTTCAGGGGTTGAAAGAACTGTGCTCTGCCGAGACCATGAATGTCCAAGACTTCACCAACAGTGTTCATGAGGCAACATCTCGGTAAGTTCTGTGGAAGCGCAACAAAGAACAACACATATTGTAGACTCACTATGACTCCAGTTTCAACTCCTTGGCTGGACAGGTTACAAGCGACGTCGAACGAAGCACGGAAATGAGCAAAAATGTATTCCAAGCCGTCCAAGAAGGCCTTCAAGCGATTGAAGGCAATTTCGGTCCGCATTCGTCAATTTTCAAGCAGCTTGCTAATAGCGAGAGTTGCTATGGAAATTTGCAACAACAGCTTCAGATTGTTGGGCCAATGCTCGACAGTCTCGGTGGTTCTATCAAGGCCGTGGGAATAACAGAAACAGACCTTGTGCGCGGGTTGGAAACCTTCAGTCAGAAACTTTCCGAAGCTCGAATTCCAGCAGGAAACCCTGTTCTGGAGATGGAAGTTTCCAACAAATTCGCTGAAAATACGAGATTGCAACTCCAGCTGCAAGAAATCTCGACTAAGGTTGAGTCACTTCGAAAGCAACTCGCCAACAAATCATCCGAGAACGAACACCTTCAGCATTCTTTGACTGAGACTGTTGCTAATGAACAAGCATCTAAGAGCCAAAATGCTCGGCTGGAAATTGAGAAGACCGCCTTGCAGGGTGAGCTACAGTTGGTCGAGCAAAGAGTCCGAGAAGAGCTGAGTGCTGCAAGCATCAAATTTCAGGAGCAGATGAAAGCTAAATTCGAAGAACAAGTGCAAGGTCTTGAGACAGAAAAGAGGAAGCAAGAAACAGACATCAACAACCTCCGGACGGAGCTTGCAAACGTCCGAAGCTCTTTGGTAAGCCGGACCGTGCTCAATGAGACAGTGGTTAACTAACAGTGTGGAGACCGAAAGCCAAAAGGCAGCCGAGGATGAGCGACTGGGAAGAGCCACCATCGTAAGCGATGCCGAGCATTTTCTTGATGTGCTGTACTGATAAGCGCAGCTTGAGGAATCACAGAGACGAATCATGGAGCTGAATGTGGCTTGCTCAAAGTACATCGCAGAGGCCCGAGCTCTTGAGGCTGAATCAAACGTATTGAAAAGCTCTGAAGCTGGCCTCTTGTCAGAAAAGGAGAGGCTCCTTGAACAGCTTGAACTAGGAAAAAGAAATGCCATAGAGCTTGAAGCTAACCTGGGGCTGAAGACCGAGTCTGTTGCGCTAAAAGAGAAAACAATACAGGAAGCAGAAAAGAGGGCTGGGATGCTCGAGCTGGAGACGGCCCAGAAATCTGAAGAGCTTGCAGCAATGGAAGAAAACCTCGCCACGCTCAAATCACGGTCATCGGCTTTGGAGAAGGTAGGGGAGGAAGCTGATGCTGAAATAATCTCACTCCTCCGCCGGGCCCAAGAGGCTGAAAGTTGGCAAGCGACCATAAGAGAAGGGTTTGCGAAGGTGATCGATGTACACCCCGACGAGCCTTTCGAGCAAACCTGGCAGAAACTGGAAGACATCATTCAGTCCTCGCTTGCTCAGCCGCCCATGACTGGCGATACATTTTCCACGAAGCCTCACGGCACGGCACATATGGAGGCGACTACATGCAGCAATTTTTTACCGGACCCAAGGGACACGAAATATGAAAACATCTTCGAGGCCAATGACTCAAATAAGGGAGCTCTCAAGACTGCCGGGAACGTGGAGACTGATGGACCTCTAGCGCCAAAGATTTGTAGCCCCCCGAAGGCGTTGAAACATGGTGATTGTGTTGACTCCCGACCGAAATTCGCAGCTAGTCACGGTCATATTGTTCCATTCTCAAGTCTCCATGACAGACTTTCACGGGAGAATAGCCTGTCGGTTTTCAATGATCCAGCTGAGCTTGAAATGCTCTTTATGTCAACTCCAGATCTCCCCGGGGCGTTAGCACACCAGATGATGCTTCCAAGAAGGCTCAACATAAAAAGGTTCTAGCTGAGCCTTTGGAAACGAGTGGAGAACTCAGTGAACCTATCCCAGCTGTCGGGATGCAACGTCCCAGCGCCGACAACAGCAAAAGCGAAAGGTCGCAGTCGGCTCTTGAAAGGATTGACGGTTCGTTTGTTGATAAATGTGCCAAGAACGAACAGTCCAACACCAAGCGTAAAGTAGTCAGCTTCGAGGGAGCGCGTGTTATCACCAAAACAGAGCTTGGCAGAACCCGACGAATGTCAGATGCAACCGACAACAGCTCCGGAAGAGAGTCCGAAAGTAAAGAAGTAAAGAGGACCCAGCAACGAACTTACAGCCGTCTTCGCCAGTCTGTAGCACAGGAGGAAACTTCAATCGAGACAACTACAGAGATACAGCCTGCCAACAAAGCTTTGGTGGGAGAATCTCTACAGGGCCCAATGGACAAGACTGAACATTCTTCAAACCCAAATCCAAGGCCACCGAAGAAACCACGAAATGCTGTCGATGGCCCAGAGCGACGACTGAGTCCGAAGGGTTTGGCTTCAGGTAGCAGCAGGGGAAACACAGCCGGCCAAGCTAGCACTATGCGAGGCCGAGGTAAGCGCCGCACTCGAGGTAAGATGCCTGATGCCTTCCTATGGTAGTTCTAGCTAATGATTGAAAGGAGACCGCTACAATCAGCGCTTCAGCCAAGACGCCGGCTGAGCAGTTCAACGTGAGGCGACCCCGAGAAAGATGCCCTTCCTCTATTATTATACTCTGACCATGTTGAGCAAATTCTCCATATTCATTTGATCGAAAACAAGGTGTGCGACAAGTCCATGGATATGCAAGTATTGATTTAGAAAAATCTGTTGTTGTCGTGAACGGATGGGCGAAAAGAACCCCGAGCAGGACTCATGCTTCGGAAGGCGATGAAGTGGAATGTTGTGGAATATTTATTTTAGTTTTATTGAGGTACCCAAAGCTGTATTGCTCTTAACGCCAAACACAATGCTCCAACAAAAGGAGGTTTACCGCAGAAGATCCAAGAAACCGGGGAAATCACAATTTCCCTTGTCTCCTGTAAAATAATGTACACACAGGGCTCGTTTCCCTGACACACTTATCGCATTTCCCTAATCCGCGCAAAGTCCGAGATATCATTCGACGGCGTATCGGGATGGCGATAGCAAAGAAACGCAAAAGGCCAAGTTCGATTGGAGGAAAAGAAGAGACCGAAATCAAAGTCGTCATCGCGGTTGAAAGGCAGGCGGACATCTCTCAAGGCGCACAACAATCGAATTGGAAAAAGACCGAGCAGAGCTCAGATCCAAAGTCGAATAGCTTATTTATTCTTTCCACCCTTGGTCGCCTCAAGGAAAAGCACCTGCTTCTTAACGACAGGGTCGTACTTCATCATGCTGAGAGGACGGTGTACACGGGGCCGGATCATCGTGCGGTAGTAACCCGTCATGGCCATGGAGATCAGCCGGACGGCAATGGTACGGGACTTCGCTGTGTCGCGGAAAAGACGATGTTAGCCATTGGCCGCAAGAGAATCCGGGGCTTCTTGGTTTTCGTTATCATCGCCCGTTTCGCATCCCCAATTGCGGGATATATCATGGCGGATGGATCGTGCGGCTGAGTTCTCAGGTTTCTCGTTCCACGTACCTTTCTTAGCCATCTTGGGCGGCGTCTCGGTGTGCTTGGTCGAGTTGTCGCTCCGAAACAATTTCGAGGTCGGAGTTGATCGCTTCCCGTAGATCACGTGGATATTGCTTAGTCATTACCTTTTTGGGCTGACCCCCCAGATCAACCCATACCTAGGTAACTATGTTGTAAACATTTTTGGCTGATTTACAAGTTTCGAGATTGTGATTATTTTGAATTTGCTAGCCATAGATGCGTCAATTTACTATCATCATATGCGGGGTTGGTAAAGACCAATGAAGTCCCTCATCTTCCACCGTTCTCTCGTCTCGATATATCATCGTGGCCTATAGATGGGCCAAGACCTGCCACGCCCCTGCCCTGCCAGCTCATCTTGGGTTTTGCAATTAGCTCCAGTTAGCGTGGTAGCCTCTACTATGTTCGGTCATATACTGATGTTAGCAATCCTCGTGGAACTCGCCAATTCAGTACAAGCTTTAACCGCTTCCTTGGTGAGATTAGTAGGATATTAATTATTGGTTGCCTTCGTAGTTGTGGATTTCCTTGAATATGCGGACTGGATACTTCTGTGTGTTTGTGGCGATCTATCAAATTGAAGCATTTTCATATTACGACCAGTTTCTACTTTCGTCGGACCATTTTCTAGATCTGGCGTAGGGCGTAGGGAGCTAATGTCTGCAACTAAGAAAGTTCTGGCTAGCTTTGCATGATTGTCATTTACATCACAGCATCGATGTGACGCTATGCAAGGGTCTTCAGGGCTGAAACCTTCCCCACCTGCTCATTCAGGTACAATTTCCCAAGGATACCAAAGATTGGTCCCACTGGTGGCCTGATGCTATAGCTATTGTGGCTGAACAATGTTGTATCTGTGCCCTTCAGGGTTAGTATGTCTCACATGTTGCAGAACTGAAGTATGGACTGAAGGATCAACTGCATAGCCGAAGCTGACACGGTAATATGAACTAGTATGTGAAAAACAAGCATGTGGTGTAAACTAGCGCCGGTGTTTCCGGAGGTAGTATTTACTAGTCGCTAATTGTATGATCCTTCAGGGACCAAAACAGTTGATAAAGGACCTCTTGTCCGGCCACGAAAAGCAACAATCATCTCTTTCCCGGATTCCAACTCTTCTACTAGCAATCATGATGACCTACAGCCGCTCAGTCCCCCTTGCCCTCTTTGCCTTGTTTGGCACAGGGCTCGCGCAGACCGTCGATGGTTCCAAATTCAACAAACCAGACGGCGGCCCTCCAGGAAGCTACTTCGCTGCTGGTTCATCTATCCCCGTCGCTGCTTTGCAGAGCGCTGCTGCAAAGGCTAGCACTCCTGTGCCGGATGCAACCTATCCTATCAATGGTGATAAGGGTGCTAAGAAAGTTACCATCCACAGCGACTGGACTAAGTTTGACGAGGTAGGTACTCTCACTAGCCGGCTAACTACAAGATACCGTAAACTAAATGGTCCATAGGGTGCGGCATATGTTTGGATTGCGGATATGGACGTCGACTGCGACGGCATTGACTACAAGTGCAAGGTATGGTGACTATTATTGTCTGTCTGAGATGTTATTGCTGACCCAATGTGCAGGGAAACCCGGATGGTCAGCACCAAACCAACTTCGGTGCTTTGGCTGCGTATGAAGTGCCTTTCTTTGTGATTCCCGACAGATTTGGAACCAAGTACGCGAAGCAGCTTCCTGGAAACAACGTTGGTGCCGTTATCTGGTATGGTTCCCTACCTTTGTAAGATATCTCAGCGGCGTCTTGTTCTGATTAAAAGCTAGTGATGGAAAGATGTTCTACGGAATTTACGGAGACTCCGATGGCGATACCCCTCAGGTAATCGGGGAGGCCTCATGGTTAATGGCCCGGACCTGCTTCCCCAATGATGACCTGAATGGCAACAGTGGCCATGGTGATGTTGATGTGACCTGTAAGTTTGCAACCTTGGCACATCTATATCTTTATTGACAACTACTAATCTGACCAGATATCCTCTTCACTGGCGACGACTCGGTGCTCCCCAGCAGTGCTCTCAACAAGAATTATGTCACCAACTTCACCACTCTGCGCTCTATGGGAGACAAGCTCATGACTGCTCTTGCGAAGAACCTCAAGTTGGTAGATGGAGGTGATGGAGGTTCTCCAACAACTACGGCTGGTTCCAACCCTACAAGCGGGTCTTGTGAGTGGGAGGGACACTGTGCTGGTAAGAATTCATGTTCCCATACTTTTCTTCGGAGTTACTAAGTAATCTTTTCAGGTGCTTCTTGCAAAGATGAGAATGATTGCTCCGGTCAACTGGTCTGCAAAAGTGGAAAATGCGCCAGTGCGTGATTAAACCCGGTAGGTAGTTACGGGAAAGATAGCGTAGTTAAATGGCAGAGATCTATAGCTTTCGCAATAGTTATAAACAACGATTTGTTAGTTAGGTACGACTGGTATAACTAACTAAGTCACTAACTAATCTATTGAACGGTGTCGGATGGATAATTTATAGTCCGCTGGCCAATTACTACATTCTAGACACGACGATACACCTCACAGAGAAGATAAAGACTGCGATACTGGCTTCTGGTGGTTTCTAAAGACTAGACATGATAAGGCTTTCTTCATGCCAATTAAGCTGGGATTACCGACTACAGTAACCCGTCCTGACAGTCTAAGTGACCTGATTGACTCCGTCCCCGGCCAAATGATCAGGACTCCGGGGGACGTACCAGGCCGTACTGGGCAGCCGAGTACAGCGACTTATTAGTTGTGGAGCCTGTCTAAAAATGACACTGTTAATGTAATCCTTCATGACCCAAGTTACACCTCCACTCATCAGAAAAATACCTTGAAACTCACCGATCTCTCATCATGGGCAAAACCAAAGTCCGCCTGGAAGATCTCCCATTGGAAAAAAGACTCAGAGTCACCCTGTACAATATAGATGACTGCAACGCCGCAATTCGCGGCCAAAAGATACCTGGTGCACTCGGACTAAAAGTCCAACGCTTCGCTGTTATCCGTGGCATTCGACACCACGATGGTTTCGCCCACGAGTTACGCGGCGTCGCACCAGAGTTCACTCGTGCACTCAACGCGCGTGCAATTATGAGCGGAGTGATCCCGGAGATCAACGACTCCCCTGAGATACCCTATTGCATCTGGTATCCGGAACCTCCATCCCAGGAGACCCTTCGCAATTTGGTGAAGCGTTATCCCAACATGATTTATCACGCTGCTCGCTCCTGTGCCGTGGCGGGATACTTTGATCTTTACTCGGAGCTTCAGGTTCTTCCCGAGGTTCATGTTGCTGCCGAGGCTCGCGACGCTAGCCTAGCAAGGAAGAACAAAGGTAGCGAGGCAATATACGAGCAAATAATGTCGAATCATTGAAATTTGAAATAATGAATGATTATAATCGATCTGTCAATCTTGAAAACCCTCGTCCGGCACATCTGAATGGAGATACGGCGGTTTTTTCCGATCTCACTGCACGGATGCTTCATGCAGGAGTGGATAACAGCAGCAAGCATTCCGTCAATCTTGTTGATTACATCGAGTGGGATTCGAAAGAGTACAATACGTATAACCACTTCAACATCACTGAGGATCTGGGAATCGACGATCATAGTTGCGGTGCGCCTGAGCCTCTGGCCAGCTTTTGGCCACTTCTGTATTCGCCTCTGCCGTCAGACCTTCCACCAGTCAATAAAGACAACCTGATTCTATCGGCTGCATATAGAGGTGACGTGGATCGATATGTACGCCTACGACGCCCACAGATGATCGAACAAGAATTCCACGCTATCATTTTGGGGATCTACAATCACCCCCTTTGGGCGCGATGGTGGAGCACACAGGTGCCAGAGGTCTCCGATAAAAGTGAGGACGTATCCCTAAGGCGCGCAATCAATGCTCGACGCATCATCAGCGACGATATTACTTGTATCACGCTAAGTACCCCGGTATCGCTGGTACCTCGCAGAATCTGGTGGCCTAGTGTTGCTTCCCCAGTGACCTACGTGCGTCTCGCGCAGAAAAGACCTGATATGCTCGCGTCTTGTCTACGAGCATGTATTGTCGCTGATTACGAAGATGCGTGGGATGAAATCCTGATCGGGTCATCCGATGGCCCGAATGATTTCCAAAGTCACTCGACTTTCCGAAGTCGTCACATCGCAGATCTATGCCGAGGCTAAAGATTCATCCAATCCGCACTACCTCGGCGACATAAATTCGCTTGGAACAGCCAGGGTGGAGAAGGTTGAAGCCGATATGTACTACTTGGATGACATGCGTACTGCGAGATGGATGTATTCGCCGCGCTCGACTGCCCAGAGAGTTGTAATCAAAAACAAGCCCTTCGCGTTGACAACGGGGAGAGGGGCTCGGATGGAATTCCGAGAGAGCCGAGTAATCTGGGATTCACAATTTTTGGCATGGATGCAATTGGCTTGGATAATAAGACATGGGAGCAGGAAAGTTTCATTGATGTCGAAGATATGTACAACATCCTTGATGCCAGAGACCTTTCAACATAGTATATAAAATATAGCAACGGCTTCAGCCAACCCCTCCTAATAGCTTCTCATTATTTTCATGTCTATTAAGATACACAGATTATTGCAGGTTGTGAAACCCTTCTTGTTGGGGCATACACCTCCCAACATCCTGAATTTCGCCCTCTGGATCTCTTCGATATTAGCCGCATGATTATCGTCCTTCGACGTATCATCAGATCCTGATGCTTTGAGTGGCCCCATCTCTGTAAGACTTGTAGTAGTTGGTAAAAGGTTAGGTTAAAATGGTTTAAACCGGCAGAACCGGCAGAAGTCAAAAGGCGGTATATAAAGCGGTATATCTCAGGAGAAAGAAAAGGTTTAGCCCAAAATAGGTCCCACTGTATGTGCTAACTCCATGTGGAAATTTTTTAACCGGCAGAGTAGCCGTCGCCATAATCTGGGGGTGTCCCGGGCCGGGAGATGGGCCGGGGTGCGTCGAGTCATTGTACAAATGCAGGTATCTTTTGTATGACTTAACCATAGAAAAGACACCTGCATACGTCATAGGCAAAGTATGTTGCTGTTTACAACCTTTACTGCATGTATCTTCTTTAATCCTCTTGTTATTGCAGCACGGATTATGTGGCAATTTCGATTCTAAGCTAATTCAAGACACTTCTTCTCAATTCTATATTATAACAGTTCTATCTATAGAGGTACGGTGTAAGTGGAAAATGTTGGGAATAATTTGCCATCCAATCATGTGACGGTTCCAGAAGGCGTGCTTGTTTGTTGGGTTTGTTCCGGTCACCTGAAAAATCACCTGAGATACCAGAAACGACCAGAATGCGGGGAACATTCGGGCCGAGCAGCCAATTGGATAATAATGCCTCAAGCGTGCTGTGGCAATGACTTCATTGCCTGCAATTTCTGCCATTCCTCTAAATAGAATAACCTATTAGGGAAAAGGAAACGTAAATGTTTCCAGGGGTCACTTGATCCATTTGCGTGATATTACCTAAAAATTCGCTTTGCGTTGGGGATATGCTAACTCGATTCGGCCATGCCTTACGTTTGATGATCAAATCTGAGTCTAGAATCTCATCTTTTTACGTGATTTCACAAGGATCGCCAAGGGATTCCATCAAATTTTTGATCCCATGCTTGCAACACAAGTTGAGGTTGGACCGGATGGCGTTATAATGATCTACCCGTGGAACTCCCCCGCAAAATCTTGGGTTTATAAAAGGGATAAGTATTCCCCGGACTTGAGAGCCAACAGTACAATTCAATTCCAAGCTTTTTATCCCGCTTTACTTCCTCGGGTACCTTATTCCAAACTACATTTCCATATGTGAGTGCTACAAGTATACCTCCCTACACCGGACAGTTACTTATACAAACCTTAGTCAATGATCCAGGGTCAACCGTCCTTCACAATGACTATCCAATTCGAGCGCTCATCAAAGGGCTGGAAGTGCGAACAATGCGGACTCCCCGGAGTGCGTCTATCCACAAACTCAGGCTCAGCATACTACAAATGTGTCCCATGCAATCGCTCCTTGGGCCCTTGCCCTTGCACCACACCAGGAGCCAGAACCACCTCGACGTGTCCGTGTGCTGAAAGCGATGCCGAGTCATCAGGGGAGGATGAGGTGCCTCGCGGTCTCTCCATGCTTTCTTCGAAGAAGCAACCATTCAACCCACACAACCCGAACCCAGGGTTCGAGGAGGATTGGGAGGCCAATTGCTCTCCGGGCTTCATGGTCTCGAGATTCAAGGCTCAAGGCCGGGAATTGCTTATGTGGCCTTGAAAATCATGCATTTTGGGATTTTGGGAATAGCGAGCATTGTTTAATTTACCAAGTGTTTACACTCGATCGTTGCCTTTCAAGGCGACGCTAGGATTCTCTCGAGTAAAAAGTCCATACATATCACTAATAAGTTTTGAGATTACAATGAAGAACCTTTGGGTATCTACCTATCAACAGAGATCCACGAATATAGGCATAGACTAATAAAAGTTAACGTAATCCATTAACTATCTACTACGACTTTGACGCGACTTGTGGGGGTAAATGAATCTTATATTCGTATTGTACACTGGTTATCCATCAGCAGTGTTGTCGCCTTGTTCCACAGATACTGTTGGGGTTATAGGCACATCGACGCATTCGACTTGAATAACATGATGCTCAATCTCCTTGTTGGAAACCCCAATCACAACCGCACTTAATTGATGCCCGTATAAACACCCTGAGTCCAGCCCAATTGCATACTTGCCTCGCTGCAAACGACGCTTCGCATCGTGTCCAAATATCACCGTTGTCTTGGATGCTAGCCTATCCTGCCACCGGTCCCATTCAATGACCCAGCTTTCTTCTCCGGGAACTTCAGCTGGCATGAATTTATCATCATCACCCGATGCACAGACGAGGCTCCGCATATGCATTATAGCATGTGGATCCTGCTCTTCAAGTGAGATACCAGGAACGAGACCCGCATGTACGACAATTAATGTGTCGCCGAGGGAGGATATTGGGACATGAGGTAGCTTGACACGCAAGATCAAAGGCAAAGCAGCAAGCCAGTCGAGCTGGTGCTTCGCAAGTACCGATGCCGTAGTCTGCGATGTAGAACTGCCGGTGCTTGTAGCAGGGCCGCTTTTATCGGGAATCTCGGCATCTCGAGCATTATCCCCGGGTAGGTCGGCTTCGGGATTCTCAGCTACGGCCGAACTGCCACTCAAGCTTTCGGGATGTAGTGGACTATCCTTAGTGGTGTTGATCCCCGCGGCCGAATTAAGAACGGCATTTTCGTGGTTGCCTCTCACAGCGCTGGCGCCTAGCTTCATAGCCAGATCAATGACGCCAGCGCTCTCGGGTCCTTTATTGACTAGGTCACCAACTAGTATAAGATGATCTCCTTTGTTTTTGTCGAAGCTGACTTTGTCTAGGAGGGCCTCGAGGGACTTTCTCATCCCGTGTACATCGCCTACAACGACCAAGCGTCCACTGACACGGCCATTTTCGGATGATGATGGGAAGGGAATGTGGTTGGTTGGTAGGTCTGAGATGAAAGTGGTGATTGGAAATATCTTGTCGGAAGATATTGTAGGCATCTTTTAGACTTGAAGTATGTACATACGTTTAGCTGGGAGAAACCTTGGAAGGACGTGATGCGGCTAAGCTGGGTTGCCGGCCGTTATAGAGTAACCAAATGCAGACTAGCGTGTTTCTGGTTCGGGCCGTCATGTGGCATCCGATGTGTGTAGCCCAAGAGTTCCGAGGCCTCGGCTCTATATTTCTGCTTCCTTATTTGACTATGTTTTATCTTACATTCCATTCCTTTTTTTCCCTTCCTAACTTCCGTAACCACATCATTCTGTTTTGGCAGGCTGCTTTCGATACTGTTTGTAGTTTCGGGATACAGCAGCTGAATGTCTTACCCGCACCGCCGCTTACGTTAGTCAATGATTCATCCATGTGCTATGTATTTACTTATCTAAGTAAGGATAAAAGCACGCCGACCACGACAGTCGAGAACGCATATGGTCACTTACGTTGATTCAACTAGGAGTCGGATGATGGATATCCAAATAAATGCACGCACCCCTGGGCGAAAGTGGTACATTACGGCAGAGAGTGTATAGGCCCAGAAAAAGGCGTTTGTAGGAGGACCATGCTGGGAGAAAGTACGGATAAGTACGGATGTGAGGTGTATAATGACCAAGGGTCTAGTTTACAGGGGTAGGATGCACGTTAGATGAGTCTGACTTGAAATGAATATGCGGTGCAAACGGACACATGGGTGTAGTCGAGAATACAGATTTACATGCCGGATTTTGTTAGACTTTACACTTATTTTCAGTATTCTATGCTCTATTGTTTATGCACAGAATGTCAGCGATTAACATAGAAAGAGGGTGGCTACGAATAAACCCTGAAAAGAGACCACAGAAGATTTCTCAGGTGGGAGCTGTCTAGAATGCCCTTCTGTGTTAAAGGTAAGCGCCGTGAGCAATGTGCCAAGGCGAGTCGGAGATAATTCTTATCTGTTTTGAGTACTTTGAGTCTCTTAGAGGGCCAAAGTGGCCAGACGCCATGTGGCCAAGGGGTATAATTGGCCCAACCCTATCGAGGCATGACGCTAATGCCGTTGAGATTGGCTATTTTGCACGATTTCTTAAGGTCGCACAGATTGTTTCAAGAATTGACAATTCTCCGAGATGCATGGTTCCATTTCAAATTCACGTTCTATCTAACGTTGAAATTGAGGATATGTTAAGTTGACATGTTGCTTTATGGATGTCAACTTGTATCTAACTAATTAATATGAAAACTACCGGACCCTCCGATTGGAACATACTGGCACCAAAGAATTACATCTTGGACAAATGATTCAAGTAAGATTGCATCCCTTCATCTAAAGAGAATATCCGCAAATCAACGGGCTCCATCTACCGCGAGGCGTGTCTTGGCAGTCGTTTCATCTTTCCCATATTCTTCCGGACCGATCCTGTTCAATTTAGTCTACCATTTGCTTGACTTCTATTGGTCCGATCTAGGACGTAATGGGGTTTCCATTTTGCTTGGCTTCATTTACCGTCCGCTAGTGGTTCGGTCATCCTGAGCGATCTCCAGCCTTATACCTACAATTCAATATGTGGAAATTTGAAACAGCTCGATGCAGGCTATACTCCAAATGCTTCTGACCGGTATCTCTACGACTATAAGTACTAGGCATCTACTCATTATGTCCCCCATTCTATATTCCCTATCCTTCAGTCTCTCCTTTCCCTGACACTTGCTGGATTCAAGTTGTCTATCCGTTCCTTTCCACACAATTCACTTCTTACACTCCTTTCAACTTAAACCTTTTACCAAAATGATGGAATTTCCCCAAACTTCAGGCTGGCAGGTCCTACCGACTAAGGGAAAGCTGGTAGTATCCTGCGTTCTGGGCCTCTTCTTCCTCGCCATCGGGATGGACCTCCGAGCTGAACTCGGAGCTGGACACGACCAGAAGAAGAACTTCAAACGCGACATCACCAGCACGGACGATGCCATCTGGCAACCATCAGCGGGAGTCAAATGGCAAATCCAACTCATTGACGCCGTCGAAGACACCACCGCCGACGCCGACATCTGGGACATCGACCTCTTCGACAACACCGCCGAGACAATCACAACTCTCCAGGCCAAAGGCCACAAAGTCATCTGCTATTTCTCTGCTGGCACGTACGAAGACTGGCGCCCGGACACCAGCAAGTTCGACACGGCAGACTTCGGCAGCAACCTCGATGAATGGCCAGGCGAGCGCTGGCTAAATATCAAATCGAGCAGTGTTCGCGCGATCATGAGCTCGCGGCTGGATATGGCGCAGCAGAAGGGCTGCGATGGTGTTGACCCGGATAATATTGATGCGTATGGGAATGAGAATGGGCTTGGGTTGACGGAGGCTGACTCGGTTGATTTTTTGACTTTCCTGGCGTCCGAGGCGCACTCCCGTGGCATGTCAATCGGGTTGAAGAATGGTGGTGATATTATTGGTTCTGTGATCGATAAAATGCAGTGGTCGGTCAATGAGCAGTGTGCGGAGTATAACGAGTGTGAGGTCTATGCTGCCTTCACTGAAGTCAATAAGCCTGTTTTCCATATTGAGTATTCTGCGGAGACTATTGCGTCTGATACCTCTGATGGTACTTCTGACTCGGCCACTGAGACTACCACTGACGATGCTACTGCCACTGCCACTGTTGCTGCTATTCCTGTTTCTACTTCTGCTGCCACTGCAACTAGCACAGAGGCGGATGTCACCAAGGCTGGCAGCGTCGATAGTGCCGCGGATGCTGACACTGACGTCGATGCTGACGATGAGGAGGATGCTGACAATGAGGAGGATGCTGACGATGAGGAGGATGCTGACGATGAGGAGGATGCTGACGATGAGGAGGATGCTGACGATGAGGAGGATGCTGACGATGAGGATGCTGAGGACGAGGAGGACGAGGAGGAGGAAGCCAACGCCGCTACCACCAAGCAGCAAAAGCACCGATACGGTCACGGTCACCACAAGCTCCGAGCCAGAGCCGTTCTCTCTTCCAAGCTGAAGACATCAGCCTGCAACGCAGCCAACGCCGACAAGTTCTCGACTGTGATCAAGAACATGAACCTCGATGCCTGGGTTGAATATTGCTAGATCAATCCATTGCTGTATCGGTTCGTATGGCAATGGCTCAATTTTCACGTCTGCTGGAGTTCCGGAGGAATGACTGTCGCTACCGTATACGGTTTGAAGGGAGAGCACAGAAAATATGTAAGAAATAACTATATTACAATATAGGAAATACCCTTGTCTTCGTGATTAGAACCAAGTACACGTAAATTTTGGCAGTGGCGTTGTTCTACACTGTGAACAGCGATGCATACCTGAGGTCATCTTGCTACTCAACTCATCGTATACAAAAGACAAAGGATTCGGAAGATGCATTTTTAACCAGGGACGCTAATTTTTTATTTTATTTTTCTCCTATCTTCTCAACTGCAAATTTACCTTGTTAACGGAAAAGACCAGTGACATGAAATAGGTAGTAACCCCGTCGCCAGAACACCATCCCCCCCTAGACACAGAAATCCTCTGAAACCATGAACTTCTCGTCCCTAGCCTTTCTTCCCTTTGCAATCACAGTAGCATCCTGGACCTCACACCCCCTCAGCACCGATTCACGACCAATCTGAGCTCGTCGACCGATCACGCATCCGGTCAATTCAGCCCTAGTCTCAACGACAACGCCCTCCATCAAAACACAACGCATGATACGGGCAGCGCCAGCAATATGGCAGTTTGCACCAATCACGCTCTCCTTGATAACAGCACCCGCTGCAACAATCACATTCTCGCCAAGGAGACAATCCTTCTTTGTAACAGTGCTAGGCGAAGTCACGCCCTCGGGGTAGGCAACTTTATGGGCGTGTGCAAAAGGGGACGCATCCTTGCGGCCGACTTCCTCAATGGATGGCAGTTTAGCCAGGAGAAGGGAGGTTGAAAGAAGGACACCTGTGTTGTCGACTCGTCGGATGAACGGGGTCGATTCTCGGTGGACGTAGGCTAGCATGTGCGGCATTTCAATAGATTGATAAAACTGCTCCGGCTGCATATTGGAAGAGTGGCTTCTGGTCGTGCTCATGTCCCTGAGGTCGATTATTTTGTCGACGAATGCACCAGTGTGAATTTCGGGTGTGAACAATTCACTCTCCTGGGCGGGAGTCGTGTCTTGGTTGAAGTTCTTGGTCAGACCTAGCTTGTCGCCGAGACCTTTCTGCCATGCTGACTTGGCCCAGTTGCCGACGAAGTCCTCGCTAATGGATTCCAGTTTGCGTTGCTGGTGGACTAGATGTTTAACCCAGTAGGGGAAGACGTAGACGTGGGCATCACGGAAGGTGGTGAGAACCCTGATACGCGGACAATTCTCGACGAGGGAATGGCGAACGAGCAGGCTTTTGTCTTGTTTTATCTTTTCCTTGATTGTGGTCATCGGCATTGACATGAGGAGTTTGGATAGACTGAATCGTGGGATTGTCGGTCCCTCGGGGCCGTGGATAACTGGTGCTTCGTTCTGCTGGAGAGGTGCGATGGCTATGAAATCAGTTGCTTCCTCCGGGACGCTCTCCTCTCGATTGTCTGTCCGGTAATACACAGCGAGACCGCCGGACCGAGTTTGCAGCTGACGATCGAAGTAGGAAGTAGTTGGAGGGGATGCATGGTGACCCGCTTTAGAATCGCTGCCATCGTCGACATACTGATTGGCAATCCACGCCTCGAGGATTAACTCTCTGGGGATTTTACAAATGAGGTCACAGGGAAGAAGGAGGAAATTTTTGGTGATACATTTCTGCACTTCCGGGAGGCGGAGGAGCTCGGCGGTTCCCATTGTCATTTCGAGGTCCTTCGGGGCGACAACTGAGACTGAGGGTGAATAGAACGATGTAAGGTATGGGTTCTGGTCCAAGGCGGTCCGAAGGGGCTGGAAGGACAGTGGAGGGGTGATCAATGTGATATCTGGGATATAGTTAGCCAATTCGTTTCAATGGGACAAGGCAGTGAGAAGATTTGGACTCACCCATGACACCTGATCGTCTGCAAAAGTCAATGGCATAGAATACCATCGGTCTGTTTGCAACTTGAATGAGGCACTTTGGATACTCTTCGGGTCTGGAGGTGAATGTATTGAGTGAACCTCCAGGGCCACACAGGATGAGGGCCTGGAAGTCCATGGGACCTGCGTGTGGCATGGTTGGCAGAGTGGAGGTTGAAGCAAGTGAGATCAATAGGTCTGTAAGCTGTAGCTTGCTTTGAATGAGCTCTTAAGTACGTGTGAGATGGAAAGGTTGTTGAGAATTTTGGGGAGGAGAGATGTGTTGAAAGGAAGAGCTGGGAACAGCTATGCCAGGCAGTAAGTCACGTAGTTGAGACAGGTCACGAGAGAGTCTGAAGTTGTTTGCTTTGAAGTTCAAGTCCCTGCGTTCACAATGTTTGACTACGTTCACCTTTTGTTGGCCTCAGGATACCTGGTTTCAAGCAGACACCATAAAGGACTGGAATAAAGTAAATGATAAAGAGGGAAAGGAACAAACAATTATATGCGTTAGTTAAATAAATGCTGTGAATGGTAGATTCGTCTTCTTTCGTATAAGTGTTACCTGTCACACAACCAAGAATAAGGATTCTCTCCTAAATCATCAGGCATCATCTTCTATTCCAGCCTCTAATTCATTCTTTCGATCCTTCCGCCAGACAAGCCACCACGAAGCCAGAATGCCCGAGATAGCCGCGCACAGGAAACAGAGACAGATAACATATGACACTCGATACGTCGGTCCAAATACCGTACTGTACACATGAGGCCCAACAATGCCGCTAAACTGAGCCATGGCATTCGTCAGCCCAATGCCAATGCCCACGGCCACTGTACCCTCGAGCGCACGAATACGTTCTGGCCAGATGACAGGGTATGCAGAGCCGGCACAGGCAGTGGCTACAACCAAAGCGAGGTATTTGACGACGGAGTTTGGGACTGTAATTAGGATAATGTAACAGATGATTATTGTGCTTTCGACTGTTTTTGCTATCAGTGGGAACCTTATGTGCGATTGGGAGGATTTATGCTTACTCGCAACAGCGGTGGTCCAGGGTCTGATCCATCCTTTGTGTAGCAAATACCCGAGCGTATTCAAGAAGAAAAAGCATGCGACGTACGGAGGCTATTCGTTACGAGCCCGGTTAGCGATGTCTTGCGGATTATGTGTTTCCTTTGATTGAGCCCAACTCACAATATTCATCAGCTGTGATAAAGCGGTCGTAGTAAAACCAAGCTCGTAGATAACAGTAGGCAAAGCGTAATTCACTCCAAATCCGCCAATACCATGCCCGATCCAGTAGACAGTGAATGTGTACAGCGTTGGACTAGAAAGGAGGGCCTTTATATCCTGCCAGCTCCAGCTTTTGTCTTTGCCAGAAGGAGCCGAAGAGGATAGACGGCCCTTGAGAAAGTTTCTCTCCTCTTCCGTCAACATGCGGGCGGTCTCCGGGTAATCTGGAAGACCGAATAATGCTACCACTGATAGCACAATTGCCGGAAGACCTTCGATGATAAACAGCCATCGCCAGCCTGATAACCCACCGGCTCCATCCATAAAGCTTATGGCGTATGCCAGCAGCCCACTCAATGCGCCAGACACCTGACCAAGAGAGTAGAAGAGAGCTATTCTCCAACGCAGCTCAGACGGCTTGTACCAAAATGCCATATGGTAGAGCACAGAAGGGTAGAACCCGGCTTCAGCCATTCCAATCGCAAACCGTACACACATCATCCCTGGAAAGTCCTGTGCAGCACCGGCAGCGCAGGCACAGATACCCCAGGACAAAATCAGGACGAACATCCATCTCGAGGGCGTGATTCTCTTGAGGAGGATGGTGTTCGTGGGCTCAAAAATGAGGTAGCTGTATGAGAAGATGGACTGTGTCCAGGCCCATTGGGAGGAGTTGAAATTCAGCTCTTTCTTTATTCCAGTGCCAGCTTCTAGGTTGATGATGGCGGCATTGGAGTAGTTATTCGAATCAATGACTCGGAAGATGTACACAATCGAGTAAAAGCCAACGAGCCAGAAATCTATCTTCCGCATCACCTTTTCCTCAAGCTTGGCGTTGTATTCGCTTTTTGAATCCTTTCGATTGATCTCATCGGCGGAGTTGAAGGTATACTGGAAGTACTTACTTCCAGTTCGTCGCGCTTATCCAACCCCATGTTGTCGATTTTCGAGGTCCGTTCGGTGCAGGATGAATTCCTTGGTACAACTTCACCACATTCAATAAGCAAAATTCCACCTCGTTTTCTCGAAATACCTTGATTCTTAAGTATTACTTGGACCCCTCCATCCTTGGCGGCGCGGGCTGTTAGGGCAAGTTGCCATGATAGTTTGGATCACGACATATCCCCGCCAACTATGCGTATTGTGGGAACGTCTATCAACTTGCTTGATTGAACCTTCATTGCTCATTATTCCTTCAGATTGCGGAATACATAGTCTAGAAAGCCATAATGACGGAGAATCAACGAATGACATACCGAATCTGGGAATACGAGAATGCCTCGATCTGGTCGTGACTTGGGCGTGTTAGTCAGAGTAACTCAGCGGTGGGGATCTATGAAAAGATGGCTTAGCAGTATAGTTATTCCTGGTAAGGACAACTTACCTATGCATGGGATCATGCCCCACGGTTCTTCCCCTGGGCACTGTGTTGGGCGCTTGCACTGGGTACGGCAGCGTATAGCCGCCAGTGCGCCATGTGGTATTTTTCTATATCAAAAGTTTTGACTGTGATACCGCTAGTTTACAGTTACCTACAAATTGAGGTCTAATGATTAATTCCTACAATATCAACTTCTATAGGGTCAATTTCTACAATATCCCAATTCCTATAATACGAATAATTGGCCGCTTACACGGCTATAGTCTTCTTAGTGTCTTCTTAAGTAGTCTTCTCCGAAAGTCTTTTTATATATCTTTTTAGTGGTCTTTTTAGTGGTCTTTTTAGTGGTCTTTTTAGTGGTCTTTTTAGTGGTCTTTTTAGTGGTCTTTTTAGTGGTCTTTTTAGTGGTCTTTTTAGTGGTCTTTTTAGTGGTCTTTTTAGTGGTCTTTTTAGTGGTCTTTTTAGTGGTCTTTTTAGTGGTCTTTTTAGTGGTCTTTTTAGTGGTCTCCTTAGGTAGTCTCTCTAGATATCTAGTTGTATAAGTATCTTGTCTCCCTCGTTAGTTTATTTCGTAGATAGTAGAAAGGGGCTAAAAAGGCATAATTTATAAAAGGGAACTTTCCTATATATAACCTTTGATATCTCAATCTCTACAATATCTCAATTTCTATAGTGTCAATTTCTATCAATTTCTATGGTTAATAAAATACAAGTATACTAGTTTAATGAAATGTTCTGCTAGCAAAATACGATATGGCGCAGTGGCGGCTATACACTGCCGTAAGGGTGGGCACTTGCACTGTCTATATAAACGATGACATGCTCTAGTCTTTCAGGCACGTTCCCACACATCGAAACGGGGACATAATTCACAGTCTTATTGTTCTATCGTACTAAGTCAGAGTTTCACTATGACTGTGACTTAACCCTATTTACGGCACGATAATGCCGTTGCATATAACGCCATCCTCAGCGAGCATGGTACCATAAACCCCGCAGTTTGGCACATAGTACTCACAACAAGAAGTACATTGTAGATCCCGGGTTTTATCTTGGATCAGGTATTTAAGTCCGGTCTTCTCGCCTAGAATATCTTCTTAGTTCATCGCTGTTGCAGTATATCCTAAACCAAACATGGCTCCATCCGCTATAGAAGAACAAATCCCAATCGAAAAGACGACCATTAAACCGTGGATCCGACCTGCGCCTACTAACGAAAAGCTTGATTGGGCGCCGCTAGTCGAGATCGATCTTTCTCGCTTCGACGAACCCGGCGGAAAAGAAGAGCTTGCAAAGCAGTTATACGATGCTGTGACACGAGTCGGGTTCTGGGTAGTGGTCGGACATGGAGTCGATGACGAGCGAATCCTACGCCAATTCAGCATCGGAAATGCGTTTTTCAAAGAGAACATCGAGGAAAAGCGAAGCTTCGAATGCAATTTTGCCGAAGGCGAGTATTTTGGCTACCGTGAAAACTCCAGGTGGATTGGAGACACGGGCGTGAAAGACAATATAGAAATGGTACAAACATATCCATCTACAAAACAGATTGACTCTAGCTAACTTGTGCAGCTCAATATCCCCAAAGCCATTCCTGAATGGGATGATGTTCCTAAACACAGAATCATCCGCCAGAACTACGACGAGATCTCCAGCTTCCATCGAGACCTCTTCGACAAAGTCATCCGGAAACTGTTTGTCTTGATAGCCATTATCCTGGAATTACCGGAAGACCACCTAGTCCAAGCCCACGCTTATGACAAGCGTTCCGATGACCACTTGCGCTACATGGTCTATAACACGCGCACTCAAGAGGAATGGGACAGGGCACAGGCGTATACCAAGGGCGGTCACACAGACTTTGGTAGCTTGACGCTGCTCTTCTCGCAGAATGTCGCTGGCTTGCAGATCCGGGCTCCGGATGGGGAATGGAAATACGTGAAGCCTGTTGAAGGTGGGATTACGTGCAATGTTGCTGATACGTTATCGTTTCTTACCAATGGCAAGTACTCACTTCAGTTATTCAGAAGCCTTTAGCTAATGTATAATGACAGGCCTTCTGAAATCGACGATTCATCGTGTCGTTACTCCTCCTAGGGATCAGATCCATATCCCTCGGCTTGGGTTGCTCTACTTCTGTAGACCAGGTGATGATACCGTGATGAGAACTGTGCCCTCACCTTTGCTTGAGCGTCTTGGTCTTCTAACTGAAGAAGACAAAAGCCAAAGTAACCCTGCACCCACGGGGACTGAGTACGTTCGAGCTCGGGTTCGAGATGTTCATCATAAGACTGTGATCGATCGCCGGGAGAACACTTCGTTTGAGTTCAAAGGACTGAAAGTGCCAAACTATTATCAGTGATAGACTGGCCTCTGATAATGGTGAGGTGGTGATAGTATCAGGAGTCGAGAAGCAACTAAAAGGTGCAGCTGGTGATCGGTTTTTGTTCCTTCTTCACCTATGCATCACGTTCTCAATATCATACGCGACATCATCTTCAAAGAAACTCACGTGGCCTCGACAATTTGTACAGGTGATATGAGCATATCACATAGGGTAAAATATTACTGCCTTCTCGCCTGAGGCAGATGATTCCAACTCAGCCACAGCCCCGCAGTGAGTCATGTATAGAACTGTAAGAACCTCAAAAAAACTTCGAGAGTAAAGTATATGTGTAGAATGGTGGGGAACACAGGGTGTTGGTGGGTATGATCGTCGCAGCTTGACTAACGTGGGGTAGCCTCATGACTAGACTGTCTAGCAATTATGCTTGATGAAATACTACTATGTCTCAGTGTGCAAGACTTATCTATTCTATAATTATTTTCTTGGAATATGGTTGGTTTTTCCAGTAAAAAAAAGACATTCAATATTTCGTAACGCGTTCAAAGTATCTAGGTAATTCCAAGAGTGGCCGTCAAAAGAGTGTGAGGCTGACAGCCTTGTCCCAAAAGGGCGCATTTCAATATCAAAGACAAAGGAAAATTGGCAAATCAAAACCATCGAGACAAGCTTCTCCACATGAAAAATGAGTCACAGTAACAACAGCCAATAAAGCATGCAGTAAAAGGGAGAAAAAGACATGCATAAACACAGCGACTTTCCGCATCTGTCATTGGCCAATGTCCCCACACCTGCATCCTCCATCGGGGAGAACACCAGTAATGGAGCTTGGCCAAGCCTGCAGATTCTTGCGTACAATCAAAGCAATTGCTCGAGTCACAATCAGGTCGGGGTCCGAGACTGGGAAATCCCGCAAGTCCAGAACCCCGAAGTGCACTCGGGTCAAAGATCAAAGCTGGAAAACAGAAAAGTGAATTTCCGAGGGCGCATCCAGGCAGGCCCTATCAATCCAGATCATCAAAGACTAGGGTATGGGAAGGGGGTATGTCGATAATGTGCTAATTCCACATTACCGGCAAAGACCGTCTTGCGGTCAAAGGGGGGTGGGCAATCAATGCCCATCGCGAGTGAATTGGAGCTTCTTCAAAGCGATTGGGGTGGGTTGGGTGTATGGTCATAATCAGATAAACCAGAGTCGAAATACATTGCCAGGTACGTTGCCGAGTACGTTGCCAGGTGTACGTTCAACGGTGCTTGGGGGAGACCTCGACGTATCGGCGAGGAGTCTCGTAGTGCCGCTCCACTCGCTCCTGTCGGTCGACGCTGTACAATGAGCCCCGGCTGGAGGATGGACGGCTAGGAGAGCCACCGGGCGAGCGGTACATGATGGAAGTAGGCGAGCGAGAAAGGCGAGGGGCCCTCTCAATGAGCTGGTAAGCCTCGGGAGACATGGAGCGAGGACGAGTCTGCTTGCCGCTGACTCGGCGAGCTGGGACGGGGTAGGTCCGGTCGTAGCTGGTGGACTGGGTAGACTGGACGGGTTGGACGGGCTTCTGGACGACAACGGCCTTCTCGCGGATGCGCAGGCCTTGCTCAAGCGCTGTGAAAAGCTCGCGGGAGGCGAAGGCATCCCGGGGGAGCTTCACCCGTGTCGACTTGCCGCTCTCCAAGTCCACAGTAGAGAAGTGCTTGCCGTTTTGGCTGAAGATGTAGTTGCGGAGAGTGCGGGCGCGGGTGTTGCCCGACTCGCACAGTGCAAGGCCATCCTTGTATGTCTGGACAGCGTGGGAGCAGAAGCGGCAGCGGCTGGCATGACGCTCAAAGTCGTCGACCACCAACTTCTCGTCGTCGTAGAGGTCACGCACGACGGCGAGAGGATCTATTATATCGATGGGGGCAGGCATTGTGTTGGTTCGGCGTAGTCCAAGCAGACGTCGTGTCAGACTAAGACGGCGAGGAGGTCTCTCTCTCGAAGTTAAGTGAGTGGTGGGGTCAACAGTGTAAGAGGTCGAGCGGTAGGGCGACACCGTGACTGATTTATGGGGGGTCACGCGAAGATGGTATATGATCACTGTATGTAGATGATCGGATGTGAAACCCAAGTGTGACAATGGATAGATGTAAAATGTCAAGTGTATGTCAAATGTATGTAGATTGAAGAAGATATTCTGAGAAAAGGGAGGGGCACTCGACAGTTATATATACTATGTGGGCGTTATGCAGGTTCTATAGATGGCGCCTCTGGAGCCTGGAGGGTCTGGTGTCCAGTGGGGCCTTAGGGATCTGCAGTACCTCCATAGTACTTAGCGCATGACGCTAAACACACGGGAAATCCAGGTACTATTCTTGTCACCTTTTATCTTGTATAGTCTGTGGCTAGTGAGGCTGTGCTTTGGCTTCAAAGACCGCCATATTCGCGCTTGTCGTTCCCCTGATTGGCCCAAATCCCCCGTTTGACGGTCAACTTGACCATGCACGTCTTCAAGCTATTTCCCACTATAATCCCTTTTGGTCCCCCGACTCTATCTCCCAAATTATTATTATTATTTTGTAGCCTTATTCCTATGACATCAACCGTCTTACTCGGTAAACTCGTTTTATTACGCATGTCATTCACCTGTTTAGTATCGTGTGGCTTATGTTTCTCGTGTTCCTGCGCCATGACAAGGGTCCCGTGTTCCCCCCTGAGAACAGGCCTCAGGTTCGCGTCATTTGCAACCCTTTTGACTTGACACTCAGAAATAGAATCTTAAGATTCAACCAGAGCCAATACACCTTGAAGGAGGTGTTTGATCGCAGGGTTCCTACCCACCCCCTTCCCCACGCTCATAGGCTCCCGCAACCGCCGCATTGCAGTGAGCGCCTACCGAGACAACTCTGGAACTCCCAAAACCACCTCGCTGGGACATCGAGCGATGTTCTGTTGTTCCATAATTGGAGATCCTCGAGCGTTTCAAATCATCTAAGAATAGTGCGCTAGCTCGGATTTTTCATTTTGGACCCCAACATTGCGGGTTCGTATCAGCCTCAACTACCCCTCTCACCGGCAAGCCACAAGGTAAACAATAGCTCTCGTCCAGTGCTTTTTTCACTCTATCCCGAATGAGGATGACTGCTCAGCCTCAGCCACAATGTTCACTATCTCGGATTCATGATTCGATACACCAGCCACTGATGTCTTCTTTCTCGGAAACTGCTTACTCGCAATTTCCCCTTGTCGCTGCGCCGCCGGCACTCAAGCCAAGGGTCCCGATTAGATCACCTTGTTTCGATCTCGTTCTATGTCTTTCAATTAACGTCGCTTGACGCGCACGTCAGGCTACAATTCTTCAATACATTTCGCTACCTCCCCAGGCACCAGGACGCCACATTGTTTATACTAAGGGGCCCGAGCCTCCCATTGCGCGCGACAACCTCGAAAAGACAGGTTGTTATTTTTGCAGCGTACTGTTTCATCACACGCCGACGGACTGTTTATTCATGGATCGTCATTGTATACCCCTCATGCCAACATATACCCCTCGAGCCATTCATTGTCCTATACTAACCGCCGACCAATTCATGGCCCAGCTAACCCTACTGCGATGCCAATATCAATTATATTACGGCAATGCCTCTCAACAGCCCAGCCGGGCTAGCTCAATCGGTAGAGCGTAAGACTCTTAATCTTAAGGCTGCGGGTTCGACCCCCGCGTTCGGCTATTCCTACAAACAAAACTTGAGATTTCTTTTTTTTTTTCGCAGTTGAAAATTCTGCTTGAGCCTCCCCAGCTCATACTCGAAGCTGACTGGCTGCTGTAGCCATTGGGATCCACTAGTGGGTCGGACAGATGCTTAAGAACTGCCTGACAGGCAAATCAGAAGACAATGTTTTTGCCTGCATGGATATCCTATGCATGAACAAACAAATTGTACGTTACTAAATCTCAGGCAGTCATGCAGGAAAACTCTTCACCATGTATGACTAGCAAGGTAAAGTCCTGGCCATTTGTGGCTTGACTAGGCCCGAGCGCAAGGCAGAGAACGCCTTGTGCAGATAAGGGCTTGACAAGGTTTGTCCTTCAGCTGGACATGGATCATTGGATATTATACTCCGTAGTGTATGTATGCACTGACTTCACCTTTCCGGGAAGTAGACACGCTATGGTTCCATGATTCCTCATCGTCTCGGGCTTTGGCTTGACAACCTGCAAGAAAGTTGCCAAGATATATATTCCTTAGCTGAACACTGCATAAAGTGGCTGCACCATCGGGCCGGTTTTATATCGTAATCCTTAATCTACTCACATATACTTCCTGATTCTGATCCATCTAGACAGAGCATGTCCACTGTTTACCCCGACTTTGGAAGATCCAGGGAGGAGTACAGATCTAGTCCAAGTCTATCATATCCCACCCCAGCATGGCAGCCTATTAACGGACTACAACCCCGCGTTGAGAAAAAGACGTCGACAATATTTGCCACCTAGGCTGATTTCAACAGCCTGACAGCTTGTTTCAAGGTTCGCTACCCCTCAATCTAGTTCTTCTGCCTTGGGTATCGCTCTGTACTCCGTAGTAGAACCAGTATTCGAGTGATCCACGTTGAATCTTCCAGGGCTTTCTCTCCCTTCATTTCCCCTCTTTCAGCTGCCATGGTAGCCTGATCAAAAGGAATTAGGTATTATGGTGCGAATCATATCACTACTAGGGAAGGGGATATGATCCACTATGTGAACGGCAACCTTGTATATCTGACAATGGACGCCAATTTGGATATTAATGTGTAATAAGTACTGCGGGGGCGCTATACCTGCTTCCCTTTGATATGCCACAAATACCGGCGAGGTTAACCATATACTAAAGGCAAGAACCTCCAAGGTTATGTCCATGGCTGGTATGAAAAGACGTCGGGTCATTTAGAGGTTATGCGGCCCCTGTCTATTTGCTCCCAGACTATGTAGTCGTAGACCTAGGTAGTTTCTTCCCTCTATAGTTTACTAAGATATTCTCTAGACTAGTTCCTGGTGCAGTTGTATTATATTGACCGTTGAGGAGTATGGGGCTGGAACAGCACCCACACCTGCAAAAAGAAGTGGAAGCTACTCTCCCTCCGGATTGTAAAAGAAAGCAAGCAGCAACAGTGCATCCAGATGACGTTATCAGATGTTGAATATAAGACTGTTTGATGATAGAAGACGTAAGTAGAAGATAGTAGAAAATGGACAAGGGAATCATGAGGTTCTCCAAAAATGCAGAAAGTGGAAAAGTGCGAGCTTTCATTATGTTTGCCCTCGCAACGTTTGATATAAAGTATGGAAACATTCTTCTTCTTCTTCTTTTTCTTCTTCTTCTTCTTCCTCCTTTTCCTTACATTCTACATCTTCCATATTCCATCCTATGGGGTTATCCTCTAACCACATCTTACAATCTTCTAAGCAACCTACGATTATGTAGGATTTCCTAGAAAAGCTCGAGGAAATGTCCCGCTCCCTCCATATTGACGATAGTCCGCTTTGGGGGAAGATAGCGAACTTGTCGATGAGACAAGAGCAATCACAGACCCCATCTGAGCTAAATGCATAGAAATGAAAAATGAGCGGCTAAACTGCCAACGAAGGCAGGCACAGACCTAATGCCATCAGGAATACCAAAAATATTTTCCCTCAAACTAGCCCGCCGCACCGATGATGAACTCGCTACCCCCATATTTTGGTATAGTCAATTTATTCATACTGTTTTATGTCTACATATGCTAACTAAAATAGGACGCTTCTAGCAGATTATATAATTGCCTTGCATCAAGCCGGTCACCCCCGAGTGAAACCCAGTTATCTCGAACCGATGTCGACATGTTGGCCACACTTGCAATGATGAAATGCGACTCGGTGTCCAAGTCCCGTCTTTCTACTGGATCTGTCCACTCTACCAACAACATGAACTGCATGCATTTTCAGTTCGAACGGATTGTCCAACGCCCATGGCACACCAAGGACAGAGAATGGCTACCTAGGTAGTTTCCGGCGTGGTGGATACTCGATCTGGTTTGGAACACCTGACAACCATGACATGGACCTAGTGATAGTCGAGGCGAAGAAAGCTGCGATATTACCTGGCGGCATGTTCCATTGCCTAGCATACATGGGTAAGTGAACCCGAGTTACACTTCGCATCCATGAATGCATGTACTGACCTAAATAGGAATGATCCACCATGCAAGGAAACATCGACGCAAAGATGGATGATGAATTCGTGTATGGCGTTGCCACGGATAGTTTCGAGTGGGTCTTCATCCATTTTCGAGCGAACAGCCAGGTATAATAAACGCGCGAAACGTACTAGAATGTCACTAATGAATTATCTAGTATATAAACCGGAGGTACAAATGGCACAACAATAGTGTCAAGATTGTTCCCCTTTTATACATGACCCTCGAGATTGCCGCAGGTTCTTCCATCCTATCGCCTAACGACCACGGTCAACTCAAAGAGCTCACGAAGGTCACTAAGAGCATATCGCCGATCTCGCGAGCGAAAGAAGATAGATCAGGAGATATCACGCATCCTGAACGCCAAAGAATCCACGATAGCCACCGGCCTGTATTACTACCTGTTTGGTCGAAACCAACCTCAGCGCAAGCGATGGCGTGGAGGTTCCAGCACTCATCCCACAACTAAGTCAGAGAAATCACCAAAGACGCCAAGGGTGGATTCCGGAGATTGGATTGTTGCTAGTAGCCCGGGCAGATAAATATCTATGTTTAACGAGAATAAAATTGAGTGATTAACTTTTATAGAATCAAAAATAATGGAGCTTGTACTATTTATCCATGGATAGGGAGTAGAATTAGATCGACTATTTAACGAAACTTGCACCTTTAATAGTTGACATGGATAGATCTAGCTATAGTATGACTAGTACCGTATACCTACATGTAGGTAGTTGGTTCCTGGAATATCCTCCAGGGCTACTAAAGGTGATCTCCATTGTCAAGTTTGTTCCTGGAGTCTTAGCCGCTGGCCAACCAACTGAGTTAGAATTGTGATGGAAACTTACTTAGGTACATTTACCACTGTCCGTGCCCCTTTCCACTTGTTGACGTGGCCAAAATTCTGGCTTTGTCTTTCCTTCTACTTTTGCTTTTCACCGGCATAAAATATTCTATACAATTCTTGATACACTGAAGGCGCAGTAATCTGCCCTACAACATGAACCCAACGAGTGACCAAGAAGCAACGAAGAACCAAGATGGGACGGTTCTTCATTCGTTGTCCGGTCGCACGGTTGTCCGACTCGGCGACAACCTCGTTGTGAAGTCGGGCCATATCCGCCCCCAGGAAGGGCCAACACTCCGTTTCATTGCAGAAAACACAACCATCCCTGTACCTAAACTTTATGATATCCGCTGTGAAGACGGCAAACCTGTCGCTCTTGTGATGGACTACATGCCTGGCAAGCGACTTGACGAAGCATGGGATACTTTGGACTCCAGTCAAAAGCTCTCCATTGCCGACGAGCTACATTCCTACGTGAACCAACTTCGCGAGCTGAAAGGCCATTATATTGGGGCTATTGAGGGCGGCCAAGCTATCATTGGACGCATTGCGTCACTTGAGGGAGGTCCATTTGATACCGAGCAGGAATTCAACGAATTTATCCTAGGAGATATGGTCAAGATAGCACCAGACTTGCTGCGACATTATTGCAAGTTTGCGCTCACGGATGACCACGAGATTGTATTCACGCATTCCGATCTCGCCCCGCGGAATATTCTTGTGGATGGCGGCCGGGTTACTGCTATTCTTGACTGGGAATATGCTGGCTGGTATCCAGCACATTGGGAATATTGTCAGGCTCTTCGACATCTGAGGCCGATGTTTGACTGGCCGGAATATCTGGCTCGTATCCTTCCGCCTAAATTTGAGCGGGAATACATAGGCATGTCTTTCTTAGCTCGTGTGCTGCGTCACTAGCTGATTGGTCACGTTGTGGATGATACTTATAATAGTCACCACATATGGCCATAAAACTTCCGATCTCCAATCGGCGTGAAACCAACAAGCTCTACCTTCCATCCTATAGCTCCTGCATTTTCCAAACTGTCACTAAGCCTCTCCATTAGGGTTCTGCCGCCGACTATAGGTCTACCATCCATGCTATATTTCCCAAGATGCCTATACTCAGCGCTCTCTGCATTCCGCCAGAAATGTTGCGACAACATCAACTGAGCTTCTTGACCATGCACGGATTCTGTGTGGGTGGCCCATATCTTTAAAGGAGGATCAAGTTGACGTCGCTTGTTGCGGTAGTGCTGACCGTTAATCCCGAGGGCCGGTTCGCGAATGGCTTTCAGCTTCAAAATTTGAACCTTTTGGGCTTCAGTCATCGGTATCGGAAAGTCCAGAACAATTGAACGTATGATTCTAGCAAGTGATGGAGCAAGAAGGACCTCTGGTAAAAGGTTTCAAGAGAGAATATATATATTATTCCTCTACTCTTTAGATTGTCCCGATAGAGCTGCGCGGAAGGCGAGACTATGAATTCCCTCATATCCGAGGTCCTCACTCATTCTTTGTAGTAGGCATTAGCGGGTTCAGTCTTAGTGCCCGTTTTACACACGACTCACCTGTTATCAGAAGAATCGTGTCCGGGCTCCCCTGGAGTCTTGTCCACCCAGACCCCTTGTGTCCCGGAGCCGAAATCAGTGGCTGGAAATGTCCAGCCCATTCAGTATCCAGCTCTAGATCTTTGGGGACTTTGAACTCTGTCCAGATAAGAATTGCTCGGTCATTGAGGTTGCCCACCGGTAACCTGTCAGCCGTAGGATCTGCCATGGCTGAAGGTTTGATGTAAACAGGATGTCGGAGTGTGGTCAATCCTACCACGAGTTAAAAACAAGGACCATTCAGAAAAGGTAAACAACAAAAGAGCAAAAAAGAAATCTCAAGTTTTTGTTTTAGGAATAGCCGAACGCGGGGGGTCGAACCCGCAGCCTTAAGATTAAGAGTCTTACGCTCTACCGATTGAGCTAGCCCGGCCGGGCTGTTGAAGGCGATCAGAAAAATTGCCTATTTATAGGATAAACTCGACTTAGGACAGTACTAGTCACTTAAGATTCAACTATTCAAAGCATCTTCTGTTGAGATGGCATATTCTATGTTAGTATTACATGGAGATAGGCCAGAATTATTCTGAACAGTCAACCCCCCCCCCCCCAAGGCTGAAGCCAATTCTCTGGCAGAGCGAAACGGAGTAATTATTCGGCAGTTGATAATAATAGTGAATATATGCTCTCTACTAGGTACCAGAACAGAAACAGGAATTGATCGGCGAGCGAGCTGCAGAGACAACATGCGGAGTTTCAATTGCGGGGAAATGATTCGAGGGGTTTGCCGACGAGGTGGGTTCGTCGCCTACTGGAAGAAAATGACGAGGTTTATAGTCCGATTTGTTCGGATATATAAACCCCGGGTGAATGGCCGGACTTGACGTTTACTGTTCGGAAACCATACTTTCATACTACTTCAAACATGCAAATACCAGGTACAACTATCTAAACAATATCAATTGTCATAGTACACATGCTCACCCATACAGAAAACAAAAACAATGACCTGGCCGACGTCATCAATCGCTACCGACCAGATCTAAAGCCGTTCGAAGACGTCTATCGCCACATACACACCAATCCCGAATTATCCGGCCAAGAAGAGCAAACAGCCAAGATAGCATCAGATCATCTCCAATCTCTCGGATTCGAAGTCCACACCAAAATCGGCGGTCATGGCGTGGCAGGAGTCCTGCGAAACGGCACAGGCCCAACAATCCTCCTACGGGCGGACATGGACGCATTACCTGTAGAAGAACAAACCGGCCTACCATACGCAAGCACTCGCCACACCAAAGACGAAACCGGAGCCGACAAGCCCGTAATGCACGCCTGCGGACACGACACCCACGTCGCAACCCTAATGGCCGCCGCGACACTCCTGCAATGCGCCCGCGACCACTGGGCGGGAACCTTGATCTGCATTTTCCAGCCCGCCGAGGAACACCTCGACGGCGCACAGGCAATGTTGAACGACGGGCTATATGACAAGATCCCCAAGCCGGAGCTTGTGCTCGCGCAGCATGTAATGCGGATGCGCGCGGGGACGGTCAATCTCCGCGCAGGACCGCTGCTTACAGCCGCCGACGCCTTCGACGTGCGTATCTTTGGTCGTGGGGGACATGGCTCAGCACCTCATACGACTATCGATCCGATTGTCGTTGGCGCGTCGGTCGTTATGCGATTGCAGACTATCGTCTCGCGGGAGGTCGCGCCTGGGAAGGTTGCTGTTGTTACATGTGGTAGTATTCATTCTGGCCAGTCGCCGAATATTATCCCAGCGTATTTGGATTTGCAGTTGAATGTGCGGACTTATGATGCGGAAGTGCGCAAGCGCGTGTGTGCTTCTATCCATCGTATTATCGAGGGGGAATGTCTGGCTGCTGGGGTTGAGCAGAAGCCTGAGATTAAACTTGCTTATTCGACGCCGGCGACGATTAATGATGGGAAGACTATTGATGCTCTTCGTGAGACTTTCCAGCCGTACTTTGGTGATCGGCTTGTTGAGGCGGAGGCCCCGACTGCTAGTGAGGACTTTTCGTTGCTGGCGACTGCCGCGGGCGCGCCTTATGTTATGTGGATGTTTGGTGGGACTGATCCTGAGGTTTGGGATGATGCTGTTGCTAAGGGGACTGTTGATGAGCTGCCCAGTAACCACTCGCCGTTTTATGCGCCGGTTATCCAGCCGACATTGCGTGCCGGTGTGGATGCCATGGCACTTGGGGCTTTGACCTTCTTGAAGAATAAATGAGTCTAGATAGTATTAGTTTGCATATAACTATTAAAGTATTCAAACATATAATTCCATCGAGGCTGACATGTAAAGTGGGACGTGCGGGTGAGGTCATCAGTGGCCCCAAAAAAGCGGCCACAATCTCTCGACAACACAACAAAACAACATACATATCAAACCCAAAATGGCATCTGAAAAACCCTCAGAAATGAAAGCCTGGCTGTACTCCAGCACAACCAACGGCCTAGAAAAGAACCTCAGCTTCGACGCGTCGGCACGCGCGCCACCAGCCGTCGTCCACGGCAACAATGTCCTAGTCCAGGTCCTCTCAGCCTCCCTAAACCCAGCCGACTACAAAGTTCCCGAAATGGGACTAGTAGCGCGGAAACTCGTGATCGGCACACCCGCCTCACCGGGGATGGACTTCTGCGGACGCGTGGTTGTCACCGGCGAAGACGCGACCGAGTTTTCGCCCGGCCAGCTCGTGTTCGGCTGTCTCAGCAGACCCAGCCAATTCGGCTCGCTGGGCGAGTACCTCGTGGCATCTGCGAGTCTGCTTGCGCCCGTGCCAGAGGGCGTGGAGGTTGATCATGCTGCGTCCATTGGTATTGCGGGGCAGACGGCGTACCAGTCGTTAGCTGGGTACGTCAAATCCGGCGATAAGGTGTTTATTAACGGGGGCTCTGGGGGATGTGGGATTTTCGCGATTCAAATTGCCAAGGAGATGGGGTGTCATGTTACGACTACTTGCTCGACCAAGAATGTGGAGTTTTGTCGTGGGCTGGGCGCTGATGAGGTTATTGATTACTCAGTTCAGGAGGATTTGGTTGCTACGCTGCGCGATCGTGGGGTTGTCTTTGATCATATTGTTGACCATATTGGATACCCTGCGCCGATGTATCGCGAGTCGCATCACTTCTTGGCGGCTGGGAAGACGTTTGTGCAGGTTGGTGCGTCGGGCGTGGGGACTTTTGTTGATAGATTGATTTGGCCTGGTTTCTTGGGTGGTGGAAAGAGGAAGTATGTTGTCTTCTTCTTCAAGAATACTCGTGAGGATCTTGTGAAGATCGGGGAATGGGTGCAGAAGGGGGCTGTCAAAATTCAGCTGGATACTGCCTACGAGTTTGAGGATGCTGTTAAGGCATTTGAGAAGCTTCGCTCTGGTCGTGCTAGAGGGAAGATTATTGTGCATGTGGCTAAGCCGTGAGTTGAGATCAAATGCAAATATTCTGTCGTTTTAGGGTTTGGCGATACTACATCTCCGTTCCGAATCGGGAAATTATCACATCTCAGAAAGGCATAGTAGCAAGCTTCGACGTAAACTTGACGATGTATCTATGTGAGTCAAATGAAATGGTCTTCTACCTTATTGTTCCATTTTTACTTTTCATCGCTAACACTTTGCAATCATCAACAAGTTCAACAGCTTTCATTCGTTCAACATGCAATTGCTATTATCCCCTTTTCTGGGTACATTTGGCATGATTCCTGTAGAAATCCGCCTGATCATATGGGAATACCTCTTCTATGCCATCCGAACACAACAAGTCCGATACACCTTCCACAGAGAAAACCCCCTATCCATTCTTTCCACCAGTCGAGACCTCTACAATGAGATTTCGTCCCATCTATTCAGCAACTCCGTCCAACATGTGATACTGAACCCAGGATATAACGAGCAAGTGTGGATGGCCATACAATTCAAATTCAGAGCCAGGGAAATCGAGTGGGCACTCAGGAACAGAGCGGATGCTGAAAGGCATTTCCAGAACTTCCCGCATTCAAAGACGACAATGATCGTACATATCAATCGGCCAGATCCAACAGACCCGGGCCAATTGGTGTTACTTTGGCAAAAAACCAACGCGCTAGCTGATCTTCTCATTCCAACCGCTCGGCCAAATATAAAGCTGGCCACAAATGGTCCATGGCGTTCACCAAACCCACCAGCTTCCTGGGGACCAGATAGGGATCTATTTTGCCAGATGGGCGGCCTACAGGAGTCAATCCCATTCGGACCGAAATACCGTCCTGACTACGACGTTGTCATGTTACCCTTCCTTCGTCTAGGGCTATGGGTTGAAGATCCTACAAACGTACCCGCGATGTCAGACGAAGAATTTGACACCTTACGCCAATGCCTCTTTTCTTTATTCGATCAAAACGGGATCGAGCACAGACTTGAAAAGCTTCTCTCCATGACCAAGGACACAGCCGCCCGCGAGATCGAAAGCGCACTTATTGAAACCGACTTGTTCTTAGAGACTAGGATGGACGAGTTACCGGGCATAACAGCTCGTTTCCTTCGTCTTGAACGATACAGGAACTGGTTCGAAGACGGGAGAAGCTGGGAATCGCTATATGAGGCACAACTCGAAAAGCAATTATCTACCTGTCCCCAGGTTATCACGGATATCGATCTCTTGCTCGATCGATTGAGTACCAGATACGTGGTTCTTATTCTACTACACCACGCGATCTGTTCGCCAAGGTCAAATTTGTACGGTGGACTTGGGAGATTTGACGATTCAACGATATATACGACATGGGACTCGGAAATGTGGCCGGAGAGGTTTCCAAGTGGCGTTCCACAACTCAGCGATGTTCAAACCTGCCTTTTGAGGTTCTGGCGGCCGGGTAAAGACCTGTTTGGGAAATTCCTCGCCTATTCAAAGTGGTTAGGTCGACGAGGGCCGAGGAACTTAGATGGTCAGCTATACACCGTATGATCTGGGAGATTGAAGGCTTTCAAGGTTGGATTTATTAGTGAATATCGAAGGTAAACAGCATATGTGTGGTCTTTAGGTTCAGTTCGTTTTTGGTGGAAGCCCTGGAGCAATATCATATCCACGCGCAACGATTCATAGTTGAGTTGGGAATATTGGAATATTGGAATCTGGTTTATGTATATTGTGCGAGAGAAGCTAAAGGACATTAACCATGTCTACAAATAGAAAATAAGGATCTATATGATTGACGCCGAAAATGGCTCCCAATTAACTAAATCTAAGTCCCCTCCCTTTTCGCGTAGTCTATTTAAGCGATAAGATGCTTCGCCTTCCCGGTTTCGTGGTTATTGAGGGCTATGAGTTGTTTTGTTTTAGGCCCTTTACCCATGCTGGCCAAGAAGGAGTATGAAACAGCCTCAATGTGGTACACGCTACCCCGGTCCCCCAATGAGGCTGTCAAAAGTCCTGCTAGCGGTACGGGCAATTTGAGGTCTGCAGTGATTGGCTTATTAATTACGAGGTGCAGTGATGCAGGCTTCTTTAGCTTAGTAGGCTAGTGTGGGGGCCGACTGAGTCGAGCGCTGATCAATTTCACAGCCACCATGCAAATATAAAAAGAGCATACACAGGCGGGACGAATTTGGGGCCGTTTCAAAAATGATTTCTTCTTTCTTCTCGACACAAAAAGAAGCTGAAAAAGAAGAGAGGCATGTTGTGGAAACCAAATTTGTGGAACCTCCTACCATCGTCCAAGCATTCTGCCATTGAGCAGGTTGCCATTGCAAGCGACGATGAAGGTGAAGAGGGAAAAAGGACCGGTCGGGAATGGACCAAGGGGGTTCTCTACTGCGTCTGGTTTGTGTCCGGCGTCCTCGTGGCGAACATCATCCTCACTATAATTGGCGTTGTACTCGCATACTCCAAGTATGGCTCTGGGGAGTTCGGATACGCGCCCGTCTACCAGGGTAAATGCTCGGTGGCAAAGAACTCGGCAACGGGCATTCACCTGGTTATCAATATCTTGAGCACAATTATGCTCGGAGCAAGCAACTATTGCATGCAATGTCTGGCCGCCCCGTCGCGCTCGGAGGTGGACGAGGCGCATCGAAAGCGCACTTGGCTGGCCATTGGTATTCCGGATATTGCGCATCTGGTTTTACGTGCACCGGCTAGGAGAAGGTGGTTGGGTATTGTTCTGCTTGTTACCTCGTTTCCGATCCATCTTATGTATGATCTCAACCTCTCCGGCGTTCTATAGCTTATTCTCACTTCGTCTAGTTACAACTCGGCAGCATACTATTCAATGCAACCGCAGGAATACGGCGTCTCTGTGTTTCACGACATCCGGGCCCTGGAGAACCTCGAGTCCACGCATCTCAAGCTAGGCTACGGGGCGTGCTTTGACAAATACACTGGCATGAATGCGTCCGAACTACAGCAAGTCATCCGCGATGAGCGCTACGAGCGCTTGAACAAAAAGGACTGCATTGACAGGTTCGCCCAGGACTACTTGCTCAGGACAGAAGGCAGTTCTTGTGATGACCAATATATCGCTGCCCAGCGACGTGCCGCTGGTGTACGCGGGAAGCGGCAATCGCGCTTCGGATTTTACCACCTCGTATGCCACTGTCTACCAGTGGATGTGTAGCACCTTGTCCAGCTGCGATGCCAGCACGTTGCGGGACAACATGGATGACTGGGTTGTCGAAGCCTACCGTTGGTTCCCGGTGCAACTGCTGTATGATCTCGACGGATTTCACCCGCGGAAGAGAGCAGACACGGAGTCAGAAAGCAACTTTGAATGCACCGAGTCAGGGGCAACCATGGAGATGCAGCTGCCGACATTTACAGTGGACCATTGTCTGAGCATCCCGGCCGAGGAGTCCTGTCAGCTTGTCTTCCTCCCGCCAGTCTGCCTAGCCGTTATCTTTTGCAACGCCATCAAACTAGTCTGCATGGTTCTGGCCGCGCGAGATGACAGAGAGGAAGTGTTCCTTAACATCGGAGATGCAGTCGCCTCCTTCCTCACGTGTCCGGACCCTGCCACTGAATCCGCAGGTCTACTCTCAAAGGACACAGTCAAGAAAGGCACTCAAGGCTGGCACAAAACCAGTCTCATATACAGCCGCATTCCTCCCACAGAAATTCCCCCTATCACACCCCAACATCTCCCACCGCGCAAGCGGTGGGCACAAGCCGTCAGCAAAGCCCGCTGGCTCGGCACAGTCATCATGTAAGTCGCCATTTCATCATACTAGAAGTCCAATTTTCAACAGATTGACTTACTTAACTAGCTTTGTCCTCATCCTAATCCCAGTGAGCTACCTTCTTTCCCTGGGCATTGAAAACGTCACAACGAAATATACTTCCTCAATCTGGGCCCAGGGCCTCGGTCAGCCCCGCTCAGGGACTATAATAACAGGAATACAATCCTCGCGTACATTCCCCAGAGTCCTAGCCCTCATCCTCCTCTGCAACACACCCCAACTACTCCTCTCCTGCGCCTACTTTACCTACAACGCATGTCTAACATGCATGTTCGCGGCCGTCGAATACGACTCCTACTCGATGAACCGAAAATACCTCCGCGTCTCGTGGCCTCGTGGCCGCCAACGCTCAACATACTACCTTACTCTCCCCTATCGGTATTCCCTCCCGATACTAGTTGCGTCCGCGACGCTCCACTGGCTTGTTTCGCAGAGTTTTTTCTACGTTGAGATCATTGGGGTTAGTATGGATGGGTGGAGATATGAGCTTGTTACGTGTGGGTTTTCGCCTGTAGCAATTATTTTTGCTATCATTCTTGGTGTTGGCCTACTTTTTGTTGCTGCCATGTTGGGGGCTAGGAGGTTCAGTTCGCACATGCCCATTATTGGGTATTGTAGTGCTGCTATTAGTGCTGCCTGTCATCCGGGAACAGAGGGGAATCATGCCATGAAACCTATACAGTGGGGTGAGGTCTCCTCTGAATCGGGAACGTCGGGGTCTGCGGCGGGTGACGATGATGATTATGGGATAGCAGATCATGCGAGCCGTGGAGATAGAAATTGGAATCCCCGGGATTATCTTTTGGAGGAAATAGAGTTGAATTCTTTGGAGAGGAAGGTATATCATTGCTCCTTTACCTCGGGGGAGGTTGTTGAGCCGAGTCCGGCGCGGCTCTATATATGAGACGATACAGAAAATGAAAGACCTTTAGGAAATAGAAAGTTGGTCGATATCAAGTAGATTGTTAGACTTCTATTCTTCATTGTATACCCGTTTCTTCTTCTCGATATTTATTGCCGTAGACCTTCTGTTCCACGGTCTGCTCTATCTCACATAACTACCCTCAAGACCACTGCTCCAACCCTAACAAATCGTTTCATCAAGCTTCTAAGCTCACCAATCCATGGCGTACCAAATCCACTCTAAGACTCCTCAGCCCTCTTCAACCCCCTTTCCCTTGCAAACATTGCCGCAAAGCCGCATTGACTGTGGCAAGCCTCTACTGACCTCACTGACAGAAAATCGTATCAAGTCGCGAAAGGCTTGTAGCAGCTGCTAAAATTGTGACAGTCAGCAGAAGCCTAGTCAGATCCATCAAGAAGCATCAGTTAAGTCTACTCTATAATGTCTGAATTACTCCTATGTATTTGCTGCTGCTTTTCATACTCATTGGACTATAAGGCAGAACCAGTCTTTTGCGAAACATCTGGTAGGCCAGTTTCAAACGTCCATTCGCAGTCATTGTCGTATCCCTGCGCGATTCTCTCAACGTCGACGACAGCATCCCACGCCGCCAACGTCCTCCTGTATCTTTCCTCTCCATCATCGACATTGACAGCATCCAGGTCTTCCTGGCGCCCAGCATCGCACTCGCAGCGCAGAACAGACCTCAGCACATCTAACAGTTCCCTCCTCCACTCAGGTTGATGGCCCCCACACAGCCGTGCCGCGACGTACTCAAAGTACGCGGGCATGATGTTGGCCATCTCCCAGTCCAGGAAACCCGTCACCGCGAGCGTGTAGGGGTCTACGAGGATGTTCCGGTCAGACAAGTCCCCATGCGAGAGGACAGGACGGTCCCAATCACCTGCGCCGGTTGTGCCACGCTGTACTCGCTCAAGGGCGACTGCACGTTCCGCGTCCAGGGCAGAGGCCTGCAGCGCGCGCGCGTAAGTCATCCCACTCTGAGCAACATACATACGTCTCTGTGCCGAATTCGGAGAAGAGGAGGTACGGCTGCCGCGTGGGCCGGCCGTAGTAAGAGAAGTGGTGCGTACGTATACGCACGAGGAGACGGCAGAGCTCCGCCTTGATGGTCTGGCGCTGCAGAAGGGTGAGTGAGGGTCAGAGCTCGACTAGCGGCGTGCCCGGCTGGTGAGTGAGGACGAGGCCCTGTTGGGTGTGGTTGGGCGTCAAGGCGTCGGAGCTTATTCTCGGAAGCGTGACGACGGAAATGATGCGTGGGACACAGGGGCCCAGGATGGAATGGGCGAGCGCGGACATCTTGCCTTCGCCATCGTCGGTGCCCAGTTTGAGGATGGTAGAGGGGGAATGAATGAAAAACTGGCGCCCAACGTTTGGAACGGTCGGCCCTGAGAACAGAGGGAGGCTGGGGAGAAAGGCCCAGTTCTCCCGAGGAAGCTGCTCTGGTTCCTGAGAGCTCTCATCATGTAGTGTCATGGTGAGCGGCGATGCGTAGAGAGCAGTCCAGAGTATCGGGCGATATTGAGGGTTTAGTTAAGTAAACTGGTGCGTAAGTGCGATGTCCTCTGAGGAAGATAACTGATTGATATCTACTGTGGGACGAAATCAATACTACGGCAATGGATGATACATCACAAACACTACCCTTTTTATGTTGGAAGGTCAGGCGGGCAGCGTTTACAGTACGGCATATCGGGAGGCTATACCAGAAACGGCAAAACTAACCGGAACAGGGAATTCACAGGTTATGCCTATAGTTGTGACAGCGAATCAAAGGCTCAGCCTGTTCTTACAGCAATAGTTGACGGGTGACAATAACCTTTGTTGTATTAAATGAGGAATGTTTCAGAGATGTGCCCGAATAGCTGTGTGATAGATCCTGGACCCTCAGTTACAGGGCAGAATGCTTCGAGGAATCTTCCTTCAAAGGCGCCGAATAATCATCATCATCCATATCAAGCATTTCAATCCGGTGGGTCATGTTCTCTTGAGTCTGCGCCTCGATCTTCTTCTGTAACCGTTCATCTTCCCCAAAGCCATCCTGGCTATTCAGCGTATCACGAGCGGCAGATGATTCCCGGTCTTTAACACCGGCCTCGCGCTCATTCTCCAACCGCTCCTTCTCCTGACGCTTGTCCTCATCGGCAAGAGCAGCCTCTTCACGTTCAATCTCACTGGGGTCAAGGTCCTGAAGCCCGATAAGGGTAAGAATTCTGCCAAGCAGATACTGGTACCGCAGGTGGCCGCTGATCATATCGCTTACGTTCAGGTTCTCAACGCCGGGAACACCTTCAACTGGCTGCAATCCGGCGACGCCGAGTTGAAGGCTGCTTGTTCGGTAGAGGAAAGCGAGCACAGAGTCATTCCCAGAGAACACGTTCACAACACGTCCGCTTACAACACTGCGAATCTTTTGCCAGTCCTCCGTGTCTGAAGGGGTGGGTGACCCCATCAAAATGACCGACTCGACCAGTCCATAGGCATTTCTCCTTTCCAGACTTTGGAGGCAGGAAAAAATCAGTCGAGATCCCAGAGAATACCCTATTAAGGTCACGGGTCGTTCTCCCTGGGCTTTGTTGATCAGGGCATCTGCGAGAACCTCACCCGCTTTGTCAGCGCGGGCTTTGGCCACGCTGAACGGGTTGTCGACGACGCCAGCAACTTTCATGAGACCTGAGGGGAAGCATCACTGCGCTCATGATTGTGGAGAAGACAGTACGAGCCAAGACCTCACGGCCGGCCACCGACCATGCTGCGCTAGTCACAAGAGCGGAGATCGCGTTGCCCAAGTTCATTAAAGGCTCCATCTCCCAGCGGAGACCGAACACTTCGGAGTCGGCACCAATCACCCGCCATGGGACCACGAAGTTCGACTCCTCCTTGACCCAGCCGGTAACACCAATGGTAACTCGTAAACGATGATCTTGCTCAGCAGACTCTTTACCTTCCACGTTCCGGCGGCGTTCTCCTCGGATCGGTATAAATGCAAAGTCGTCCACTTCACGGGCATACTTCTCCATCATGCGTCCAGTCATACGCCCACCATAAGCGCCAAACAGACCGCCGACAACGACGCCACTTCCGGCCAAAGTGCCCAGGAGTCCAGCAGCAGCGGTAGCGCCAAGGCCCAATCCCCCCCATGACAGTTCCCAGGCCCGCCGCTACCAATGGAGCTGCGAGTCCGCCAGTGAGACCAATCAAAGCGGCTCCAGCCACAGACGCAATGCCAACTTTCCATTTCTTCATGTCATCCTTTTTCTTTGGTTGCTCTTTGGTATCTTGGTCTGCAGAGAGCGCCAGAGCTGTCTGTAGCAATCCGCGGGCGACACTAACTTCATCTTGATTGAGCATGTTGATATCTATGCTCAAACTGGACGCGACATTCAACATCAAGACTCTTGAGTAAGCACTGTAGTGCTCTAGGCTGAGCACTAAAAGGAGAAGCGAGTGAAGAATAAGCAGTCTTGTTGCTTTAGGAAGTTCAGCCAATGGTGTTTCCACGGGATGGTATATTTCTTGTAATTTGGCAATCCTATCTTTATCCTCGTCCAGTGGAAGATCATCAGACTTGGCAGCGTTCTGCAGGTCTTCTTGGCCCTCCTTTTTGCCTTGATTATCGTCATCTTTATTGACGACCGTGCCAACCCGCAAAAGGACAGAATCCCTCCAATCCTCGAAAGCGGAGAGGGCAGTGACTCTGACTTGAGGGCTCGACGGCTTTCTATTAGAGCCCTGCCGCGGACTTTCACCGTTTTTCGAACCCGCGTTACCTTGAGGTCTTGGGGGCAAGGGTGGCGTGTCTTCATCGCGGTCCGAGTCCGGAGACGGACGTGTGCTGGGACGATTGGGAGAGCCATCCTTTGGAATTGTGTGCTCATAGATCTCCAGAATCCTAACCCGCATTGACTCAGCTATCTCAGCGACAAGGACAGTTAAGTCACCGCGCTGCGACCGGTCCAAGATCGATGAGAGATCTTGACCGCGATCGCTTTCCGAAGCATTGGATTGCTTGGATTCGAAGAATCCCCCACTTTTTTCTTTCAAATTTTTGAACATTGGCGCCGAGTAAAGGTGAAAAAGGAGTTGACAAGTTTTGAAGGAACAAACAGGCAGAAGCCAATGTTGTTGGAGAGGGGCGATGTTGTCATGGCCCCCGATAGCACCTGTCGGGTATCGGGACCGCTTACTCCGCCAGTAGCCTGAGGCAGAAACAGCTGCGTATGTTGATACCTATCACTCTGCTCTGCTTATGGAATATTCAAGCCCCCTGGATATTCCAATGCTGTAGAATATTGATGGAATAGCTCAATTGCCGCTTTCAACGACAAAATATTTCCCCTTCGTCTTTGTCGCGGACCGGAGCGCATTCCCATCCCAAGCTGTTCCATCCGGACGATCATTCTTTTCACCTGGAATACGCTGGATTTTCCCCGTCGTCCGGACACCTTTTCCTTAGCCAGAGCCTCCCTGAGTTTTTCGATTCCAATCGTTTCCTCTTCAATGGCAGCGGGACTCTCGTCGCGAATTCTAGCCAGGGGCGCGACGCCGGCAGTATCAACAAGCTGGATCTCCTTCACAAAATGGATTTGAGACTCAAGTGTATCAAGCATTGACTGCTCTTCTTCTTGATTGGCAGGTTGGGGAAGAGCCGAGATGCGCAGCAGATGATGGAGTTGTTTTGGCGTGATTGATGGTGGCGGTTTTGACGCTGGGTTTGGGAGCAGCGACCTGACAGACCAGTTGGGTGCGCCAAGTATGGACTCGATGTCCGCACTGTCGGATTTTTCGGAAGAGTAGAAGCGAGAGAAGGTCGTGTTGAGTCGGGAAGGACCTGGGCGCAGCGACTTGGATAGCCGAGCAGCAGTGCGAAGAGAGGCCATTGTAGAGTCCCTGATGGAATGAGAACCCTTTGTATGGGTAATTATAGCGGACTTAGTCGGGTGAGATAAAAGCACTGTGTAATCAGAACAATGCAATGTAAAAATAGTCAAAAGTCACCAAAGTTGCACGTCAACACCGGGGAGCTCAGGCGGATACCGAAAATAAATGACACCGCCTCCACGGGCCCGCCGATCGATGCTCTCATCGATAGCAACCCCGTTTGACCACAACACTCCAACTTCCCAGTATCTGCGGACTACTCCTATCGCAGGAAATACAGACACACACACTCAAGATGACTCAAGATCCCCGTGTCCTGCTCCAAAAGGTACGCATGCTTCCCCGCCTTATTTGATAGGCAATGACGATAGTCCGCATAGCTGACCCGACCTCGCTTGTTGCGATAATATAGGCCGACAAAGCGCTATCCGGTGCCACTGGTGGCTTCAGTTGGTTCGGAGGAAGAGGGAGAAGTATGAAAATGCCGCAGATTTGTTTACCCAGGCTGCAAATGCGTTCCGAGTACAGAAAATGAGTGAGATACCCCGCGGCCCAGCCAGTCCGCTGCCTTGCAGTGGTTAAGCCAGATGGCTGATGCATGTTTCCAAATAGACAAGGAGGCCGGTCAGGCTTTTGAGAAAGCCGCCTCCATCCAAACCCAGAACCTCAACGAACCCGACGACGCTGCCAATAACCTCCAGGAAGCGTTCAAGGTCTACCGCAAGACAGACCCCGAGGATGCTGCCCGCGTGCTCTCCAGTGCCATTCAGCACTACGTACTACGAGGAAACCTGCGCCGCGCGGCAACGCAGCAGCAATACCTGGCTGAATTGTATGAGGTGGAGCTTGGAGATATGAAGAAAGCGTTGGAAGCGTACGAGAAGGCTGCCGACTGGTTCGAGGGTGATAATGCTGAAGCGTATGTATCCCGTTATCTGTTTGGTGTCTGAATTCGAGGAAACAACTCGGCTGACATATACTTCATATGCAGCCTTGCAAACAAGCACTACCTCAAGGTGGCGGACCTGGCTGCCTTGGAAAGTGACTACTACAAGGCCATCAGCAACTACGAACGCATCGGCCGGAGCTCTATTAACAACCACCTGATGAAGTGGTCTGTGAAGGATTATCTCCTGAAGGCAGGCATCTGTCACCTTGCCACAAAAGTATGTTGTTCCTATGTTATTCTTCTCATAGGAAACAGAGTACTAATTACTTATTTTCAGGATCTCGTTGAGACTAACCGTGCTTTGGAATCATACCGCGAACTTGATCCTTCCTTTGGTTCGACAAGGGAGCACCAACTACTCGTGGACCTGACCCAGGCTGTTGAGGGTGGTGACCAGGAAGGCTTCGCCGACAAGCTCTTCCAGTTTGACCAGCTCAGCAAGCTGGACAAGTGGAAGACAACCCTCCTTCTGCGGATCAAGAATAACATTGAGGAAGCTGAGGAGGACTTCTCGTAAATGGCGATTGATTTCTTGATTCCCCGCGTGTGATGTCTAGAGGATATTGACTCTCAAGTTTTTGGCTTCTTCGTTTGTTTATCTTGAATTTTTCTGGTCTGGAAATGAAAACAGATCAATTCTACCATCCATTGGTTCTAGTGAGTTGGTTTGACTGGCCTTGCTGGTAATCTTCATCACCCTTCACCTAGGAATAGGAAATCTTCGATTCTGGTCATTCAGATACTACTGTTAAATACGGAATCCAAGTGCAGAAGATTCGTAATTCATCATTTTAAGATGCCTCAGGTCTATATGTACTTTTAGGTGTAGCTCCCTTCAGAATCAGTATAGCTACCCTCATAATGTAATCAGTTCAGTCAAATGGTATCATATCATCCACCTCGCCAGTGCTATTGACATCAACAGCTTACGCAGCAATCGCATCCAAGGCCTTGGCCTTGCGAGGGAAGACGCGTTTGTACAAACTGACACCCACAGAGTCTTGCGGGTTGATCTTGGCATCGAAGGTAGCCTTGAAGTATCCGTGTGTACCCAGGCTCTCCTTGAAGTATCCACTGCGGCCACGGCGGGTCCACAACTGGAGTGCCTTGAACCACTGGACATCCTCCGCGTTGAAGAACATGTATCGGATGGTAACGACCTTCTTGTGGATCTTGTAGGGGTGACCAGTGAGAATGGCACGTTTGGCAACCACACGCTTCTGATCGGGTGCGACAACAGTACCAGTACCGATCAGTTCGAGCTGGTCCAGGGCAATTGGCACCTCCTTGGCATCGGTCTCCATCTCCTCATCACCATCCTCCTCCTCGGCTTGCTTCTGTTTGAAGACAAGAATAGGAACTGAGCCCCAGGTCATGGGTCCAATCCAGGATGCGATGCAACTACGACCAGGATGCAAGAATCGGTCGTATTTGTGAACGTTGTTTGGCGTGTTATCAGCCGAGGAGAAGATGGGGTTGACAACCATGCGGCGGGCACCGCACTGGACGATGAGCTGCTCCTTAGCCTTAAGGGGCTTCTCGTAACTGGAGTTCAGGGTCATGCTAACGTTGACCACAGTATGCTTGTGCTCGTGGCGGAGCAGAGAGAAGAGCGAAGTGGGCTTGGGGCTGTTGCGAAGAATGGAAGGAACTGCGCGAAGGTGAATATCCACGCGGACACCAGGGTTAACGCCGCCGGCCAAAGCCTCTCGAATGATGCGGTTCTTGGAACCCTTGACATCAGCAAACTGCAGCAGTCGGCGCCAATCCTCGGGCTCGTAGGGACGATCCTCGGATGTTTCCCAGTGGCTGAGCTTGAGGTTCTTTAATCCACGGAATCGGGCCAGACGTTCTCTAGCAAGCGTGTTGGGGTGCAATTCAATTTCATCGGGGAACTCCAAGTCCTCTTCGGCCTCAGTCTTGCGACTCGCACGGTAGTCGGCCAACTCCTGGGCCTCATCTTCTGGGGAACGGTCGAGGAACATCTCCGATTGCGGATATTCTGAAGGAGCCCCCTCGGTCATGGCTTCGTGGTGGTCTGGGAACACGCCATCCTCGGGTGCTCCAGCGGTATCCATCTCCATGGGCTCGTCCTCATCCTCCAGGTCTGATCCGGAGTCTGAGACGTCTTCGAGATACCAGGCCGACTGATAATTCGAGGTACCCTTGGGAAGCTTCTTAGGTACGGGCGGAATGTGCGAGTCGTCATCGGAGAAGTAATGGTAGTCATCCAACAAAACACCCTTCTTCTCTGTCTCAGCCATGGAAACCATGTCGTCATCTACCATTTCAATCTCTTCGGGAGCAACAGTAGCCATATCATCCTGGTCCTCAGAAGGAGTATCCAACACTTGGGTGGTCTCATTCGTGTCAACAGCCATTGCATCATCACGCTTGGGCTTTGTGTTTGTTAGCGGAGCAGCTGTGATCGAGTCAACCTGGAAATCACCCCATCCAGGGAGATGAACGATGCGGTCTGCCTTCAAGCCTCTTCCACGAACTACTCCGGTGATGACGACGTCGTCAACCACTTCCAGGTTGGACTCTGGCCACTGAACATTCTCAACAAACATCCAGCTGCGATCGTCACGCCAGCGGATGCCCTTAGGAGTAGCAGTGCAGATGGATCGGATAGTATTTGAAGATTCCTGTCTCGAGTCAAGAGACATAACCTTCTCAATGCCGGGGAAGAAGTGGTTAATGAAAGACCTCAACGAAGAAGCCACCTGGGGGCGCTTCTTAGGGGGGTCGATCCTGTCGAGACCTTGAACGACAGCCAACACATTCGAGATACCCTGGCCTTGAATCGAGCGCAGCAGCATCTCGCCCTCCTCATCAACCTCAACTTCAGACGACATGACCAAGATGACAAAGTCGGCCATACGGCAAACATCCAGAGCGCTCATCAAGTCATACTTGGCGGGCACGTACTGCACGCTTTGACGGAATCGATCGATGCGCACACGAGTAGGTCCATCGGGCGAGACATCAGTCAATACATCCACACTCTCATTGATAGAAGCAATAGCGGCGGCGGCGTCAATATCGGGGGACAACGGCACAATTGCGACATGACGGGGAGCACCATTCTGGCCAGCGAAGATACTGGTAGCTTGGGACCTTTCCTGGTGCTTCAATGCCTGCTTTTGGCGGGCGGTGTTACGGCGATCGAGTTTCGTCTTAAGCTGTTGGTGGGGTGTTTTACGCCCGCCCCGCTCATCACCTTCGATTTTGCCTAGAGTGGTATAAGCGTTAGAAATTCATTATTTATCATACTCAGGCAGTTCAAAAACCATACCTTTGGCCTTATCCTTCAAGGCGCTCTTGGAAGCATGCTTGCTCTTGTAGGGCTTGTGGGAAACCTTGGTTGTGGAGCGGTGGTGGTGCACCGTCTGGGCAGGCGCCATATTGGCTTGAGAGCCTTTGAATCGGAAAGGGAGGGAGTCCAGATTGAAGCGAGTCAGAGGTAACTCGACAAATATACAATCAGAGCAATTTATAAGGCGAATACACAGGAAAAAAACGAAAGTGCCTCTGTAGAAAAAAAAATTGGCAACGATAAGAAATCAAAATTCGCCAGTGGAGGATAAGCGAGCGGTGAGCGTAAATCTTGGCGAAATTTTGGGCAAAACACTTTTTTTCTTGAAGCTACGCTTCTCGTCCGCCCTCTTATCTTCCTGAGTTCTTTTGCAAACGAACTCAAGAAATTGCCAGAAAATGGCCGACTCAGCCTCCAACATGGCTGTCGCCAAGGGCGACCAGGAAGCGAAGATGAGACTTGCAGCAGCCGAGCAAACCTACGGACGAGGCAAAGGTGCCAATGCGAAGAGTGCGCGGGATAAGAAGCTGCGCGCAAATCTCAAGAGGCAGGAATTCAAGCACAAGGAGGCTATCCTTCAAGCCAAGGATGCAGAGATTTTGCTGGAGCACACGGAAGGATTCCTCGAACCCGAAGGTGAACTAGAGCGGACGTACAAAGTTCGCCAGGATGAAATTCGGGAGAGCGTCGGAATCGAGACTGCAAAGAAAGGATTCGAATTGAAGCTTCCC